TCTCTCAGTCTAAACCTTTGTCTTTGCCCCCTGCAAACGCAGACACTGTGCAGAGGGCAAATGAGTTTTGGAGACAGGGCAGGGACAGGCATCCTGGCAGGTAGGTAGACGGGCATCAGCAGACAGCGGTGGGCATCTGGACCCCCAGAGAGGGGCTCGTGGGTTTACCACATAGGCAGAGCAGATGCTGACACTGGATATTATTGCTACGATCTATTTTCAAAACAATGAATCCAGACCTTGCCTCCAGTGTCCCCACTCCCCTCACCACAGACACCCCAAGTTGGCTGTTACCAAGGGCTGAATTTTACCCCCAGTTTGTGGGGACAGAAAAAACACAGCATTGGCAGGTTTGTAAGTCTCAGTAAGTGACTTTTTCCGTGTCTCTCTTAGCTTGTGTTTTCCCCTTGTACTCTGTGTTGAGGAGTAAAGTTGCAGTTGGTTGATTCGACTCTCTCTGCTCTGCTGGTCCAATACTAAGCCCTGATCCCTTTTCTTCCTAAAGGAGCTCGGACATGTTGTGGGATTGGAAGGATGACTCTTTGAGAGCGGGTCGGTCTGTCATACTTGAGCGTGAAGATGCCCTGGTTCTTTCTTTTACAACTCCCTGCCTTCTGGGGCCTTTCAGAGCTCGGGCACCTAACGCAGCTTTGATTTTTGTTCTGTTTGGGATCCTAGCTGCTGATGCTCAAGGGCTCCTACTGGCTTGGTGCTCAGGGGCTACACCTGGTTCAGTGCTCAGGGGTACTCCTGGCAGCGCTCAGGGGACCCTGCAGTGATGGGGTCGGAACCTCGCCCACCCCCATGCAAAGCCTATGCCCAGTCTGCTGGACTGTCTCTCTGGCCCCCAAACTCTTGTCTGCCTTCCTTGGGCAGGTTCTCAAATCTCATTAGCCTCAGATTACCACTAGAAGGACGCGCCTATTCCATCAGTTAAAGAAGAGATAAGTGCCTGGTGAGCTCAAGGGTGTGAGAAGCAGCCTCAGAGCAGCCCAGGGACCACCCTCTGCCAATATTTGCCGTGCGTTTGTTGCTACGAGAGCAGGTGGAGCGAGGCGAAAGGGGAGTTTGGACGGGGTGGAGATTTCTCGGATGATTTCAATTAGAACCGCCACAAGACCCAGCAATTCCACACAAAAACCCAAACCTAAAAGACAGAGGCGTCCCTCTCTCCTCCGGGCCACTGTTCCGTCGCCAGGAGCTGGGGAACACCAGGGCCCTTGCCTGATGGGGAAGAAATTGTGGTGGGTAAATGCGCATCTCAGCCACAGGGGACCGTGACATTTTGCCTCTTGCTCCAAGCATGGGTGGCACCGGAGAGGGCCACGCTGCGTGAAATAAGGGGGGAGGGAGAAAGATTAAGGGTGTTCTCGCTCAGTTGTGGTGTTCAGACAAGCTAGTGAATGTGGCTCAGGCCGGGACTCACACAGAGCCTAGGAGAGCAGAGGAAGCGAGGGAGTGGGTCCTTTGCTGGCTCTGGCGAGTGACAGGCTTCGAAGAGGTGTGACATGGTACCCTTAATCCTTACCCTCCTGGCCCTGGTACTCAGTATACTGGTGAATTGCATTCAGTGCTTTATTGGGGTTGCCTACCAGGCAGCAAATGCTTATTGCTTGTCTGTGGTGCTAACAGGGTGTGTGGGGGGGGGGGGGGCGGGGGGAATGTTCATGCTTGGTCACACTTTTGTTATCTTGCTAGCTTGGGGGGCGGAATCAGTGACTCCCTGAGAACTCAGAACCCCAGGCGACTGTGGAGGGAGAGAGGGCGCATTGGCCTGGAAGCCAGAGGGGGTGAGTGAAGACCGCGTGCGTTCTCGGAGTTGGAAGCTGTGGGTGACACGAAGGCTGGCTGGTCTCAGGGCTGTTCTAAGCCTGCTTCTCAGAAATCGGGCTTTGCTTCCCAGGCCGCTCATCAGGAAGGATGGGCTTAGGCTGATCCTGTAAAGTGATCCCGGCTGTCAGAGCTCGGGGGGAGTATCCAAGGTCCAATCAGGTTTCATTTCACTAGAGAAGTTGGTTCCATCTTAAGAGTCTGTTTCCTTCCCCTTCCAAATAGTGTGGCTTGAGCACATTTGAGGAGTGGGGGGGAGCTTTCATTAGTGAAAGATTTGCCTTAGAAGTCTGCAGACTGAAAAATGGAAGGTTGAGGAGGGGAAGGAGCCTTCTGGTGGATGGATGCAGCGTTGAAGCACTTCCTGCAGGAAGCCCTGCTGTTACTATACTGTGGAACACGGTGCCCCAAAGTTCTTAAAAACAAAAGGAAGGGGGCTGGAGTGAATGGACAGCGGGGAGGGCGTTTGCCTTGCACGTGGCTGACCCAGGTTCGATTCCCAGCATCCCATAGGGTCCCCCGAGCACCGCCAGGAGTAGTTCCTGAGTGCAGAGCCAGAAGTAACCCCTGAGCATCACCGGGTGTGACCCAAAAAGAAAAAAAAAAGAAGAAAAAAAATAAAAGGGAGGAGGAAAGTTGTGTTGGAATTGAAGAAAGACTCAACTACAACTGTGACTGTGGCACCTTTGTCAACAGAATTCCGTGGACTCTGGGCCTCCGGGTACTTTTTTCAGGGCCGACTTTGGGAATTGAGGTCTTCTGCGCTTCCGTCTCGGGCATCTGGGCTCACGCTTCAGAGCTGGAGGTCCAGGTCCAGCCAAGGACCAATGGGGTCTTCATCCCAACATTGCTCCGTGACCTCTGGGCACCATCTCAGGGCCAGAATGCTCGGGTGTTGGTTTCCAAAGCCGACCCAACGGGAGCCGTTTCCTCTGTTGCTTCCAGTCTCTTCTTCCTCCCATGGTTGCCCTTTCTTTATATCCTTCTGGAAGATGTTTTAGGCTCCTACAAGTGCAGAATCTTTCCATTCTTTATCCTACTTCTGTAACTTGCTTTGTGCTTGAAGAGTATATATATATATATATATATATATATATATATATATACACACACATACATATACATATAATGTATATATATGTATATATATAATTTCTGGTTTTGCTGTTTATTTGGCAGAAAGAGGGGTTGGGTCACACGCAGCTCCGTTCAGGGTCTACTACAGGATTATTGTTCTAGAGTCTGGACTGGAGGCTACCGGGGAGCAAACTGAGGGAGACTGTGCACAGGCAAGTGCCTTAACCCCTGGACTATCTTTTTGGCTCTAAGAATATATATCTTGAGAAGCATCCTGTATTTTTCTTTTGAAATGGCGGAGAAATTCAAGCATCTTTTATTTATTTATTTATTTATTTATTATTTGTTTTGGTGCCAGGGATCAACCCAGGGCCTCAAACTTGCAAAGCGCTTGCTATACTACTGAACTGCACCCTTGGCCCCATTTTTTTTCCCTATTTGTCAAAATAAGACTTTTATAGTAAGAAAGCCAACGCTATGTAGGCAAATTACCCTTTCAAAAGGATTATGGGCCGGATTTGCCTGCTTTGGGGAGAATTTTAGTATTTCATATAATTGACGAAAGTTATACATTTTGAAGAGTCCCAAGCAAAGAGGAGAACCCCAAAAATGTTGATTGCTTCAAATGCAAGGTCAACATAAAGACTGTTAATTTGCAGAATTTCTGTGGAGTGCAAAATGCTAAAATTGGACCACTATTTTTAAAATGTGATGCAAGGGATAGAAACCATTTGGAACACAAGAAATAATGTGCAGCGTCACCCAAACCACAGAGATTCAGAGCCAAGCATGACAGAGTCCGCCTTTTGCAAGACCTTGGGAATTATGTATAAAATTCCCGAAAGAGACCCTTTGATCTTTTTCAACAGAAAATAGCTAGGACTATAAGTAGTTTAGATACGATAAAACATCTAAATAGGAGAAATATGATGAATTTAATATGAAAAGACATACAACTTCACCTTATTAGGAAGGATTTACTTCTTTTTACTATTACTTTTTACTTTTCATTTTACTTTTACAGCATTTACTTCTCTTTCCTGCTCTGCTAACCTGAATTCTCCAATATGTTCCTCTCTCCCGGCAGTCTAGTCTCAAATTGTGGAAAATGTTTTTTAAATACATAAAGTAAAAGGCTTAATTGCTCATTCAATTAGGACCTAATACCTCCCCCCATGCCCATTTTTAAGGTGTTATTTTGAAAGAACACCATAAACCTTAGCCATCTTTGTGTAGAGATCACAAGTGACAAGTGACTGCTGTTCTGTCACAGGCCTTCTCAGTTTAATCTGCTCAATTTAACTGAGAAATTAAGTTTCAGTTTCAATTAAACTGTGAAAATTTTTCATCAAGAAAATATTTTTAATGGTGTGCTTCCTTAAGAACCTAGAAATTGGGGGATGGGGGTGGGAGGGATACTGGGACCCGTGGTGGTGGAGGATGGGCACTGGTGGAGGGATGGGTACTCGATCATTGTATAACTGAAACCCAAGCATGAAAGTTTGTAAGTCTACAACCGTACCTCATGGTGTTTCACTAATAAAATTTAAAAAAAAATTGCTCACTGGAGAATGGGCACTGGTGGAGGAATGGGTACTCGATCATTGTATAATTGAAACCCAAGCACAAAAATTTGTAAGTCTACAACTGTACCTCGTGGTGTTTCACTAACAAAAATTAAAAAAAAAAGAACCTAGAAATGTTCCAAGGATGATGTTGAACCACCCAAATGCACAGAATTAAAAAGAAAACTCCCCACTTTGTTCCATAGCTTATCAGGAACTTGATTTCATCAATTTTAGAGGAATACCTGAACTTCTAATACAATTAGATGATATCTCAGTGGAATAGAGCGTGTTTTATGTTTGTCTTTCATTTTTACCTCAAGTCACCAAAACACAAGATTATTTTTAAAAGTAAGCAGTGCCATATTGTGCATGAGAGACCTTTTGAAAAAAAAAATCCCACTGGGGATTCATCGTACAGAAATAAACACGACTGGGTATAAGATGGAGCTGCAGAACTGTTTTGTCTTACTGGGGTAAATGTGTCCCCTCTAGGGATAACGTTCCCCTCTCCCTTGCTTTCCCTAGAGAGGAAGAGCTGACGCCGTCCTTCTTGCCTCAAGATGGAAAACAGCACCACCACCATTTCTCGGGAGGAGCTGGAAGAGTTGCAGGAAGCGTTCAATAAAATAGGTGGGTCGGGAAAGCCACAAGCCCAGTGTCATTGTCCGGGCCACTTCATTCCCTGACCATCCGTGTGACCCCAGCTTCCCGCCCCACGCCCTCCCCAAGAATAGCTCGCTTGCACTGGATTCTTTGTGTCTGAAAGGAAAAAAACCAAGACTGGCTTGAATTTCTAGGAGAACTGAACTTTGAATCACTTTGATCGTTTCTTTGCAGCGCGCATTCCAGGTTAATGAATGACAGCGTAACTGAATATGCTTCACATGATCTCCTCATTGGGGAGGGAAAATAGAGCGGCACTTCCTTGTGTACCCGTGAACTCTGGCCTCCGTGCATTCGCCCTGGCCGCAGGACTCTGCACTCGCACCTGTGCAGAGTATCTGTAAACCTTGGCCGTTTTTGTTGTTTTATTTTATTATTTTTTGCTTTTTGGGTCACACCCAGCAATGCACAAGGGTCACTCGTGACTCATGCACTCAGGAAATACACTCAGGTACTCGGGGGGCCGTATGGGATGTTGGGAATCGAACCCGGGTCATCCTCGTGCAAGGCAAACGCCCTACCTGCTGTGCTATCGCTCCAGCCCTGGTCGTGTTTGTTAAGGGCTGTGCGTCTTGCTCTCTGTCTCCCTCGCACAGACTTTTTAAAAGTCTCGGTGTGGCTTTGAAGGGCTGGACCAGCCCCATCTTCTCCACCCATGACCAAAGGCCGCCTGGTGCTGTGTCTCCATGACTGGGTGAGGCCGGCAGCTTCGTCGTGCTTCTTCCCCAAACAGTCCTTCCCCGTCTGCTCACCCTGGAGCCTTCTTCATTTTTGCTCCCAGGGAATCGGCAGCAATAGGGGATCCAAATCCTGCCTTTTGCTCGTCTCTGGCCTTGATCTAGATTGTTCATGAACCTGGTGAATAAGGACTGAATTCGGTGTAGGCCAGGAACAGGGGAGCTTGGGGACAGAGGGCTTGGGGACAGAGGTGTGGGACAGTGTCTGCCCAGCACCTTCCAGCAGAGGCACTCCACTCTGTGCCAACAGGCAGATGGGCTTCTGTCCCATCTCTGCTTGTCACGAACCCTGTAAATCATGACTGAATTTGATATAGGTGAAATGCAGGGCAGATGGACTTTTAGACGGTAATAAAAAGGATGAAAGTTTAAAAATAAAACTCTCCCCCCAAATAATATGCAATAGGGGCCGGGGAGACAATGCAGGAGTCAAGGGTCCATTCCTGGCATGCTCAAGAACTCAAGTTTGACCCTTGGGTGGACCCCTAGTGACCGGCAGCACTCCTGTCAGAGTCTGGGTTATTGAGTGTTGCTGGGAGGGACCCTGTGCCCCAAGAGCACCGCTTGGGAGCCCCCCAAATAAATATGATGATGATGATGATGATGGAATTGAAAAATTGAGCTCTCAGAAAGCGCCCGACTTGGAAATCATTCTGTGAAATCAAGTGCGTTGGATGAATTGCAGCCATGCTTTGACCCTGCCCTGCCAAGCACGGGGCCACAGGGACTGGGAGGCTGCAGTCCAGCCCAGTCTGCAGGGGGCAGAAGTCACAGCACAGGGGATGTCCCTTAAAACGTGTCTTTATGTGAGACCCCGATTCCATTACAGCACTGCAAAATAAAACACAAAAAACTAAACCAAACCATGAGAATGGAATAAAGAAGAGGAAAAAAACTAAACTTAAAAACCGTTTCTGTGTGTTTTTAAGGAACACACGCAACAGTTTTTGGAGGACCAGTGTGTTTCCAGGGGTCAGCCCCAGGACTGCCTCCATGTGCTGCCGCCCCTTTGGGCTGTCTCTGCAGCCCCTGAGGCTGATGTCTTCACTTTGGTCTTCTCTTTCCTTGGGAGACAGTATTATTTGTTATTGGTGCAGAACATGCAAGAACTATGATTTCCAAAAAAAAAAAAGTTAACAAATTTTACGGGGTATTGTACACAGTGCCCAGCGTTTTTTCAAGACAAAAACTGGGCAATTTCCTAGAATGCCCTGCTCATTTTATCACTGAAACAAAGGCTGCAGTAAAAATGCATCACCTAATTTGGTATGTCTGTTATTTAATAGCAATAGTTTGGTAGCTTGAGTAAAAGTCTTAGGAAAATGTGCAGATTAGGGATTTATCTTATTTCACATGTCCATGCTAATCTGTGTGACTCATGGACATGTAATCTGGCAATATTTATTTAATGATATCAAATAAATAATTCATTCATGCAACCCAGCAGGATTCCTTTGCTCTGTGTGCAGGGATGCTAGCCCAGCAGAAACTGTGCTTGCTTACTTTAGTCAGCAGATAAAGTGCTTCTTGGGTGCTCAGAGCCTTCCTGGTTGGCACTGACTAGCTTCCCTCGGTCCCAGAGGCCTGCCCTTCCAACCTCACTGGCATATTTTGGATCTTTGGGGACACATAAGGGATTCAAATATTTTGGATTGCTTTTATTTCTTCTCAAAATTACAATATATTCACAGAAAGGTTATCATTTTCACCATCTTGAAACACCCCATTCCATGGCCATCAATCCACACTTTCTCTCCTCTCTCTCTCTCCCTCTCACTCTCTCCCTCCTTCCCACCCTCTCTCTCCCCCTCCTCCCCCCTCCCTCCCTCCCTCCCTCCCTCCCTCACTTCCTCCCTCCCTCCCTCCTTCCCTTTCTCTCTCTCTCTCTCTCTCTCTCTCTCTCTCTCTTTCTCTCGCTCTCTGTCTGTCTGTCACTGTTTCTTGCTCTCTTGCTTTCTTTCTCCCCCGGCAGTTCTCAGAGGCCACAGTGGTGCTGCCGGTGAGCATGTGTTACACTGGGATTCAAACCCTTGTTGAGGCCATAGGCCTTGCGAGGCAAGTGCCTTCACCTCTGTGTTCTCTGCAGCCCTTCATTCTTGAACATCAGCTGTCCTTAAAAGTTCCAAGTGGTATCTTAGGATTTCGACCAACAGTTCCTTAGCAGTGAATGGCATTGAGCATGTGCTTATTTACCCTTTGTTGTATTTCTTCTTCGTAGAAAATGTTTAAGTTCATTGTCTTTGTGTGTGTGTGGGAGGGGTAGTGGATTCTGGGGATTGTGCCCAAAACATGCAAGGCAAGTGCTCTCTTTTTCAATCAGGTGTTTTTTTTTAATGAGATACAAGGGGATGGAGAGATAATTCAGTGGGCAGGGCACTTGCCTTGCACATGGCCAGCCCGGGTTCGATCCCCTGCACCCCCTATGGTCCCTTGAGTACCACGAGGAGTGACTCCTGAACACAGAGCTTTGTTCTTTGTCTCACTGCACAGAGGGGAGAGATCAGAATGCTGCTCTGTTCCCCAGAGCTTTGACCCTGAACTGTTCTTGGTAGCTTAGCCCCGTGCTACCCAAAGTGGGTGCTATTGCTCCCTTGGGAGGCACTGGTGCCACCACGGGCCCGTGGTAGGGGGGGTACTCTCTGTTCACTTAAAGTAGAGGACCAGGAGAAACTTTTTTCCCTGGAAAGGGAGTGGTAGGTCAAATTTAATTTGGGGACTTTTGATTCAACATAATAATTAGCTGTTAAATAACATTTCCTCAATCTGATGTTTTAAGTTTTTATATAGCACAGCCGGTAGGGCGTTCGCCTTACAAGCGGCCAACATGGCCAACCCGAGTTCGATTCCTCCGCCCCTCTCGGAGAGCCCGGCAAGCTACCGAGAGTATTCTATTTGCCAGACACAGTAACAACAAAGTCTCCAATGGAGACGTTACTGGGCCCGCTCGAGCAAATCGACGATCAATGGGAGGGTCTTTAGATTTTAGATTTTTTCGCCCACTACCTGGCTGGCATAGAAGTCGGCCTGCCAAGGCTCTGCGAATTACCGGCAGCAATTTGGAACTGGCCTGTCCTCTTGGTGAGATTTTATTTTAACTACAAAGAGAGTGCTTTTACATTGGCCTGTCGAGTTGGTGAGCTTTCTCACGGACTTTAGAGATTCCAGTAGTAGTTTGGTGGTTCCCGTTTTTTAGGCTAGAAATTCCCCATCCTTCTGAACAATATGGATTTTCAAGCCTATGTCGGGGCATTAGAGGGGAAAGCTGGTCTCTCTCACTAACTCGAGTGCACACAGTTCTGTTCCCCAATGGAGAAAGGATTACAGGGGATAAGGCAACTGTGAGCAGGTGAAGAGGAAACAACAGAAGGTGGATCTAGGCAATGAACCCCCCAGGCCAATGCTGGGCGGGCTCCAGACACACTGTCTGCTGTCGCCTCTGTTCTCTGCCAACAAGGAGAGGCCATCTCTGGGGGAAACCCAGGGAAGGGCCGCTCCATGGTCATGGGACAGCACCTGGCGACCTAGTTCATTCCAAGAGCCCAAATAGAAGTGTGAAATGATTTTGAGAGCACTGAATCCCAGAGTGATATCCACTATGATTCGGCCTGCATCATGGAATCATAAATACATAAGGAAGACGTCATGAAATATTGACTGGCAGAACCACCCCGAGGGAAATGTAGATGAGAGGAAAGGTCTTATGTGTGTTCCTGGGGTGCCCCCGTGGAAGGAACGTGGGACCTGCAGAGCCTTTACGTTAAAAAAAAATTTTGGCACCACGATTTGTAATATTGCCATAGTGTTTCATACATGCAAGGTTCCAAATCACACCCCCACCAGAGCGTCCCCCAACCTCAACACCCCTCCCCATCCTTGACCATGGGAAGTTCAGTTCTGTAGACTAGACTTAGGTTGTGTTGCTCTGGGCCACTTTTTGTTCTCTTCTGTTTCTATCCTATGTATGAGAGAGTCCTCCTAGAGCTGTCCTCTCCTCTGACTGATGTCACTCAGCATGGTCCCTTCCTTTTCCATCCACACCGAGGCAAATTGTACAGTCTTTTATTTTTTTTTAGCTGAGTAGGGCTGGAGCGATAGCACAGTGGGTGGGGCATTGGCCTTGTTAGTGGCCAACATGACCAACCCAAGTTTGATTCCTCCGCCCCTCTTGGAGAGCTCGGCAAGCTACCGAGACTATCTCACCAGCATGGCAAAGCCTGGCAAGCTCCCCATGACATATTCGATATGCCAAACACAGTAACAATTGTCACAAGGGAGACATTACTGGGCCTGCTCAAGCAAATCGATGAACAGCAGGAGGACAGTGACAGTGACAGTGAGTAGTGTTCCATTGGATATGTGACCATCATTTCTGTCCAGTCCTCTGTCCTTGGACACTTGAGTTGTTTATACACTTGGCTAGTGAATAGTGTTACCATAAATATAGGGGTCTCTTCTAAAGTTTTTGAGCTCCTAAGTTAAGAAGTGTAATTGCTGGGTCATACGGAAGCACAAGCTTTTAGTTTTTTTGAGAAGTTCCCATATTGTTTTCCAAAAAGGTTGACTGGTTGTCATCCCCAGCAGCAGTGAATGAGGGTCTTGTCCCCCCGCATCCCACCAACACTGGTTGTTTGTGTCCTGTGTGAGATAATATCCTGATGGTAAGGGAGGCAGAGTGTTTTCTCACACACCTATTTTCCTCCTATCTGTCTTCTCTGAGGAAATTTCTCTCCATCTCTAGATATATTTTGAAAGTTTCAGAGGGAAGTTCCAGCCTGAAGCAGTGTTCACCTTGGCCCAGGCTGCTTTCTTTATTCCAGATTTCTGAGACCATGCTTAGTTATTTCAAACATAGCTGTGGACTAACTCTGTTTGTTGGCTGTTAGAGCGTTATCCACGCTATGCATTTAAAATGTGCTTGGTTATCTAAAATCTGAAAAAAAAAAAAAACACTGAGTGCCCGAGAACAGGCGACTGGCTAAAGAGAATCTCTGATGTATCTATACAATGGAATACTATGCCGCTGTTAGAAAAGATGAAGTCATGAAATTTGCATATAAGTGGATCAACATGGAGAGTATCATGCTAAGTGAAATGAGTCAGAAAGAGAGACATAATAGGACCATACTCATGTGTGGAATATAAAGTAACTGAATGGGAGACTAACACCCAAGGATAGTGGAGATAAGGACCAGGAGAATTGCTCCACAGCTTGGAAGCCAGCCTCACATGCTGAGGGAAAAGGCAGCTCAGATAGAGAAGGGACCACCAAGTAAAGGATGCTTGGAGGGCCCGCTCAGGATGGGAGATGTGTGCTAAAAGCTGATTATAGACCGAACATGATGGCTGCTTAATACTTGCATTGCAGACCACAACACCTAAAGGTAGAGAAAGAGTGTGTAAAAGGGAATGCACCTGCTACAGAGGCAGGGGCGGGGGGGCTGGGGGAGGGGAAATGGGGTGGAGGTAGTGGGAGGGATACTGGAAACATTGGTGGTGGAGAACGGGCACTGGTGAAGGGATGGGTCTCGATCATTGTGTGACTGAGACGTAAGCATGAAAGTTTGTAAGTCTATAACTCTACTTTGCCTCTTGTCACACAGACTTGAAAGTTCTCTCCTGCCAGCAGAGACCCCACAGGGCACTTGTTTGGCAGCTCACGGTTTATCTCCGCAGATATCGACAACAGCGGCTATGTCAGCGATTACGAGCTCCAGGACCTGTTCAAGGAGGCCAGCCTCCCCCTGCCTGGCTACAAGGTGCGAGAGATCGTGGAGAAGATCCTCGTGGTCGCCGACCACAACAAGGACGGCAGAATCAGCTTTGAAGAGTTTGTTTCTGTGAGTCTGCCTGCTTCTTTCCTGGGCCTGGGCTCCTTGGCTTTAAGCGGAATTTCCGCCCTGTCACACACTCTCCGAGTCCATCTGGTGGCAAGGACCCAGAAACGCTCAGTATTAATACGATGGTGGCATTAAAAATCATAACAGTTCCCACCCTGAATTCAGAAAGTGGAGGGGGAAACGGTCAAATTCTGGGAATGGAGGTCAGGATTAGATGATGATAGCTCAGTTCCCGTTCCAATTACGGTCGAGTTCAAGGCACGGAGTTTTTGTTTTTTGGGGGGGGCAGGGGCAGGGGTCACACCTTGGTGATGCACAGGGGTTACTTCTGGCTCTGCACTCAGGAATCACTCCAGGCGGTGCTTAGGGGACCCTATGGGATGCTGGGAATGCAACCCGGCTCGACCATGTGCAAGGCAAATGCCCTACCCGATGTACTATTGCTCTAGCCCCAGGGCATGGAGTATTTTAATATCTTCATACTCAGCTTTGGGAAATGGAGTCTTTTTTTGGAAACAGAAGTAGCTAAGGTGCAATCTCGCAACTGGTGGTTTCCTTGCAGTGAATGATGTTTGTAATTTCAATAAAAGCCAGCAGGGAAATGGTGATGGTCCCTACGGTAGATATTGTCGCATGCATTTTGCTTATTTAGGATTCTGGGTCATGCCCACCAGTAAGCTCAGGAGTCACTCTTGGCTCTGTGTGTGAGCTCAGTCCCAGCCATGCTCAGACAGATGACCCTCTGCTGTTAGGGACGGAACATGGTCTCCAGCATGCAAAGCTCAAACCCTTGAGCTGTTTCTCCATTCCATAATTTTATTTCTAAAAAGGCTTTTGTTTTTGTCGCTGTTGTTTTGGATTTTTGGTTCACCCTGAGTGGTACTTAGAGGCTACTCCTAGCTCAGTACCACATATGCATTACCAAGTGCCACCAGGAGTGATCCTTGAGCACAGAGCCGAGAGTAAGATCTGAGCACCACTGGCTGTGGGCCCAAACCAAAATCATAAATATAATGCTGAACTTGATTGAACTTTCTTGTAAGTCAAGACCCTCTATAAAACGTGTAAATAACAGCATAAATAACTCCTGGCTGGTGTTTAAGCCACGCAGTCCCCTTTCAGGCTCTTCTCACATACCGAAGGACTGTCTTGGTAACCTCAGCACAGGGACAGCTGCAGGATTTGAACTCCCAACCCTGCACCTTGCAAACAAATGCTTCAAGCATGGAAGCATTCCATCTTCCAGATCCTGATACTTATTTTGATGTCATTTCAACTAAGTACATTGATCTTTCGTGTCAAAAAAGTCTTCTTTTGTGATTCCTTGATCAAGACCTCCCATTTTATTTATATCTGATCCCAGCTGATGCAAGAGTTAAAAAGCAAGGACATCAGCAAGACGTTCCGGAAAATAATTAACAAGAGGGAAGGCATTACCGCGATCGGAGGGACGTCTTCCATCTCCAGCGAGGGCACGCAGCACTCTTACGCAGGTGAGTGAGGAGTCGGAGGGTCGCATCCATCTCCTAGGTGGGTGAGTTGTCTCCCCTTCCCCTTCCCCCACAGATGTGGGGGAACAATTTCCCTCAGTGTACCCAGACATGTTGCGCACCAGGGCAGACATGGGGCGAAGAATGACTGACATGCTGATGGCTGTTCACTTCATTGCCAAATTACACACATATTTTATGGAGGATCTCACTCAGCTTACAAGAAAGCCCAATCACATGAAGTTCAGCATTATTGGCCTATCACTTCTCCAACTCTGCTTTACCCCGGTTCAATCCCGATCAAGGCTAGGTGCTGCAGTTAGGATGACTTGCTAAGCGTATGTGACAGTTTCGTGTGTTAGGGCTCATGTGATAGGAGGTCGAGTGAGGCTCAAGGCCGAACACTGGGTGCTGGCTGACACCCTGTTCTTGCCAGTGTTGCCTAGATACTCCCTCTTGCAAGGCTTTGCTTCTGGGCCACTTTGCAAGTTCGGGTCTTATCTGATCCAGTGCCCGTCACCATGTTACACACACACACACACACACACACACACACACACACACACACACACCCCGTCCTTTTCTTTTTTCTTTCTTTCTTTTTTTTTTTTAAAGTTCATTCTAGTTTCAGGAATATCTTTTCTACAAGTGTTATCATTTAGGGTCTCGGTGAGCCCAATAACCCAATTCACCTCACCACCTAAAACGCCATCTTTCAGCCCCCAAGTCATTTGGAGACTCTGCTTTCTGTCAGAGCTAAATTGCCTTTCTTGGTTATTAACACCCTGTCTCATGTGTCATGGACGAGAGTCAGGCAACATTTCAGCTTGCTCTCCACCTTGACTTGTGTCAGCTGCAGAGCTGTCGGAATGAGAAATCCCGGTCTTGTGGAGTTCCGTAAATTCATGCCAGAGGTCCAGTGGCAGAAAGAGACTCTCACTTTGCTGTTTAGTTGTGGCCTATGAGTGTGAAGTTCTCAGGAACTGACGCAGGCCCTTCCTCTCTCAGATCCATCCATGACCAGCAGCAAGGTTTCTTTTTTTTTTTATATTTATTTATTTATTTTTAAAATTTATTTATTTATTTATTGAATCACCATGGGAAAGGTTACAAAGCTTTCAGGTTTAGGTCTCAGTCATGCAAATATCAAGCACATTTCCCTTTACCAAAACTTATTTTTTACCATGAAGAGCCCCAATAAAACCCCACCCCCCACCCCTCCCAGTCCCTGTGGGGCAGATGAATTCTAGTTAACACTCTATCTGCTTTGATTAGATTCATTGTTTCAATAAAAGATTCACCACTATTATTTAGAGTTTACCCGCCCCCCCAAATCAGACATGCTGACAAAGCATTGTGAAGTGATTTGCTTTCTACAGCTGGGTTCAAGAATTATATGTTGGTTTTGGATTTCTGCTATTTTACTTATTGACCCTGAAGTATTTCTACTGAAAGTCAGATAGTTAAGAAATTGGTTTCTGTGCTCTGGAGTCGTGGCCGTGCTGGAGAGCTGCTAGTGGGGGGCAACTGGTGACCTCGGTAGGGCGTGAAGGACGGACCGGAACGCCCCCCTTCCCATGAGGTTTTAGTCGCCCCCACACCCCCGGCTCATACCTGCTGTCCACAAGGCTCCCATGTGGCCGCCATCTTTCTTTCCAGAGAGGAGAAGGCGACTGGGGCAACACCCTTTCCCCTCCGGACAGACCTGATGGCCTGGATTAATGCATAGTCCGTTCACTTTTCTGCTCCAAGCTGTCGGGTTCTGCATTAAGTCCTTGTGCTTCTGGGGCCGTGGCCGTGCTGGAGAGCCGCTCGCGGGGGGCAACTGGTGACCTCGGTAGGGCGTGAAGGACGGACCAGAACACCCCCCTTCCCATGAGGTTTTAGTCGCCCCCACTCCCCCGGCTCATACCTGCTGTCCACAAGGCTCCCATGCAGCCGCCATCCTTCTTTCCAGAGAAGAGAGGGCGAATGGGGCAACACCGTTTCTCCTCCGGCAGACTTGATGGCCTGGATTAACGCATGGTCCTTTCACTTTTCTGCTCCAAGCTTCCGGGTTCTGCATTAAGTCCTTGTGCCCCCGGGGCCATGGCCGTGCTGGAGAGCCGCTCGTGGGGGGCAACTGGTGACCTCGGTAGGGCGTGAAGGACGGACCGGAATGCCCCCCTTCCCATGAGGTTTAAGTTGCCCCCACACCCCCGGCTCATACCTGCTGTCCACAAGGCTCCCATGTGGCCGCCATTCCTCTTACCAGAGGGAGGAGGGTGGAAGGGACCAACACCCTTTCCCCTCCGGGAAGACATGATGGCCTGGATTAACGCATAGTCCTTTCACTTTTCTGCTCCAAGCTGCTGGGTTCTGCATTAAGTCCTTGTGCTTCTGGGGCTGTGGCCGTGCTGGAGAGCCACTCGCGGGGGGCAACTGGTGACCTCGTTAGGGCGTGAAGGACGGACCGGAATGCCCCCCCTCCCATGAGGTTTTAGTCGCCCCCAGTCCCCCGGCTCATACCTGCTGTCCACAAGGCTCCCATGTGGCCGCCATCTTTCTTTCCAGAGAGGAGAGAGCGAATGGGGCAACACCCATTCCCCTCCGGACAGTCATGATGGCCTGGATTAACGCATAGCCCGTTCACTTTTCTGCTCCAAGCTGCTGGGTTATGCATTAAGTCCTTGTGTTTCTGGGGCTGTGGCCGTGCTCCAAACTTAACTATGATTTTCAGAGAGAAACGTTGGGTGGTTTACTTCCCATGGATCACTTTGTATATAGAGAGATGTCGCACGGCCGCATGAGCGGCCGTGCGGTTTTGAGGAAAAGTTCTAGTTCCCACATACTCGAGCTGTGGTTGTAGAGGCTTCTGGTCACCGGGGTTCCATCTGGTGGAGGCGGGATGCGGTACCTACCCCATCTGGACTTCCCGATGATCTCGGCTCTTTTTGGAACCTGTTTTTTTTTTTTTCCTTCGGGATCTGTGGATCCCGCCCTCCATGTTGTCCTTCTCTTCGGCTGAATGCTGTAAGTATGGCGCTGGGGGGCGGACTGTGGGCGTGACTTCCAGAATCTGAGGTTACCTGGGAGTTGTAGTCCCGGCAGATTTGAGGAAAAGTCCAAGTTCCCGCATACTCGAGCTGTGGTTGTAGAGGCTTCTGGTCACCGGGGTTCCATCTGGGGGAGGCGGGATGCGGTACCTACCCCATCTGGGGCTTCCCGATAATCTCGGCTCTTTTTGGAACCTGTTTTTTTTTTTTTCCCCTTTGGGATCTGTGGATCCCGCCCTCCATGTTGTCCTTCTCTTCGGCTGAATGCTCGCAGCAGGGTTTCTTTTTTATCTTTTTTTTAAATTTTTCTTTTTGGGTCACACCCAGTGATGTTCAGGGGTTACTCCTGGCTCATACACTCAGGAATTACTCCTGGCGGTGCTCAGGGGACCATAGGGGATGCTGGAAATCTAACCCAGGTCAGCTGCATGCAAGGCAAACACCCTACCCGCTGTACTATCGCTCCAGCCCAATAGCAAGTTTTCTTGCCAGTGTTTTTCGCTTCCCTTTTCCCAGGAGCTGAGATTACCTATTCGTCTTGTGCCACCAGCCAAGTGGCCAGAGAGCAGAACTCCTGAGTTTCTCGGTCTGATAGAATCACTGGGTTGTTGCCCAGAGGGAAATGCAGCCACGTTAGCTGCCCTGCCCCTGTCAAGCTTGCTTGTTGGGTTGAGATGTTTGAGAACCTTTTTGTTTTTTCTTTTTGGGTCACACCCAGTGATGCACAGGGGTTACTCCTGGCTCTACACTCAGGAAGTATTCCTGGAGGTGCTCAGGGAACCATATGGGATGCTGGGAATCGAACCCAGGTTTGCTGCGTGCAAGGCAAACACCCTACCCACTGTGCTATCACTCCAGCCCTCAATATGTCTGAAAACCTTTGGCCAAGTTCCTTCAATCTGGATTCACTTAGTTAGAATGATTCTTTTTGCATTTTTCTTCCTCTCTGGGCTTGTGTCCACCTGCGTCTGTTGGCATGTTCACCCTCTCTCTGGTAGCCCATTCCCTGGCTATTGTAAGCAGCACTGCAGTGAGCAAAGCTTTGCGGCTCTCTCTTTCAATTAATGATTTTTTTTTTTTTTTGCTTTTGCTTTTTGGGTCACACTTAGCGTCGCACAGGGGACGACTGCACTCCGGAATTACTCCTGGCAGTGTTTGGGGAACCATATGGGATGCTGGGAATTGAACTCAGGTTGGCACGTGCAAGTCAAATGCCCTACCCAATGTGCTATCGTTCCAGTCCTGTAATGTTTTATTCTTTGAATAGATTTTTAGCAGCAGAATTGCTGGGTCAGATGGAATGCATTTTAAATATTTTGAGTAATCTGCATATTTTTTGTCATAGCAACTAGATCCATTCCTATTCCTGCCAACACTGGCTAAGGGCTCCTTTTTCTCCTCATCCCCGCCAGAACTGATGGTCCCCAGTGAGGCCATGGGCTATCCTCACATGTGTGAGGTGATGTTTCATTGTCATTTTGATTTGCATTTCCTCAATGATCAGAAATAATGAGCATCTTTTCCTGTGCCCATTGGCCACTCGTATGTCTCTTATTTGTGTGGAGTATCTATATAGTTATTATTTAATGGAGCTGTCTGTTGTTGAGTGTTGTGAGTGCTTTAGGTTTCTTGGTCATTAGTTCTTTGTCACATGTGTGTTGTGTGAATATTTCCTCCCATTCAATCAACAGGATACCTTTCTGTTTTAATATTTTCACTGTAGTTTCTTTTTTTGGAAATGTACGTCATCATTGTTTTCATCATCATAACAGTGTGGTGGTAGTAATTATAGTGATTATTTTAGTCATTCTTGACATATAAGCAGAGTTGTGTGATCATTACTGCCTAATTTTAGAATCTGCTAATTACCCCCAAAGATCAACACCATGTTCATTAGCCTCGCTGCCCGCTGCCCTGTCCCCGTCTCTGATGGCTGCTATCTCCTCTTTACTTCTATAGATATGCTGTTATGGACATTTCACTTAAATGGACTCAGACATAATGATCTGTCATTTCACGGGTTTCTCAACTCGTATCAGTTTTCAGTAATTATCTGTATTTATTGTAGCATCCATCATACTTTCCTTTATGGATTTCTCCTGTTTATTTCCTCCCTCCCTCCCTCCCTCCCTCTCTCCCTCCCTCCCTCCCTCCCTCCCTCCCTTCCTTCCTTCCTTCCTTCCTTCCTTCCTTCCTTCCTTCCTTCCATCTTTTGATTTTATAAACCACACCCAGTGGTGCTCAGGGTTTACCCTTGGCAGAACTTGGAGGACCATATGGAGTGCCAGAAATTGAACCCCAGTCAGCCACGTGCAAGGTTTCTGAATACTCTGTTCCATGATGGTGATAATTTATCTCTCAAATAGTACCTTCTCCATAAGGATTTTTTCTTAATCATCCCAACTGGAGGTGATCAATTTGTTAAATTCTTCATTTTGTATTGTCCCTCACATTTCACTTAGTCCTTCATCATTTGATACATTTCTGGATTGTTCTTCATCTGGGGTTTTTGTGAATCTGTTGTGGTATGCTCCAGTATACACTTCTGTGTGGACATATGCTTTAAATTCAATTCACTCTTTACTTAGCAGTGGAATGACTGGGGGCATTGGCAATTCTGTGTTTAATATTCAAGACAACTGCAATACTATTATCCAAAATAGCTGTACCATCTTCCATGCCCATGAGCCATGGGTGAAAGTCCCCGTTTCTTAAAGTCTCGCTAACACTTGTTATACGATTGTGAAGACATTCCAGTTTTATCTATAGCCGTTCTAGTAGTTGGGAAGTGGCCTCCCATCCCTGGTTCCTGTCCCTAAAACATCCTCCTTTGACCTTCCCTTCCTCACTATTAAAGCTCTCTCTTGGGCCAGAGCGTAAAGTGCTCGGCTTGCATGCAGCTGACCTTGGTTCAAGCCCCAGAACCTGAGCACTGTATATGTTCCCTGAGCACTGCCAGAAGTCATCCCTGAGTGTAGAATCAGGAGTAAACGATGAGCATAGCTTGATGTGGCCCCCAAACAAAAATGAGGATAATGATGATAATTTATTTCTCAAATAGTACCTTCTCCATGAGAATATTTTCTTAATTATCCCAATGGAAGCGATCATTTTGTTAAATTCTCCAAAACATCTCCCTGGTGGTAGGTGATTTTCCTCATTTCTTTGCTTTGCATAGTTATTCTATCTTGTCATCACACTAAAAATTTCTCAGTGGGACTGATAATATTCATGTGATCTTTAAATCCATAGATTTTTAAATCTAGTCTCAGAGGAGGTATGAATGGGAGTTAAATAAAGAGAATTATGACATGAAAAAAAGGGAAATACTAGTAATCTTTCTGCATGTATTGATTCTCTTTGTATGTAAGAAAGAGACAGACAGACACACCCTTAGGAAAATGACCTAAATCTAGGAATTTGGGTAATAAGGGGGATGGTTGGCTCATTCACTACCTGCTCTCTTGTTTTGAAAATGGGAAATATTTTCTTTGAGGATTTATATTGTTCAAGCAATTCTTCAGTTCATAGATGAAACAATAGGACTCTTGCAGGAGAGTTTCACTCTGTTCCCTTTGCCTGGTCTGCCGGCAGTCACATGACAGCTCCTGAGACTGAGGGCAGTGAAAGCTCATGCTGGTGCCTCAGTTGGCGTCACTTTTCTCGTAGGAAGCTTGCAGAGAGGCCGCTATGCTGTTGCTTTTAGTGACTCTTGAGCAAAATTAGTGCTTCTGTTGGAAGCCCCAAATAAAAACTATCAATTTTATCAATTTGGAGGATAGTGAATTTATCCTGTGGCTTCTTGCTGGTTTTGTTTTTATTCCACATAAGACTGTGTGTGTGAGAGAGAGAGTGTAAGAGAGAGACAGAGAGAGAGAGAGACAGACAGAGACAGAGTATCCGTGTGAGAGAGAAAGTGTGTGTGTGCATGTGTGTGAGAGAGTGTGTCTATGTGTATGTGAGAGAAAGTGTGTGTCTGTGTTTGTGTGAGAGAATGTGTGTGCGAGAGAGAGATAGAGTGTGTGTGTGTGTGAGTGTGAGTGAGTTTGTCTGTGTGTGTGAGAGAAAGTATGTGTGTCTGTGTATGTGTACGCATGTGTATGTGAGCATGCGCATGTATATCTAATGATTGGCTTCTGATTCATTAGCTCAGAAGCAGTATATCTGTAGAAAGATTCTGGAACCACATTCTGCTCCTTTAAACCGTAGACCTATTCCACTCAGATCGGGCGAACAGAAGTGGAGCGAGGCCCTCTGGCTTGGACACGTTCGTGTTTTCGTAGCATCTGAACAGTCACACTTCTGGGATGGGAACAGGAAGGCGGAGTCTCTAGGGCCTTGAGTGCTATGGGATGGGTTTGCCTACTCACCTTTTCTCTCTCCAGAGGAGGAAAAGGTGGCCTTTGTCAACTGGATCAACAAGGCCCTGGAGGGGGACCCCGACTGCCAGCACCTGCTGCCCATGAACCCGGCAGATGGCAGCCTCTTCAAGTCCCTGGCCGACGGCATCCTGCTCTGGTGAGATGCCTGCTCCCCCATGGGCACTCTGGGAACACTCCACTTTGCAGTTTTTTTCTTTTTCTTTTTGCTCTTTTGTCTACTTATAAAAGCAAACTGAAAACATTTCAGGGAGTCTAAATTATTCCCATTTTCTCCTTAGCAAAATGATCAACTTATCTGAACCAGATACAATTGATGAAAGAGCCATTAATAAGAAAAAACTGACTCCTTTCACGGTTTCTGTAAGTATTGGCCTTCTGCAGGGACCAGCTGTGAGGCTTTTACTGGCGGGTGTGCAGGCAGGGCGAAACCTCGGCGTGAGAGCAGAATTCAGTTCCCTCTGAAAGCGAATGGCAAATTCCCAATACCATGTTCTCTTGTTGTTCATGAAAGAAACACTGCGTGGAGAATGTTTTACTTCTTCACAGAAAGTTCAGCTCTTTGTACTAAATTGTTCCGCCATCAGCTTTTTTTGGGCCAGATCTTGTCAGAAGGCAGGGAGTCATAGAAACTTTGTCATCAGGGAGGGGACCACCACAGAGGGCACCTGTGAAAGGGACAGTGATAAAGGGAAGTGGCCACTCTGGACATATACTTGGTGCCTGTCACTTTGGTGACCTGCTTCTTCAGGCCACAGGGCCACACGTGGCCAGTGCGTATAAAGGGGCCACTATGAGATTAGCTCTATTCTAGGGTGGGTTTCTGCCCTTGCTTTCTGGGGACCCACAGCAAATATCCTTGTGCTCTTAGGAGAGAAGACGGAGAGATTCTCTGCACCAAACCTCAGGGGCATGTGCTGTCCTCTGAAGATCATTCTGATTTGCTGTAGGGAACTTAGGCACATCAGAAGATACTCCAGATACACACTGCCCATATTTTAATCATATTTTTACACAAAGTTATAGAAAATAAATGAAAATGTCTTTGCTGTATAAGTCACAAATAACAGCACTGTAGGAAAAGGAGTTCCGTATTATTGTTGTGGGAGGTTTTTAAAAAAATATATATATACATATGTGTGTATGTATACACACATACACACATTCTGGATCTCAGTTTCTTAAAACCAAAATTTGCATGATTTTTGTGCCACTCATTGGGTCCCTTTTTACTCTGTGGGTATTGTCCTTTGAAACATAACCTGGAATGGTCAGACTCCATTTTATTTTAGTTTTGGGGCACACCTGGCTATATTTAGGACTTAGTCCTGGTTCTACACTCAGAAATTACTCCTGGTGGGCTTGGGGGACCATTTTGGGTGCTGAGGATTAAACCTCGGTTACCGCATGCAAGACAGGCACCCCGCCCACTCTCTGGCCTCAAATAGATCCCATTTTATGTCACTTTTCAAGTTCTCTGTTACTTGAAAAATTAAACTTCATTGCACTTTGTTTTTTTAACCAAAGTGCTTCTAAATAGGGACCTTATAGAATTTCTTCAAATCATTAACCTAACACTGATACTACTGAAATTCCCCAGGGAATATCATGAAAGGGTAATGTTTATATAATATGTAATGTCAATAGTAGTTCCTTCCTTCCTTCCTTCTTTCCTGGGTATGCGAACACTATGAATGCACGGGGGAAAGAAATGACTCATTTTTTGGTGTGAGGGAGGTGACACAAGATAGTTGTCACAGAAGCTATGACACTTGATGGGAGGAATGAGACTTTGCCTTGGGGACCGTCGTCAGTCCCAGGGAAAGTCCTGTGAAGGGCCGTTCTGTCCAGTGAATGTCTCAACTCTGTGTGTAGTGTTGGGAGGTAAAGGCAGAGACAAGTCCCAAAGGTTTCGGTGCTCAGACTGTGGGTGAGACTTGAGCCCTCGCTTCCCTGCCTAGCCTCGCGCCGGGGATCAGTCAGGACCCTCTACTGTAACAGCGCTGACACCCGTTGGGGTGTCCATAGTAGGAAACGCAGGAACAGACAGGAGGGGCAGAGGAGAGCAGGGAGTGATGCGTGCTCTCGGCTCAGTGGTGGCTGACACTCTGGATCTTTCCAGGAAAGGCTTTCAGAACTTTTTTCAGGGTGAGTTGAGCAGCCTTGAAGGAGCTGGGGCATGTGGGGGAGTGCGTTCCCATGGGCTCGGAGGCCCTGGTTAGCCACAACAAAAGAAGGAGGCCACGGGAGAGGGACAGGAAGCATCTGATGGCTCTTCTAGCTAGAATCCAGCTAGAGGGCCTGCCTGCTTACTCCGCACCCAGAAGAGTACCTGGAGATGGAGCCCAGGAGAGCCAGTCTGAGGGTGGAGGTTGGGACGGAATGTGAAAACCAGAAGAAGGGCACTGAGCGTTTCCAGACGGTTTTTTTTGTTTGTTTGTTTGTTTGTTTTTCTTTTTGCCATTTTAAAGATAGGGTTTTTTTTAAATTAATAATTAAATTTCCAATTTCATAAGTGACTTTTTAACTTTGAGCAGTGTGATTTACAATACTGCTAGTGGTTACTGTCACTGTCACTGTCCTCCCTTTGTTCATCGATTTGCTCGAGCGTCCCCGGTAGCATTGTGAGACTTGTTACTGTGTTTGGCATATCGAATACGTCACGGTTAGCTTGCCAGGCTTTACCGTGCAGGCAAGATCCTCTCAGTAGCTTGCCAGGCTCTTCGAGAGGGGTGGAGGAATCGAACTTGGGTCAGCCATGTTGGCTGCATGCAAGGCAAACACCCTACCCACTGTGCTACCAGTAGTGGTAGGGTTTCATGTATAGAATATTCCAAGATCACACCCTCCATAGGGGGCCCCTCCCCACTCCTCTCATCCTGCATGCTGGCAAGCGCAGTCCTGGAGACCAGTTTTCAGGTACAGAGGCATCCTAAGGGCACTGGCATCAAAGAGGAACAGGGTTTGGAGATTTCTCAAAAAGGCAAGAGTGAATAATGGAAATAAAGAAGTAAATAATAAATAAATTATAAATAAATAAATATAAGTAAATAATAAGTAAAGAAGTAAAGATGGAAATGAAGAAGGAAATAAAGAACATTTTAATAGGGTCTGAGAGGAAGCCGGGGTGGCCGGGAGAGGTGAGAAGGGGCTTCAATGTCAGAGTCCCTTGGAATCCCCAGGGAGGTGTAGCCAGTCCTTGTATGGGCAGGGGTGCAGAGTTGAGAGGCGTGGGGGTGGGCGAAGGGGCGTAAGTAGGTAGGTGTGGATTGAAAGTCCTGAGCGTGCAGCAGTGACTGGGAGTGTCGGGATTTGCTTCTGCTTTTTCTGAGTGGTGTTATTTCAGTGGGAAACACACATTTCTGCAGTCCCTCATTTGCGTTATCTTCCCCACGCCTAAAGCCGACTTTCTAAAGCAACCCTCGTGTCTTTATTTCCCGGTGACACTGCAGGAGAACCTGAACCTTGCGCTGAACTCTGCCTCGGCCATCGGCTGCACCGTGGTCAACATCGGCGCCCAGGACCTCAAGGAGGGGAAACCGCACCTGGTCTTGGGCCTCATCTGGCAGATCATCAAAGTCGGCCTTTTCGCTGATATCGAGATCTCCAAGAACGAAGGTAACAGTCGCCAGCCGCCTGGATGTTGGCTTTTCCCTACGGCGCGGCTTCCTTGGGAAGAGACTGACTTGTCGCTCCCTCCCGCCCAGCTCTGATCGCACTGCTTAAGGACGGGGAGGAACTGGAGCTGCTGATGAAGCTCTCCCCGGAGGAGCTGCTGCTGCGCTGGGTGAACTACCACCTGACCAATGCGGGCTGGAGGAACATCAGCAACTTCAGCCAGGACATTAAGGTCTGGACTCAGCGTCCGAAATACGGGAGTAGCACTGCACTGTAGCACGATCCTCCCATTGCTCCTCAGTTTGCTCGAGCGGGTACCAGTGGCGTCTCCATTGTGAGACTTCTTGTCACTGTGTTTGGCATCTCGAATATGCCACGGGGAGCTGGCCAGGCTCTGCCGTGAGGGTGGGATACTCTCGGTAGCTTGCCGGGCTCTATGAGAGGGGTGGAAGAATCCAATCCGGGTCAGCTGCGTGCAAGGCAAACGTCCTAGTAGAAGTTAAAAAAAAAAAGAAAGAAAAGAAAAATGAACTCAGGGTGTAGAGGCGGAGAAGTGTTCAAGTTTAAACTTGAAGCTGAGGACATAGTATAGAGAATGAAAATTTGCATTTCTTGATCCAAAGTAGATTCCCCAGCTGTCATTACAGACTTTTTTTTTTGCTTTTTGGGTCACACCCAGCAATGCACAGGGGTTACTCCTGGTTCATGCACTCAGGAATTGTTCCTGGCAGTGCTCAGGGGACCATATGGGATGCTGGGTTGGTAGCGTGCAAAGCAAACGCCCTACCCACTGTGCTATTGCTCCAGCCCCCATCACGGACTCTTACAAATGAAGAAACAGGAGGCTGGTGGTAGAGTGCACACTTTCATGTGTGAGGCTCTGGGTTTCATCCCCACACATATATTGCATACACACATACACACACACACACACACACAGTTACTGGCTTGCAATAGGAAACACAACTGAGTGACATTTGTACTACTAGACTTAGCAGATTAAAGTATTTTTCCTTATTTTGGGGACAGGGAGGTGCCTGGCAGGAATCCCAGGCCTCACACGTGGGGCAGGCCCCCTCCCCCACCCAGCCGTGCCCCTTCCCCTCTTTCCCACTGTTTCACAGGCCACAGCTAGACTCAGTCACACTGAGGGTGACAGTCAGCCAGTCCGGACCGAGAAGGACATCTTTCTGGTGACTGGAGGTCCTGTGGGCATGACCGCTCCTCACTCCTGCTCCAGCTCACCAGTAACCACTGGCCAGAAGCGACATGGTCTGAGGAGAGGCGGGCACTGGGGGCCAGGTCTCCTAAGCGCCTTCCCCCCCAGGAGAGGCCTGTATTGGACCCTGGCTGTGACACCCGGTGACCCCTGGCAGCTGCCTGCTCTGTCCGGCGTCTGTCTCTCTCTCTTATGTCCAGTCTCACTTGACACTGACTCTGGGGATCACTTGCTCTGGGGATCAGTTACTTCTCCACTCAGGTCATGTTTCTCCCTGATGGCCTGGACAGAGGCACCCCAGCTTCTGTTTTGATCTGTCCTGTTCTCTCCCACGACAAAATCACTCAGCGGGCCTTGGCAATGTACAGTCTTTAACTGAGACTATAAGAGCCCTCCCTCATTCCCCCTGCCCCCGTTACACTGAGGCTCGTCCCCCGCATTGTTCCGTAACCCCCACTTTAGGAAACACCAGCCTCACTCACCATCTCTTCAAATGACACTGATTTGCTCTGCTTTTATCTTTGATCCGTTTGTTCAAACGTTTATTTTCCGGGTGGGCTGGGGGTTTCTTCTAATTTCAAAATTTTTCTCCTCTTATATTTGTAACCCCTCCGGCAGGGCCCCATGAGAGTCTTTGCAGACCCTCATCAAGTCAGACATTTCTTGAGAATTATCTTCATGATACGGGGCGGGGGGGGGGACTTCCAACAGGAGATGTGTCAGCTGAGACCGAGTCAGCTTAGCATAACGGCCCCCAGTGTGTGTCCTGACTTAGGGCTAGGATGGGATGCGTCTGGGACAAATGGTCATGCTTCTGCTCTTTGGTTGGGGTCACTCCCTCAGGGGTCCTTGTTCCCAGTGTGTTTGGTTGGGTCACTCCCTCAGGGGTCCTTGTTCTCAGTGTGTTTGGTTGTGGTCACCCCCTTAGGGGTCTTTGTTCCCAGTGTGTTTGGTTGTGGTCACCCCCTTAGGGGTCTTTGTTTCCAGTGTGTTTGGTTGGGTCACTCCCTCAGGGGTTCTTGTTCCCAGTGTGTTTGGTTGGGGTCACCCCTTCAGGGGTCTTTGTTCCCGATGGCCCGAGGGGGGTCACTGCCTTAGGGGGGCTGTTTGGGCTGAGGCCCCACTCTGACACTTGGATTTGCTCCCAGCCTCTCCCCACGATTTACCTGGATTTCTCCCAGCTGCTCCACTTCACCAGCCGGGCTTCTTGTGCGGCTCTTGCAAGGGCCCCAAACATCACTTTTATTTCCTGTGGGTCAAAACAAGTCCCCGAGCCAGTCCAAGTGGGAGGAGAAGGAAAATAGATTCTGCCTGTCAGAGGCCCCTTATGCCCATATATAGGGAGAAATCCCAATTCCCGCCTGGAAGACAAAATCACTGCAGAAGGTCATAGCGCATGGCCTCTCCTTTACACCGGCGGTCCTGGGTGCTGTGTCTTGGAGGGGAGGGCCCTTAACCATTTTGAGAAGCCGGGAGGGGCCTCCACTGATGATCGTCACCCTGCAGTGACTGAGGCCACCTGGGCACGTCGACAGGCTGTTGGGGGGGGGGGGGAGGGGGGGGGGCGGGGGGAGGCGGGGAACAGGGTAAGCTCAAATCATGGCTGCGATGCAGTGAACATGCTCACAAGCCGCCCTGCCACTGCATTGTCTCCAGGTCGCTGATTCACTCCGAGTTAAGGACAGAGCGGGAGGGCCTCTCTCTGCACTGTTCCCCATGTGTCAACGACGGTTTCTCATTTCTGAGATGCCATTTCATTTCTTTCCTTGCAGGATTCTAGAGCCTACTTTCACCTGCTGAATCAGATCGCCCCTAAAGGGGACCGGGACAACGGCCCTGCCATCGCCATAGACATGTCAGGATTTAATGTGAGTGCGAGACTGAATTCAACTCAGTTTTTGGTAAAAATACACCAAACCTCAACTTTCCCATCTTAAGGGTACAGTTTAGTGGCGTGGAGAACATTCGCACCCCATACAGTTACACTGATGTCTCTGGAACACTCCTCATGCCCCACACCAGCCCCTGTCCTCGGGGACAATGAGCCATCTCTGCTTGGCCCCTGTTGGCTCTGCTTGCTTCTCTGCTGCCATGAACTTCACTTGAGTTTCGTTTTTAAAATTTTTATTTTAATGAATCACCGTAAGATACAGTTACAGACTTATAAACTTCGTGATTACGTTTCAGTCATACAGTGTTCGAATACCTACCCTTCCACCAGTGCCTGTTCTCCACCACTAATGTTCCCAGTGTCCCTCCTGCCTCCCCACCCCACCCCTGCCTCTGTGACAAGCACATTCCCTCTAACTCTCTCTCTTTCTCTCTCCTTTTGGGTCTTATGGTTTGCAATACAGGTACTAAGTGGCCATCATGTTTGGTCCATCGCCTACTTTCAGCATGCATCTCCCATCCTGAGCGAGCCCTCCAAGCGTCATTGACTTAGTGGTCCCTTCTCTATCCCAGCTGCCTTGTCCCCCAGAATGTGAGGTCAGCTTCCAAGCCGTGGAACGATCCTCCTGGACCTTATCTCTACTATGCTTCCTATGATGTTACTTTATATTCCATAAATGAGTACACTCATTCTATGTCTGTCCCTCTCTTTCTGACTCATTTCCCTGAGCATGATTCTCTCCATGTCCGAGTCTCTGGAAGGGAGTCCTCATTAGAACTCTTGTGATGCCAGGACACCGGGTCTTTGGCTGTCTATTGGACCAAAGCAGAAAAATGCAGAATTCTGTCCTTGACTATGTTGAACTGACCCTACATTTGCTTTTTCTCTGGCTCAGTATTATTGGACCTCAGATGGGATGCAGTTACCATGTACCGGGGCAAAGGAGCAACAGGCTACGTCAGTTGGTCAGATTGCTAAGTAATTCATTATTAGTTTCACCAACTTACATTAGGAAATAGACACATTAGAAATAGCAGTTCCTAATATCTGGTGGCCCAGAAAGGTTGATGCATATTCCTATCATCTCTTAGCTGAGTTGTAAATATAAGAGTGATGCTATTAGAACACTAAAATCTGGCCAGAGTATGAACATCTAGTTAAATACCTAAAGTGCAACACCCACAATATTTCATTGTAAAGGCAGTTGGCATCATTACTAATTAACTCGTTTCACATCATTATGGCAAAACATCCAAGAAACCTAGTGTTCTGGTAGAACTATGCAGAAAATGTGTATCTCTTGGATCAGAATATTAGGAACTTATTTAAATGCTCAAAAGTGAATAGACTTTGTAGACTAAACCATGGCATGCCCATTCCCCAGGCTCTCATTGCCAGCTAACCTTCTTTCTTTTTATTTTTATATTATTTTTATTAGTGAAACACCATGAGGTACAGTTGTAGACTTACAATTTTTTGTGCTTGGGTTTTAGTTATATAATGATTGAGTACCCATCCCTCCACCAGTGCCCATTCTCCACCTCCAGTGCTCCCAATATCCCTCCCACTCCCCCAACCCCCCCCATCCCATCCCACCCCTGTGGCAGGGCATTCCCTTTTGTTTTCTCTCTTCTTTTGGGTGCTGTGGTTTGCAAAAGAGGCATTGAGTGGCAATCATGTTCAGTCTATAGTCTACTTTCAGCATGCTTCTCCCATCCTGGGAGGATCCTCCCGACACCCTTTATTTGAACTATTTCCCTCTTCTCCAAGATTTGAAACAGATCCTATGTGTCCAAAAGATAATTTTGTTGTTGTTGTTAGACTTTTGTTAATTTGGGGGCCACACCCAGCGATGCTCAGGGCTTATTCCTAGATCTGCACTCAGGAATCACTCCTGGTGGTGCTGGGGGGACCGTAAGGGGTGCCAGGGATTGAACCTGGGTCTGCCATGTGCAAGGCAGAGACCCTACCTGCTGTGCTATTGCTCAGTCTTTCTACTTTAATCCTTATGAAGATAGGTAAACCTCTAAAAGAGAGAAACTTTTGAAATTTAACCATAATTCCTAAAAAATGAACCAGCAATCTGCAGTGTAAAAATATCTGATCTGTGTTAATAGTTGTTGGTATTCTTGTGACTCTCAAATTATTTGTATCCTTTCTTTGATTGACGGGAGGCAGAGAGAGGCTGCAATTTTATGTCCACAGAAGCTACTTGTTTCCCATTTCCCAGAGCTGAACTTGGTGCTTTCTCTCATTTCTTGTACCTTTTTTACTTTCTGGCCACTTGGGTGCAGAATCAGACGATTCATAATTCTGGATCATGATGCACTGTCATCCTGGGCCCTACCTGCTGTGTCCAAAAGATAATGTCAGGGCAAAGGGGCGACAAATAAGGTGTATCTTATTTATTTCTCTTTGCAGTAGGTTTGGGACTTTAACCCTGCACCCAGCAAGAAGGCAGCCCCTTGGCGTTCTCTCTCCTCTTGCTCTTCCTGCACGGAGCTGGCAGATGCGGGCCTTGGCGGGTGGGCGCACGTGGTTCAGTCTACAAAGTCTATTCACTTCTGAGTGTTTAATTATGTTCCTAACATTTCGATCCAAGTAACACAATTTGCTGATCCAAGTCATACACACTTCCCTAACTCACCTTCATTATTCTTGTTCTCTTTTCTTTTCTTATAGTTTTTAACCAGATAGATTCCTTGCACAATTTTATTTTGTTTGGCTTTTGATCCATACCCAGCCACACTTGGAGGCTTCCCCTGGGTCAGTATTCTGGGCACACTCCAGTACTCAGAGAACCACATGGTACTGGCAGGCAAACTCTGGGTTACTATAGGCAAAGCAGCCACTGCAACCCATTGAGCCAACATTTAATTTTTAATTTTCCTTTTAGGCTTCCTCTAAAGCTTCTCATGTTGTGACTCATTTTCTAGTATTGCTCTGAGTGTATTATATGGCTGTCACACTCTTGCACAACAGTGGGGAGAAAAGGCAGACATTCTTCAGCTACTCTCCTGATAGGCATTTGGTTTGCTTCCAGGATTTTGGCAATGAGAAATGTACTGTTCCTTTGGATTTTTAATATGTACCTCAACTTCTGGGCTGGAGCGATAGCACAGCGGTAGGGCGTTTGCCTTACAAGCAAACGCCCTACAAGCGGCCAACATGGCCAACCCGAGTTCGATTCCTCCGCCCCTCTTGGAGAGCCCGGCAAGCTACCACGAGTATCTCGCCCGCACGGCAGAGCCTGGCAAGCTACCCGTGATGTATTTGATATGCCAAACACAGTAACAACAAGTCTCATGGTGGAGACGTTACTGGGCCCGCTCGAGCAAATCGATGAACAACGGGAGGACCGTGACCGTGACCTCAACTTCTAGTCTCTGTTTTCTGTGCCCTCCCTGCCAATTCTTAGGGTCTCTTCTGGGGGTGCCAGGAATGAAACCAGGGTCAGCCACATGCAAGGCAAGCACCTTGATCCCTGTACTTATCTCCCTCCCTCAAATTACTTTCCATTGAGAAAGTAAGTAAAAGTAAAGTAAAGGCCCTCCCGTTGATCATCGATTTGCTCGAGCGGGCCCAGTAACGTCTCCATTGGAGACTTTGTTGTTACTGTGTCTGGCATATTGAATACGTCACGGGGAGCTTGCCAGGCTCTGCCGTGCGGGCGAGATACTCTCGGTAGCTTGCCGGGCTCTCCGAGAGGGGCAGAGGAATCAAACTCCGGTCGGCCATGTTGGCTGCGTGCAAGGCAAACGCCCTACCCGCTGTGCTATCGCTCCAGCCCATTGAGAAAGAGGCTACTGAAAATGCCATTGAAGTAGAACGGGTGAGAGCATTATGCCTGTTAGTCTTTTAGAAGGTGTTCTAATACATGGCTTCAACAGGTTACCCATACTTTGACCTGTAGGAGCTCTTTGATAACACTTTTACAGTTCTGGAATGTTTTATTTGATCATTTTTCTGGTTTGGGAGGTCACACCTGTAGGTACTCAGGGCTTACTCTTGGCTCAAGGATCACTCTTGGTGATGCTTGGGTGGGGGTGACCATATGCAGTGTCAGGGATCAACCTGGGGTCATCCATGTGCCAGGCAAGCATCTTAACCCCTGTTCTCTCTCTCTCTCTCTCTCTCTCTCTCTCTCTCTCTCTCTCTCTCTCTCTCTCTCTCTCTCTCTCGCCCTCTGGTGAGAATTTCAGCACTGACAGCAAACTTTTTCTTTGATCTCAACAAGAAAACTCAAGAGACTTGTTCTTCCTGTTCAAAAAGAAATAGGGACATTGATATGGAATTCCTGTACATCTGATTCTATTTCAAGCTATTATTTGCACATGTCCAGGGTAGTGATTGCTTACAAGTGTGGTATAGTAAAAAAAAATCACACCAACGGAAAGTTTCACCTGAACTGCTTCTGTTTTATTTCCTGGTGTAGGAGACGAGTGACTTGAGGCGCGCTGGCTACATGCTTCAGGAGGCCGAGAAGCTGGGTTGCAGGCAATTTGTCACGCCTGCCGATGTGGTTTCCGGCAACCCGAAACTGAACATGGCTTTTGTGGCCAACCTGTTCAACACCTACCCCAGCCTGCACAAGCCCACTAACAATGACATCGATGTGAATTTGCTGGAAGGTGGGTTCCGTCTGCCGTTCCTGGAGTCGTTCTGGGCCTCTTTCTGTGGCTATGTTCTGTTTTTGTCAAGAGGGGGCACTGTGACGGGGGTACCGTTGGCTCTGTGTTGATCCATTTAAAGTGTGAATTAAACTACCTAGTCGTGGGTTTGGATGAAAAGAGAAAGGCTGGGGATAAATCATTCTGAATATTTCTTCATGAGAGTTTAGAGCGAACTGGCGTTTATTTAAAAGATTCCCTTAAATGACCACATGACATAACTTCATCACCAATACAGTCAATGACTAATCTATTGGAAAAATAATAATTCTCTGAAGCTTTTTAAAAAATTCTTTGAAAATGAGTTTAACTCCAGTGTTGCTCTCTTTTTTAAAAATGCTATTCGTGTATATGAACAGAATTATGGTATTCATTACTTGTCTGTTGGGGGGCGGGGGGCTATTGTTATCTGTCTCATGATTTATAAGACTTTCCTGTTTTGCTTTGTGAAATGCAGACCTGACTCCTCCTAATGTAGGTACTGTATTTAGTACTTTTCTATGCTGTCTATATAGTTTCTCTCTGAATGCTTTTTTTTTTTATAAGAACCATTTATTTCTATCTGGGTTGATAGTTTTTGCATTGTTCATGCTGTGTTTTTTTCTTCTCTCTCTCTATCTTAATATGCCTAAAGAATGAATGCCAACAAGCAAGAAAACAAAAAAATCAAACTGAGTTAGACTAGCAGAGTAAGACTTTGATTATGTGAACCCGCCATCGAATCTACCTTCTATGATAATGGGTTATGGAAGTTGTAAACTCATTGAAATCAATTTTGGCAGTTGGGATTTTCCGAGCTGAGATAATGCTTCTGTCACTCTCCCCCTGAATAAACAAATGTACCTTTTTATGATAGGTGATGTGGAAGGATCTACGTTCTGTAACACCGATCGTTTTGAGTTATTTAACTGTGACATTACTGAGTGTTCCTGGAGCTCACAGTACAGGAATCCCCATCATGACAAAAATATTCTCCCTGTGTCAGTCCCTTTGCTTCCCAGCTCCTCATTGTTTTTCTCTCCCTGTTCACACTTTCCTTCACGTGCATTTCAAACCCCACAGTAAGTGTTCGAGGTAAAAGTCAAAACTGGCAGTTGTCAGTCAGGGAGAGTCAGCGCAGCCTGGAGGAGGATGCCCTTGGGTAGAAAGTTGTGTGGGGAGAGAATCTGAGGGGCAGTCTTCACTTCCTGTCCTCTTCCCCCGACCTGTAAGAATGGATTAGAAATAAATCAGATACCTGATTTCTTTCTTCCTCAATGGCTTCAACCCGAGGTCCATGTCCTTGTTACTTTATACTTCACGTTTTGGTTCATAAAAGAAGATGCAGGGGCTGGAGAGATAGCACAGAGGGTAGGGTGTTTGCCTTGCACGTGGCCCACCCGGGTTCGATTCCCAGCATCCCATATGGTCCCCTGGGTGCTGACAGGAGTAATCCCTGAATGCAAAAGCCAGGAGTAACCCCTGTGCATCACTGGGTGTGACCCAAAAAGGAAAAAAAAAGGAAGATGTAAACTGAACAAATCTGTTCTGAGGGAAAATATGATTGATTCAACTTACCCTTTCTGAAAGACCAGGAAAATAAAGAGAGGATTATCGATATAGGTATGGAATTCAGGGCGGGGGTTAGATTTTTTTTTTTGCAGTGAAATTTAGGGTGAGGGATTAGATCTTTTAAAAACTGCAAAGGAAGACTGTGTTTTTATCAGCCTGGACAGTCTCAGGCTCTCTCTGTGTCTCACAGTGGACGGCACTGTTTAGAGTGGCATATTAAAAACGACTTGCTTTTTATAGTTCACTAATCCTTGCTGGGTGCCTTTTTTCCCAACTGCTCACTCTCCTCTCTGTCGTTTGAATTTTTTTGCTAGTGTCCTGCATGCTTTTTGGAATTTTTCGGTGTGACTAGGATTGCTAAATATTTCCCTTAGTATCGACTATGTTTTTACAAGAAGAGTCTATGGGAAATAATTATCAATCATCTCTACTTAGAACATATGTATGTCCTGACCCTGCTGCCAAAAAAATGTACTTGACTTGGTCATTAGATTTTTTTCCCCTCTGTGCATTGGTGATCTTTCTAGATCTTTCAGGATATTGGAAGTTGGACCATAAGCATCCCATGCTTATCATACATGAGTATGTTCTCTTAAGCAAAGGAAGTTATCTGCATGTAATTAAAAATAAAATTAAAAGCCTCATTAAAAGCCTCATTTAAAAGCTTTTATATGAAATTGAGCCTACTACATTGGCTGTGTATAGATAGACCTTTTTAGAATTTATTTGCAGTGATCAAAAATGCACTGGGCATAGATTTAGAAGGACTCTTCAAATCATGTTTGTACCATTTACCATCTCCGGAACTTATGGGAGCTTTGGCATTCTCGTAGATAAAACAGGACTCATACACTTATTTTGAAGTGTCACAGAGCATGTTGAAATGACCTTTCATGGATTAGCTTAGCATACAGTACGTACTCAAAAATGGCCTGACCAGGGAAAGGTGCTTACTATCTCACTTTTGCACATTTGGTGGTGTTCAACATGGCATTGTTCTCTGCTTTTCTTAGCCTACGTAAAACTTACACTTTTTCCCCCTGAAACTCTTTACCAATTGCAAATCAGGAAAACGTTTTTATAGTTATTTCTGTCTGGTAAATTAACAATTAAGATTTTACTTGCCAGACTGCTTCATTTATCTGCAGTCCAGACTCTTGCCCTTTCCAATCTGGGACGCATATGTTTTCTACTGCTTTTTTCTGGCTCTTGCACAAATGCATTGTGCTTCTGGCTTTAAGTATTTATTTATCAAGACAACTCAGGATGATGTTAGATAAATAAATGCTTTCTTCTGAACTCTATTTTACTTTCCAGGTGTTAAAAAATTAAAATGATGATGACATAATTCATTGAGAACAATGAGAAGCAATACAAACCTCTGGTGTGGAATGGTTTCAAAGCTCCAAATACAAACTTAGTGTCTTTTAACATATCCTCTGTGCCAGCAGGTTTAGCAGAATTCTGATAAGATTTTAATTAAAAATTCAACTTGTTAATTATACTCTATCAGTGCATATAACTGAAAACAATAATTTGGACTTTCCTAGATAGATATTATCGACTAAAAAATCATCTTTATGGAAAAATATACTAAAAATATACTAAAAATCATCTTTATGGAAAAATAACCCAAAACTAAACAAGTCACGTGCAGGTCACTCTGGAAAAAGTTCAAGTTATTTCCTTTGCTCCTCTTTAATAAACTACAAATAAGGCTTAAGTTTGGCTGCTAGGAATATTGGATTTAACTAGGGTTTTTTAAAAGGAGGTTTCACATGGAGAGGGAGACAGACAGATGGATAGAGAGGTACACATACATATCAGACCAGAGGAAACAGAATTCAAGAAGTTCTGTGACTATAGAATTAAGTAGGGCAAGTGAAAGTCAGCTCTGGGGGCTTAGAAAGCCACCTAAAAATCCAGTGGTCATGTTGCACCCCGAACAAGAACAAGGACCCCCAGACTCCTGTGGCACTGTCCAGGCGGGTTTCTCTTTCTGGTGGGCTGCCACTGAGGCTGCCACTGCAGCCATGGTGTCCAGGAATGGCTTCCCCAGCTAAGATGGGCAGAGATGTACATGCCCACTCCCCTCAACCCCCCGAGCCGGTGTCCTCCATCACCTGCTGTGGGACAGTTTCTGTCATTCTGGTGATGACGTGCAGGGTATTATAACCACCAGGATGGTTTGCACCCAGAGTGTGCGCAGGAGGTGGGCTGGCAGGGAGTGCCCAGGGGTCACTCTGCTCTGGCCACACCAGAGTCCCCTCTTTCCTCGTGGATGGTGTGAGCGCTGCCACAAAGGGAGTGTTTGGGAAGGTCAGACTAGCACTGGCCAAAACGGGGTGCCTGAGGGAAAGTTCTCCTTGAGGGGATCTTTGAGGCTCAGGAGTTGACTACAATGACATTTCCAGTAGGAAGCTTGTAAATAGGCATGTCCCTCATGACCTGGTGATATTGCCCATTGGCCCCTCTCCTGTCCATCAGTGTCCATCACTATAGGTGAATGCCCAAAAGCGTTTTCCCTGTAAAAGCATACTCAGTGCAATTTTGGAAACACTGTTCTTGGGAAACGTACGGCTTTATTGCTTCTGTTTAATGCAGTATATGTGACCATCACCACTAAAAGATTTTGTCTGATTCATTTTTAGTCAGAACCTTCTGCATATGACATCTACCGATGAGATCTTAGAAATTTTTCTGTTGTTTTTCTGGGCAGAGAGAAGCCCCTGGCTCGTTCCCTCACAGACATTGAGTCAGGGCTCTCGATGGAGAAACTTAGAGTGAATGGAGGTTTTAAGAAAAGAGGAATACGGATTTTAGCAGTTAAGAGGTTTCATCCTCCCTCCAAAACAATGGTAGGCTGCCAGGAACCAGCGCAGAGCATATATTGGCTAGTTGGTACCTGCCGGATGGTTGAAATGTGCTTCTTGATTCCCTGAATCATCAATGTGAGCTTATGTCCCCTCTAGGAGAGAGCAAGGAAGAGAGAACATTCCGGAACTGGATGAATTCCTTGGGAGTCAACCCCTACATTAATCATTTATACAGGTACATTGTTTTGTGATGCTTCAGCCGTGCACTATTCTTCTATGAAAAAGCACTCTCAAAAATCACAAGAATTTTGGCCTCTATTCAGAGTTTTAGAATTCAGGGGAGTGGCAGTATAATGGATTTGAAAAGAAAAGTGGAATGTTACTTAAAAGGTAAAAATACGATAGCGAGAGCTTTTGAGGAATCGACAGTTTAGCTGGAGAGATTGTACAGCACGGAGGGCACTTACCTTGCATTCAGCTCAAGCCAGGCGCTCCGTATGTTCCCCCTGAACCCTGCCAGGAGTGATCCCTGGGCAGAGGCGGCAGAGGCGGGAATGAGCCCTGAGCACTGCAAGTATGACCCAAAGAAACAAACCAAAAATTAAGGAAAATTCAGCAATTTGGTAATGATAATCCATTTTATTCTCATCATTATCAATCAGTAAAGCAGTCACTCATTTCAGCTTAGAACAATTTCTATATTTATTGTACAGCGGGTAGGACGTTCGCCTTACAAGCAGCCAACATGGCCGACCCGAGTTCGATTCCTCCGCCCCTCTCGGAGAGCCCGGCAAGCTACCGAGAGTATTCGATATGCCAGACACAGTAACAACAAAGTCTCCAATGGAGACGTTACTGGGCCCGCTCGAGCAAATCAACAATCAACGGGAGGGCCTTTACCTTTTACCTTTACCTTGTAATTTAAAATATATATACATTTGAATATATATATATATATATATATATATTGCTTTTTGGGTCACACCTGGTGATGCACAGGGGTTATTCCTGGCTCTGTATTCAGGAATTACTCCTGGAGGTGCTTGGCGGACCGTATGGGATGCTGGGAATCAAACCCGGGTCAGTTGCATGCAAGATAAATGCCCTATCTGCTATGCTATTCCTCCAGCCCCCAAAAAATAAAATTTTAAAATTCTCATAAGCATTTTTCTATATTCTTTGGAGTCTATTCAGTTTTGTTCAAACTGCAATAATTTGCTGGCTGTATTTTTTTCTGATTTGTGGAAGTAATCTTTATTCTCTGAGATTTGTTTAAACGTGTTCTTTCCTGTTTAAAATGCTAGCACATTATTAACATTGGTAGGAATAAGAAATTGTTTTGCTGAATGTTTCCTGCGTGGGTCAGCAGCACCAACACTGTGTCATTCTGGGGTGTGTTGGGGGGGGGGACTTCTTTCAGTTATCATGGACTCCATCAACCCATCTTTTTTTTTAAAAAAATGCAAACAACTCCCTTCATATAATGATATATTTTAAGGAAAATTATATAATAAAACCTATTAGTGATTCTTACACCAAGGCAACTCCTTAGTGAACATTAACTAAGTTATTGTTTAAATATGAACTGAAGAGTAATGCTACAATAGACCAAGTTAATTCGCAATTTTGAAGGCTGTAACTTCTGCTCCTTGGTGTATATTCAAAATCTTTACAGTCTAAAACCAGGAACTGGTGGGCCTTGCATATGGCTGACCCAGGTTCAATCCCCAGCATCTCATATGGTCCCCAACCCCTGCCAGGACTAAGCCCCTAGGGCCTCCAGGAGTGGCCCCAAAGCAAAGCAAAACAAAAATATTTGAAAACTCTAAAACAAGGCGGGGAGAGTGGTGGCTGGAGGGACACTGGGACCTTGGGAGCGGGAAATGTACGCTGGAGATCATTAACACACAGGTATCTAAATGTTCTCAATTGCAATGATATATTTGATAAGTAGTTGTCTGTAGACAGTGCTCAGGCCCCTGCTTTTAATTTTAATTTTAAAAACTGAATGCCTCTTGCAAAGCTTTTCATGTCAGCACACACGTACCTAACAGTCTCAGAGCCCACGGGAGCCGGCAGCCTGACAGCCCCGGCAGGAGCTCAGTGATCCATGACCTAGGTCAAGATTTCAGTCTCAGTCTTGGCACTGCGCCACACTGCAGCCGGGGCAACAGTGAAAGGAAGGGGGCAACGGACAAACACAAATGGTCTGGCTCACAGTCTTGCACCAGCAAGATGTTGAGGCGGACCCTGAATTTCTAAGTACCGTGGCAGTAAAGGCCCATGTACGTTTCTTCTTAAACATGTATGAAATTCCAGGCAGATCCCTAGATTGGAAGCTCTGGGTCAAACTGTATGTCCTGTTGGGGCCGCAGAGAGGTTACAGCGTGGGGAGGTACGTCGCTGACCTGGGTTTTCTCCCTGGCTCTGCATTTCATGCCCTGAGCCCCGCTAGGAGTGAGCTCTGAACTCAGAGCCTGGAGTAAGCCCGGAGCACAGCCAGATGTGGCCCCAAAACTGAAAAAAAAAGAAAAGAAAAGAAAGAAATCAAGGGGCTGGAGTGATAGTACAACAGGTAGGGCCTTTGCCTTGTACACACCTGACCTGGGTTCAATTCCCAGCATCCCATATTGTCCCCGAGCTCCACCAGGAGTAATTCCTGAGTGCCTGAGCCAGGAGTAACCCCTGAGCATCGCCAGGTGTGATCCAAAAAAGAAAAAAAAGAAAAGAAAGAAACCAAGACATTCTGCACTCCTGCCCTGCGTGTGAAGGGCTGTGCCTGGGCCGCGCGTCCCCCTCACGCTCTCTCCTTCCTTCCCAGCGACCTCTCTGATGCGCTGGTGATCTTCCAGCTCTATGAGATGATCCGTGTTCCCGTCAACTGGAGCCACGTCAACAAGCCTCCGTACCCTGCGCTTGGAGGGAACATGAAGAAGGTGAATGCAGCCGGGTCCTGGGGTGGGGGCACTTCCCAGGGGCCCCTCCCGGCGGTTCCCAGCCAGCCAGGCTGGGGATTTGATATGGCTCCAAGGGTGTGGCATTAGGAAGGAGCTTTGCTGCCAGGATTGCCTGGGCCTCCCTGGTGGAAGCAGGGCTCCGGTCAGCTGCTCGGATGACCCTGTGGGTGCATAACGCCATGTGCCCTAACCACTGAACTGTATCTTAGTGCCGAATTTCATTCTGATCATTCTGATCTAAAACATAAGGTTGGGACTTGGCTGTGTCAATCTGTCCCCACAGCTAGGAGTCCGTGTGCAAAGGGTTAAGCACCACAGTGGCCGTTTCAATAATGTGCTCCAGGAAAGACTTGGGAAAATGAGCACAGTGTGATTTATGAGACCGTTTGGTTTTGTTGTTGTTGTTGTAGCCGCTGTTTTTGGTTTTCAGCAACTTGTCACAGCGTTCTATGAGCTGCATCATAAATGCATTTTTAATTTCATAACCAGAAGATTTTGCCCAATCTTTACTGGCTATTTGTTAATACTTTTCAACAGGTATTTATTATCCTCCTGCCTGTGTAGTGTCATTCAGGGTGTTAAAAATAGTACAAGGCATGAAATGGGCCCCCAGGAAGCCATAAAGAAATGCAGGCGACCCAGCTTGTGTGCTGAGCGCTACAATACAGCACAGCATACAGGACGGAACACTGGATTCCTGAGGAGGAAAAGCTCAGTCCTACAGCTCGCAAGCAGGAGCTGGGCGTTGACTTAGACTGTGGGGAATGGAAGAATGGGGTCATGAGGAGACTGGGGAGGAGGCGGGAGATTACAAAAGGGAATGAAGGCCTTTGACTGTCAGAGTAAAGAGACGGGTTGAAACTCTCTGTAACGGAGACCCCGAGACCTTCTACATGGGGCAGGGGCTTGATGACCGTATCTTTCCCTTTTGTGCTGGTTCTGTTGAATCGCTGTTTTGATATTCCATCTTGGTTTGTTTTTTTTTTTAATACTTTTTTTTCCCCCTCAAAATCATCTGCTTTGGAGGCTAGAGTGATATAACGCAGAGGGTTAGGCATTTGTCTTATATGTGACTGACCCGGGTTTGATCCCTGGCATCTCATATGGTACCCCGAGCCTGCCAGGAGTGATCCCTGAGCATAGCATCAGGGGGGTAAGCCCTGAGCACCTGTATGTGACACCGCCCCCCCACAACACACACACACCAAAAATAATTATTTGTTTTCTGGAGTATGTAGAACTTGTGAACTTTTTTTTTTAATTTAACTGTATTCTTTGATTTAAAACGATGTAAGTATTTTAAGCTCAGTATGAATTAATGGTGGGGGGCTGGAGAGATAAGATGGGGTTAAGGTTCTTGCCTTGCCTGCAGACAACCCAGTTCAGTTCCTGGTACCACAGAGGGTCCCCTGAGCACTGCCAGGATCGCTCCTGAGCACAAAGTTAGGAATAGCCCCGGGCACTTCTGGCTGTGATCCCAAACAACAAATATCTATCTCCTTTTTTTTTTCTTTTTGGGTCACACCCAGTGATGCTCAGGGGTTCCTACTGGCTCTGCACTCAAGAATTACTCCCGGCTGTGCTCAGGGGACTATATGGATGCTGGGAATCAAACCCGGGTCAGTCACATACAAAGCAAATGCCTTTCCCACTGTACTATTGCTCTGACCCCCATATGTTTATACACATTTATACACACACACACACACACACACACATGGCCTGTGCCAGAGAGCCAACTCGAGGTCGAGAGCTGAGTGCATGCTTCGCCAGGTCCCGTCCCTGGCACCTCACAAGGAGTGACCCCTGAGCACAGAGCAGAAGTAGCCCATGGTCACTTGTAGGCATGGTCCATCCCACCCCCTCCTCCCCCCACCCACAAGTAAACAAGTAAAAACCAAAAGACTCAAATTGCTGCAACTTAGCAGCATGGAGACTCTTGAAGGCTACAGAGATAATGCATGACAGTACTCAGCAGCCCGGGAGGTGTCCGGGGTCAGACTGGCTCCTCTCTCAGGCAGGGCATGACCCCTAGGCTCTCTCCCTAGCCCATGAGTTTAATGTTGTTTCTTAAAAATACACGCAAGTGCTGACCTTCACAAAGGACCTGTAGGGGATAGCGCTGAAGGCCAGAGCATCCTCTGCGTGCTGAGGCTGGACCCCATCCCTGCACCACCAGGGTTAGCCCCGCATGCATCCTGCCAGGGTTGTTCTCAGAACCGAAAGCTGTAAGGATTCCTGTTCTTCCAGACCTGTCAAATGGATATTTATAATTTACAACCTTACAAAACTATCTTATATCAGAAAAAAACAACTAGATCTTAAAATCCTCTCTAGGTTCTAGAAAACTGGGGCCCTTTCGTGTCCCCTGATCCACTAGGCGTGATCCCTGGAAGCAGAACCAGGAGTCAGCCCTGGGCACTGCCAGATATGGCCTCAAAACAAAACAAAACAAAAAAATCAAGGAAAAAAAAAGGAATATATGTCAACGATTTTCTTTAACCTAAAAGAACCAGGCAGGTTTGAAGAATCTCTTTTTTTTCTTCTTTGTTATTTATAACAAACCAATGTTTGAGAATGTGGATTCTCTTTTTTTAAAGAATAATCTCAGTGGACAAATCTTGTTACAGTGTGGTTTATTTCTCACCTTTCTTGGAAATAATTTCTTATTCTTGGAGGGAAAATGTATCTGTGCCCCTCAAGCTGAATTGTTTTGTACTAGTGAGGTCTTATCTAAGTGGGGGGAAAAAACAAGAGGGAAATTATCTTATTTTTTCTTAACTGATGCTTGTTCCATAAGAGCTTTTTCTTAACTATCCCCTAAAACATTTAGTAAGCTTTTTCACTACTGGTGATATTATAAGATAATGAGAACTTACAATTTCACTGGAATAAAAAGATTCCGTTGTCTAAGAATACACATACACACCAGTCCTTAGGTTAAAAAAATTTAAGGGCTGAAGAGATAATATAGGATTCCAAACACCACGTAGGGTCCCCCGAGCCCCACCAGGAGTGATCCCTGAGTTTGAGCCAGAAGTAAGCTCTGAGCACTGCCCAGTGTGGCTCCCAAAACAAAAAGGCAGGGAGGAAGGAAGGAAAGAGGGAAGGGAAAGGAGGGAGGGAGGGAGAGAGAGGAAGGAAGAAGGGAGGGAGGGAGGGAGGAAGGAAGGAAGGAAGGAAGGAAGGAAGGAAGGAAGGAAGGAAGGAAGGAAGGAAGATAGTACTGGGTGATTGGAGATAATAAATCTCTGCAGAGACCAGGATCAGTATAAACTTCTACCAGAGAAAGGAGTGGAAGGGACTGAGGTGGCTGGGAAGAAGGCATTAGTTAGCAAGCAAGAGATTTCTGTGGATTCTTGGGAACACCAGGGCACCAGGCTGAGGTGCGGGTTGGGGGCAAGAGTATGATATATATTTTTTTCATGGTTTGGCTTCTTCCAAAAGAGTTTATTCTCTCACTGGCGAACTAAATACACAGAATGGTAAGAACATGGCCTATACGCGCTACCAAACTGGGCCGTGAGCATGGTCCACATAGAGTGAAGTGGGTCAAAAGCAGAACTTCAAGGGATTTTTAAGAGCTAGAGAAAAAAAATACCTGGGACGGAAGTTAAATCCTTGGTAAAATGATTTCGTAGCACCATTATCTCATGATGGGATGAAGGAAATAGGTTTTCCGTTACCAGTTTCCGCAAGTCACATGTCGCCTTGGACAGTCAGCAGGACTTTCCTCGTCAGAAGAGACCGGACACTGTCCCGCTGAGGGGACCCTCCTGCTCGGCTGTCTGCAGCCAGGCCAGCAGGCAGAGTGGTTCCCTTCATCTCCCAAGGGCCATGGAACCACCTGGAAAGGGGGAGGGGCCATCGTCATCATTTTTTCGGGTGACCGAATGAGATGCATTAAGAGACACTTTTATTTATTTATTTATGTATTGCTTTTTTTGGGGTCACACCTGGCGATGCATAGGGGTTCCTCCTGGCTCTGCACTCAGGAGTTAATCCTGGCGGTGCTCAGGGGACCATATGGGATGCTGGGAATCGAACCCGGGGTGGCCGCGTGCAAGGCAAACGCCCTACCCGCTGTGCTATCTCTCCAGCCCCAAGAGACACTTTTAAAAACACAAAAATCTTCTTCTACCCAAACTCTGACTTTCTGTTTGTAGATTGAAAACTGCAACTATGCGGTGGAGCTCGGGAAGAACAAGGCCAAATTCTCGCTGGTTGGCATCGCGGGGCAGGACCTGAACGAAGGGAATGCGACCCTGACTCTGGCGCTGGTGTGGCAGCTGATGAGGAGGTGAGGAGGGCGAGGGCTCGTGGGGTTAGCGTGGCGCTGAAGTACAGCCCTGGGAGCTCAGAAGATTCTAGCAACTCTGAGAGGGTGGGATTTTGTTGGTTTCCCACAAGTCACGGGGGGTCGGGAGAAGGAACAGAAATATACTAAGCAAAACTTTAGATGCTTACTATGAATCTCTGTTTTGCAAACTGTGCTTTCTTGGACCGATTTGGGCAAGATGGTGACTGTCATTAATTAATGCCTTTGAAACGCTGCTTTGGAAGGAGTTGTTTTAATTTTGAAAAATTTCACACAGCAGTTTTTGTTCCTGATTACTAAGCCAAGTGACTTTGGAATGTAACGAGGTGTAAAGATAAGACTAAAATTAGAAATAGTGGGAGGAAATATTTAAGTATTTAGTCTAAATACTTACATAAATAATGGGAACACAGACTTCCTCCACCCCCACCTTCACCCCCAAGTCTCAGATATACATCTTTTCTGTTACAGGTACACATTGAATGTGTTATCAGATCTTGGAGAAGGTGAAAAAGTAAATGATGAAATTATCATTAAATGGGTCAATCAGACTCTTAAAAATGCAAACAAAAAGTCTTTCATTACCAGCTTCAAGGTAATTAAATTATATTTCATCTATTTTTGGTAAAAAATAAAAGGAAGGAACTTTTACAGGGAAATAGCATAAATGTTTAAAATGACAGGAGGTTCTATCTGAGAAATGCAACTTATGAGCTTAGGCATACTAATTATTTGGCATGTCTAAACCAAAACACAATTCAGTTTGGATTTTGTTACTTTTCATCAGTTGTCTTACTGAATATAAATACAGGTTCATCTGACCAGCCTTCAGTTACTTGAGCTTAAATGAAAAAATAAGATAGAGCCAAAAATTCCAATTATCAAGTGAAAAAGACCAAAAGCTGTTGTTTTATAGGACCTATACTGTTTTGTGCCCCCAGCAGCAGTCTGAGTCTAGTGGCACCATTTCCAAGCCTAACAGAGCCAGCCAACCCAATTCAAGTCGGAATTGAGAAAACTGGTAGGAAAAAAAAATACCTTGTCATCTGGCTTCATACTGGCACTAACACTCACTTCTCCAAGCATCTGTGGATGGTCCATACAGTTCTCAACCCATAATCTGCACACACATCCCCACTAATTGTCATGCATCTCCATCGTGTGTTGTTTCTGCATGCAAGCTGATGGCAGCTCAGAGCATGTCTGCTTGTCCATATCCACCCAGTGAACTCTGTGCTCGTGACTTGTGGATATGTTTGAAACCCGCCCTGGCCAGTGTGTTGTAGGAAGGTAGAGGGCAGGCAAATGGCAGGCGCCCACCCCACCCTGAGCTTACCCACCCACCTTCATTCTCCCACCTTTGGTCTTTACATTTAACAACATTGGAGAGCAGGGCGGGGGAGGGGGGGGCTGGGAATTTTTTTTTTAAAGGATAAATGTGATCTCTTCGTCTTCACCAAAAACCAAGCCCCAAAGTAGTTTTTATAAGAAGGTATTCATTCAGGTGTGTTTTTTCCTGTTTCATTTGGGGTGGGGGGAAAGGGTATGACTAATGACACTGGGTTTTATCGTTGCTCACTTATGTAAAATAGAAGTAATTTCTTTTTTTTTAATTTTTATTAGTGAGACACCATGAAGTACAGTTGTAGACTTACAAATTTTGTTCTTGGGTTTCAATTGTACAATGATCAAACACCCATCCCTGCACCAGTGCCCATTTCCCACCATCACGGGTCCCAGTATCCCTCCCACCCCCCACCCCCCCCATCCCACCCTGCCTATGTGGCAGGGCATTGCCCTTTGTTATCTCTCTCCTTTTGGGTGTTGTGGTTTGCAAAAGATGCATTGAGTTTGCAATCATGTTTGGTCTATTGTCTATTTTCAGCATGCTTCTCCCATTAAAATAGAAGTAATTTCAGCCCATGGATTTGTTTATATATTTTAGGAAGAAAATATCGTATAAACATGGAAAACAGAAAAGGGCACTTACAAAATGACCTGACAATGACTTTTGAAAAAAATGTTAGATGGAGGTGCTGGAGACTTAGTACGGGTGCTAGGTAGGGCATGTGCAAGGCTGGTGAGGAACCCAGTCCCATCTCTGGCACCATGTGGTTCCCTGGGAAGTGCCAGAAATGCCACTGCTGGGGGTGATGGTCCCAAACCACCACCTGGTTGACCAAGTATCACTTGGAGCAGCTCCTGGGACCCCACAAGTACCACTTGAGGGGACCCCCAAAATGCCATATTGAAACTATAGGTATATATATGCTTCTTAATGCACAGACACCAGCAAGTAGACAATCTAAATCAAGTAGAATGACAATGTCTAGCACCAATGAAGTACGAGGTAAGATTTCTAGGGAAAGAAAGAGCTGAAGAACATAAGAAACTAAGCTGGCCCTCAGAACACTCATCTTTTTATTTGAAAGACAAAATGTGTGTAGCCAAGAAGGCATTGCTGCTACTCAAAAAAATAAAATAAAATAAAATTCAATCATCACCTCAGAGTATGAATGAGAAGTCTGAGAAGTCTGAGGGATAACTTCCGCCCAAATAGTCAGTGAAGAGCAGATGGACAAAGTGGGGTGGACTGAGCTACACAGGAGGAAGAAAGCTTTGAATTCTGAAGGATGAGACGGGGAGAACAAGGTAGAGTCCAGGCACCTCCGAGGGCTGGAGAGAGTTGGCTAGAAGTGGACCCTAAGAGCTGGTCAGCCCCAGGACAACAGGGTTGAAGTGAGGAAGCTGTGAAGGACTGAGGAAAAAAAAGAAGAAAAAAAGGTGAGGGGTCAGGAGGCTGACAGCCTTGTGGGGTGACCCGATGGTCCCATACGTGTAACATTTACTGCTTAGAACCAGGAAGCATCAGAACACTCTCTGGCCAACTAACTGCTTCTCCCATCTCTCCGGCTAAGCTATTACGTGTGTCAGGATGAATATCTTTATAACAGGCTTGTCTCAAGGGCCAGTTTCTCTGGGAAGAAGAGGCGCGAGGGCTGTAACAGGACACTGAGGTTCCTATCCCCGGCCCATAATGCCTTTCTCCTCATTCTGTGCTAACCTGGTGCCCAATGCCTCAGAGATGCCGTGCCCGGTACAGGCAGCCGCGGAGTGCGGGATGCAGGGTGGCAGAGGGAGGTCAGGTAGACAGAGGCTTTGTTGGGAAATAGCTCTCTCTGAGCCTGGTGAGGAAGAAGGATCATACAAGCATAGCACGGAAGCGGGGCCCGCGAGGGCACAGGCGCCCATGGTGAAGCTCCTGCCTTGAACGTGCCAAGCCCCGAGTTCCACCACTGGCACTGACCTCCCCATCTAGTACCACCACAACATGTGGCTCTGGGGCCCTCCCTGAAAAACCACAGTGTGGCCCCCCACAACAACTGGAACCAAACAAAAGGCGTCCAGGGTTGGGGTATCCCAGAGAGAAGGGAAGGGAGGGACAGTGAGTCTGTGCTCCTAGTGATCTGATTCAGGCCTCTGGAAATCGGGGAGATGCAAGTGGAGACGGCCTGCACCGCAGGGCTGCAGCCTCCAGGAAGCAGCAATGAGTTTTCTGCATCTGAGTGACTTAGGGGCAGCGAGCGAGGAGCTGGGTGGGCAGAGAGTAAACACAAGTTTTGGGGACATCAGTGGAGGGTCGTGGGCACTGGTGAAGGGAAGGCTGTTGGAACAATAGACGCCTCACACTCAATCATAAATATCTTTGTAACTCTGTGATTCACAGTGATTCCCCCACCCCCCCAAAAAAAATTCTAGAAACTTCGAGCCAACTGGTCTGGAGCTTGGCTTGCTTTTTAGGATGAAGGCTGAGGCTGGCCCCGTCTCCTCCGTCTCTTCTTTTTTTTTTTTTTTTTTTGGGTCAACACCCAGCGATGCACAGGGGTCACTCCTGGTTCATGCGCTCAGGAATTACTTATGGCCGTGCTTGGGGGACCATATGGGATGCTGGGAATCAAACCTGTGTCGGCCGCGTGCAAGGCAAACGCCCCACCCGCTGTGCTATCACTCCAGCCACTGCCCCCGCCCCCCGTCTCTTCTTGACTTGATACATACCACTGCTAATATTCCACTGCAGCCCATTATTCTTTCTATGGTCAACGTTTTAAAATAAAAGGAAAGTGACTACCAGAGCCCCCAGCAGCAACTGAACCTCGCCTCAGAAGTGCCCTTGAACCCAGGGTTGGCGCCGGAGCTGGGCAGACATGGCCCCGCTTGTGCCAGACGCCATGTGTATTGATTCATTTAGTTTGACAATAAATGCAATGGGCAGAAATGAATAGCCCTGTTTGAAAATATAAAATGGAGAAATGAATCACTTGCCCCAGGCCACACGGATGCCAAATGGGGAAGCAAAAGTCCCGTCTTATTCATCAAGAGACACAGCCCAGGGGCTGGAGCAATAGCACAGCAGGGAGAGCGTTTGCCTTGCACATGGCCGACCAGGGTTCCATCCCCAGCATCCCATATGGTCCCCCGAGCACTGCCAGGAGTAATTCCTGAGTGCAGAACCAGGAGGAACCCCTGTGCATCACTGGGTGTGACCCCAAAAGCGAAAGAGAGAGAGAGAGAGAGAGAGAGAGAGAGAGAGAGAGAGAGAGAGAGAGACGCAGCCCAGCTGTCTGCCTGACCCTCCCTAGGTTTTAGAAAACCTGGGCCCTTCTGTGCCCCCTGTCACCCAGGCGTTGTTCCCCTTCTGCTGGGGTCCTTTCATGCCCCCCACCCCCGCTGCTGAGGTCTGACCGTGCTCACCCCCAGCCCGTGATTCCTTCCTCCTCTCAGTTCGTTCACAGCGAGCACTTTGCAGGGGCAGCTCTGGCTATTTCTGGAATGAACGAGCAGCTGGTCACCGAGCTGCAGAGAAGCCAGAGGGCCGGGCCACTCCACCCCTGGGCTGTCACTGGCACTTGAAGTGCTCTGGAGGGTTCCTGCAGCTGCTCTGCCAAGCAGTAGCATGGCGTGGGCAAGCTCCTTCACTTCCCAGCCCTCATCTTTTTGTATAAAATGACTTGTCAAGTGCTTGGCATGGTGGAACGCAGGACTTGGGGGGTGGGGGGTGGGAAAGTAATTAGGATTATTATTGGTTTTTTGGGGTTATTTTTTCCCGAACACTTTTGTTAACCTACATTTGGTTAGTAACTGTATTAGATGCTTTCACTTCTTTTTATCCCGAGTCCCATGCATTGCGGTCACCAGAAAGGGCATTTGAGGCTTCAGTCTCAGTTGAGGGTGCCTTGGACTGAGGGGAAAGGGACAGAACTGGATCAGAAATGCAGAGTTCAGGGTTGGCTGAGCCCACAGTGGAAGTCTCTCACAGCACAGTTGTTTGCCTATCTCTGCTTGGTCATATCAAGTGCCAACTTCAGCCTTGAACTGGTTCTCATCATGGCGACAGGACCCCTACAGGTTGGGACAGAGAATTCATCCCCTCCCCCACTCCCAGGAGGAGGGAGCCCCCCACCCCCAGAGCTCCTCTGCCATAGAAAGCACCCCTCAGGATCAGCGCAGTAGTACAGAAGGGAAGGCGCTTTCCTGGCATGCTGCAGACCCAGGTTCAGTCTCCACCACCACATATGGTTCCTTGAGGGCCACCCGGAGTGATCCCTGAGAGCAGGGCTGGGAGTCGCCCCAAGCACCACCAGACCTAATCCCCATCCCCCCAAATGAAGGTATTTATGGGACTATTCATTGAGTCTAGGCTAATATTTTCCAACCTCTTTCTTATTTTCGTTTCCTTAAGGAATCTTTTTAGAACTTGTCCACCTCCCCCCCAAAAAACTCCTCCCCGACATGTTTTAGTGCCATAGCCAATCTTGGGTGTCTGTTTGAGCTCTGTATTGTTTATCGCTTCATGCTCAGGAAGAACGGATGGTGATTTGGGATCGCCCTTGGAGTATGGGAATAGTTTGCGCTCCTTAAAGATGTGTGCAGGTGAAGGAGGTAGAGAGATGGAGGAAAAACTGTAGGTTCTGCTCGGCTGAGGGAAGCAGTAAAGAATGGATTCTGGTCAGCAAGCCAGCAATAGTGACCAGTGCTCATGCTGAGAGACAGAACAGTTTGTCCAAGTACTTGTAAATGGACAAGTGTTGGGATCAGGATTCCTGGCTTCAACCGCAGTGCTGTAGACTCAAATTTAGTCGTATATTTTTAGTTTGCTTTGTAGGTAATTTGGAAGACGGTGATAATCTGGGGCATTGGTGTCAGTTATGGGCTCAAATACCCATTCTGTACTTACTGGCCATGTGGACAAGTCATTTGGGCTCTGGGAACTGCATGTTTTGCATCTTTAAGAGAAAGGTTATATATATATATGATATATATATGTGATATATATGTGTATGTGTGTATATATATCAGATTGTTTATAGGATTTAAACAACTCAGATATGTAAGACAACAAGAATGTTTTTGAAATGTTAGTTCCTTCCCACTATTAATTTTCCTTTCAAAAATTCTTGAGGGCTAGAGAGGAACTGAGGCTAGAGGGGCTGAGTACAGGGTCCCACACAGGGGCAGTCTCATTTCTCGGGCCAGAGCAGCACATTGCCAGGTACGGCCCCCAAACCAAAAGACTTTAAAAAAGAAGAGTAAGTGAAGACATAGCTAAGAAATAGTCTTATTATAATTTCCTAAATTATTTGTTTAAAATTTCCCTCCTATTTCCTTTCAAAAGTTCTTTCTTTTTTTCCGGCCTGTTATTCATAGCATACTTTAGGGGTCGTCACATCCACATACCTTGTTCAGATATGATGACAGCTCTGCACTGTGATCTCTGCAAAGACTAAAGGAAAGGTGTATTCTCAGTGGTTTATGATGCGTACTCACTGCAGATGAAAGAGACGGAAGAAGACATTTTACTTTTATGGTTCTGCTCAGGAAGTCTGACATTTATGAAAAACTAAAGCATGTTCAGGAATGCTCACTGTTCTTTATTCTCTAGGACAAATCTATTAGCACGAGTTTACCCGTTCTGGACTTAATAGATGCCATTGCACCAAATGCGATCCGTCAAGAGATGGTCACACGAGAAAACTTTTCCGACAAGGACAAACTGAACAACGCTAAGTAAGCCTCTACAGTAAAGCCCAGTGGCTCACTCATTCTCTTAAATTCTTACAAGATTATTGTGTTCTTGTAAGGGTCCTTTAAATTGTAAGGGTCACAATTTTAAAGGTCAGCTATACAGAGAATACGATTTAAAGACTCTTAAATTTAACCTTGTAAAGTTAGCCTATCAAAGTACTTCATCCTTCTGCTAAAATATAGGAGGTAAAGACTCAGTAAATAACAAAACACCAAGACGTTTTTCTTCTCTTTTCAAGGTACGCCATTTCAGTTGCTCGAAAGATCGGTGCCCGGATTTATGCTTTACCTGATGACCTCGTGGAAGTGAAACCAAAGATGGTTATGACGGTGTTTGCGTGCTTGATGGGAAAAGGACTGAACAGAATAAAATAAGGAAACAGTTAACATGATTTTTCTGCCACATTAAACACACTGAATGCCTCAGTTTACAAAAATTCTGAAATGTAGTCAGTGTAAAAACCAGAGATGATTTGTATGCCTAAAATCATCTCATAACTGATGAATGAATTCAACATCCTGTTCATATTAGTTAGGATTTCTCAACCCTTCTGGATATTATGATTATGATTCTGATACAGTCAATTATATTAGGATTTCTTTACTGTCAAACTGATATCTCATCATTAAATTATTTTCATTTTCTTATCCTCATTAGGACAAGATCATTCCTTTTTTCATGGTTCAAAAAAATCAATACAAGATTTTTTTTCACTTCCTGACGTGAAATGTGTTTTGATTTTGTGTGTCTGTTAATTTCAGCCAGTCATCGTCATAATTCCAGGTTTATTCTTTTATTCCTCTGATGATGTGAAGTGTTCTAAAGCTTTAACTTTTCTATAAATTTCTATATTGTCTAAGCTTTGTAAGTGACAAATATTGTTCTTTAAGATGAAACTTTTTACATGAGGACTAACTCTTAAATAAACCCCAAACTTATTCTCTTATATAAGTAGCAGTTCTTTCACTTAGCACTGTCACTTAACAATGATCCTTTACTTATATGCTAGTTTGGTAACACATCTTTAACTATGAAACATATATATACATATATATATTGGTAGGATATTATCAGAAAAATGTGTGTGTATTTGTGTGTGTGTATTTTTGCACCTGATTACCCAAGTTTTCTTAAATGATACATATGATAGGCAGACATCTATTAAGGATTTATTATAATTTATTGTATCCCAGTATGTTGTAACACTTTTCAGTTTGTAGATATATAGCACATTAAGGTTTTGGGTATTTTTTTAGAAAAATTCATTTTGAGGATGAGAGATAGTACAGCTAGTAGGTGCTTGCCTTGTACATGACCAACCTGGGTTTGATCCCCGGCATCCCATATGATCCCCCCAAGCCCACCAGGAGTAATCTCTGAACACAGATCTAGCAGCAAACCCTGAACACAGCTGGGTATGACCCATAAAAACATAAACATTAATTATGGATATCATTTAGATACTATCCACCAACCTCTTCCAGGTACTCCTAGTCAGACGCCAACTCCAGCATTGGAGGGTCAGCTGGCACAAGGCTATTACCTCCTGTCACACACAGGAATTTTTATCTGGACTGAAGCTTTAAAGAATTTAAATATCTTTATATTTAATATCTTTAGCAGCAACTGAATATCTCCAGCAGCAAGCTGCATGAAGCTATTATTCAACAGAAACTGTTTTCACATGTCACTTTTCACGGCAGCCTACAAATGGGTAATGTTTGGTTAATGCTTATGTTACTTGGTAATAGCAAAAGCTTCAGACCTATTTTTGTCTGCACATTTAGCCACAGACCAATTCTGCTGCAGACGCTTGGATTCAGAAACGTTTCCTGTCTCTCACTGTAAATGCTGCTACTGTGCAACAAAAATACTTGTCACCTCAACTCAGTGTGAGTAAGTGGCCTGAAAGGGCCCTTCCTACCACTTATAAAACATATGTGTTGGCAGGAGTGAGACTGCCCATGTGTTTAACATTTGGGGGTGCTCAAGAGCTCTGCGGCCTTCTCAGCAATTCTCAGATGCCATGCCAGGGGTCACCTGGGTCACCACCACCATTGGCAAAGCCGAGGGGAGGGATTGAATGGGGAACGGCTGCACGCTCGGCACGCACCTTAACGCCCCCCACCATTATCTCTCCAGCTCCTGTGTTTAAGTTTTTGAAATAAAATCAACAAGTGAACTTTGTCGATTCATTTTAATAAAGTTCACTTTTGTTTGAAAGTGGACTTTGTTAAAATGATGGATTCCCTTTCCTTTCATATTTTGCTAAAGGTTTTCTTTTTCCTTTGGAGGAGGGCCCTCCCCAGTGTTGTACAGGAGACTAGGGACCCCTCCAAGCAATTGTCAACCAATGCGGTGCCAGCAGGTTACCCAGGCCAGACCACAGCATGGTGCCCAGGGGACCTGTAGGGCCATACCTGACAGGGCTCTCAGGCCCACATGGTGCCAAGGATGGACCTGGAGTCAGCCACAGGCATGACATGGCCTTGTTCCCACACCATTCGAGGCACCGTGCCCATATATTATTTTTACTTTATTCAAACACCCTGGTTCACAACGTTGTTCATAATCCATTTGCTATGGGCTTTCAATTTCCAACATCACCTTCCTGATCTTCCTACCACCACCGTCCCCTCTTTCCTAACCACCACCCAAGCCTTCCCCCTTAGCAGACACACAATAATCTGTTTTATATTATTGTTATAACTCTCGGAGAGCCTGGCAAGCTACTGAGAGTTTTCAATATGCCAAATACAGTAACAAGAAGTCTCACAATGGAGATGTTACTGAGCCCACTCGAGCAAATCGATGAACAATGGGAGGACAGTGTTATTGTTATAATTAAACGGCTAAAGGAATTATCTTTTACTAAAATATTTTTGATAATTCATTGAGTTGAGTTTAGTTGGCTTTGATGTTACTTTCTCATCTATTTTGGCTTACTCCTACTGGAATTTCAGTACTGTAGAATTTGGAGGTGTAGTGCGGCTACATATGTGGCCCAAGACCTTTTTCTTTATGTCAGAATCAAGACAGACCCTCTTCTTGGGGAGATTATTTAAATCATGTTGCTCCCTTTTTCCCCCTATTTTATTTACTCAGTTATCTGATATACATGAAATTTAGCACTTTAGAGTTGTTTCTTTTTCTCACAGAGTGTAATTTAAAAATCTGTAAGTGCAGGGGCTGAGCAATAGGACAGCGGGTAGGGCATTTGTTTGACATGCGGCTGACATGGGTTCGATTCCCAGTATCCCATATGGTCCCCCAAGCACCGCCAAGAGTAACCCCTGTGCATCACTGGTTGCGACCCAAAAAAGCAAACAAAAAATCTGTAAGTGAAAATGTGCCATTATTTATTAAAATTACATCATTGAAAGTTAATCTACTGTAAACTGTTTTCCAGAAAAGGGTATAATGTTTGCCTATTTGTTTGTATCGTGCTAGGATACGGACAAGAGAATAATTCTTTTAAAACAATTCTTAGACTAATCTGGGGAATGAAGGTGGTTCATTCTTTCATAGGAAGAATTTTGGTAAGAACCAACCACGTGATTACTACATATTTGGCACTGAATCAATTCAAGTGACTCAATCACTTCATAAATTTGTCTATCATGATCCAGTTATGATGCTAAATACATAGAATTCTTCTGGGGAAAATATAAACAAACTTTCCTGGTCTCATGAACTTCATATCGTCAATGAGAGAGACTATAAACCAACAGGAACTTGAAATAGTGATCAATGCAATAGAGGAAATCAGAAGGGTAAAGTGAGAATGACTGAGTATTCAGTCAGGGATGCTTTAAGATATGATATTTGTATTGAAAATGAATGATGAGAAACTGGGTGATAAATGTACAGTAAAGGGAACAGGTACAAAGACTAAGGCATGAAGCATTTTCTAGACATCTTAGAAGGGGGGAAAGGCAAAGGTCTAGCGGTGCTGAGTTTGGGGATGTCGGTAGGATCTAGTGTACTGCAAGTGTAGTAGACTTCTCTAACCTCAGCTGTGGCGTTGTGATCACTCTTCTCATATCTGAGAGCTCCTCTGAGTCACATGCTGCTTCTGAATTTTGCGTGCCATCATCCATTATTATTATTCTGAGTTTTCTTTCACGGATGCAAAAGAGATAGATGGAGAACCCAAATGTATGTGGGATTGAGAGGGCGCCAGAGAGGAGAGAGGTAGTTCTGCAGCTGAGATGAGTGGAAATACCTTCTGAAGCAGAGCAGGAGACAGCTGCTGCCTGCCCTTCCTTAGAAGCAGGGGGAAAGAAAATTCCTCTAATCCTTTCAGGTACCTCCTAGGGCTAATGTTAGCAGGAATTCTTGTGAATGGAAACAATTAACTGAGATCCTGTGAGAGTTTTGTGGATTAGTAAATACCTAAACCCAGAGGCTTGAAAGGTCTTTTGATCACATCTGAATCTATGCCCTCAAACATAGGGATCTGTGGGTTGGTCAACAGTCAGATTCATTCGCTAGTAGCACCATTTTACTGAACCATGAAGAATAAACATATGGAAAAGAATCCCACAAATATCCCATCCACACCTGCTGCCGTGTAGACTCAACCATCGGCCCTGCTCTACAGATTCCCGACTAAATCTCTTAGGAGATGCACACCAAGCATCTCATATTCATGGAAACATCTGTCCCCACAGCTGAAAACTCCAGACTCTAGGAGGTTGGCAGACTGAATATCCACCCAGCTGAAGCCCCGGTAGCCACACCCACACCCCACTACTGCAGCCACACCAAACCTCAACTCCACTGTTTCTCGGATATTCTCTGCAGAGATGCCAAACTTCTAATGACTTTAGGTACCCCAATGCCCAGGCTGAGAACTCTGGTGTCTTCTCGGAGTTGGGGTGGGCAGATTCCCCCAGCCCTGGCAGCCACGCCCACCTCCCTGAGCCACGTCTAGGCGGGGTGGCTAATCCTGAAGTCTCTGGACACCTCCTGATTCCTCAATACTGAATTCCAGTAGGAGCACAGCAAACTAGATGGGAGAGTTATGTAGAAGCCAATTAAACTCAACAAAAACAGTAACAGATGGCTCAACTAGCAGCAAACAGCTCAGTAAATTCTTAGACAAGGACTTACCCCATGATCAGATATAACAATTTTCATATAAAATTGACTTTTTAATTCTTACTGTCTTAATGCTCAAGCGGTTCCAGTAACGTCTCCATTGGAGACTTTGTTGTTACTGTGTCTGGCATATCGAATACTCTCGGTAGCTTGCCAGGATCTCCGAGAGGGGCGGAGGAATCGAACTCGGGTCGGCCATGTTAGCCGCTTGTAAGGCGAACGCCCTACCGCTGTGCTATCGCTCCATTAGAGCTTTGTTATCTAATCATTTTTTCCACTCCAGAACTGTATCGATATTTGTGGCTTTTGTCTACATTGAAATAAATTTTTTTAAAAAACCCACAAATATGGATCATTGTGTCCGATGGCCACAGATGCACAATTGTTCAAACTTCGAATTCTATCAAACTTTATAGAATGCAGGTGATGTTGGATCTGCTACAGCGAAGAATTAAAATGTTTTAGAAAGATGTGAAAATGTTTGAAAAGCTCTATTAGAGAACTGAAAAGGACTCGGATGAGAAAAGACAGATTTAGAAAACTTGGGCATTTAGAAATCTAAAGGCAAGGATTGGAGCCCCAGAGTGAAGAGCGACAGAAACTACTGGCGGTACCATTCCTAATTTCTGTCACTCGCTTTCAGAAGTGCGGAGATTTCTATTTAAATTAAAGTTTGGTTCAACAACGACAGAAAGTATCCAAGGAAGAGCTGCAGTGAACTTCTGCAGGAGAATAAATGCCCCCCGTCGGGGTCATGACCAATTCACATCACAAACCGGCTGCGAGTAATCCAGGCTTCGGAACGGGGGGCATGGGCGTCTGGGGGTGCTGCGAGGTCCCCTTTGGCCAGTAGCATGAGAAAGTAGACAATTCCCCCGGCGGGGCGGGGGGAGGGGATGTGCCAGTAGATCCGAGGTTCATTTACCACCCAGCTTTTTACACATTTCAAGCGCCGCGGGAGGAGCCAGGGCAAGAGTCCAGCGTAGCGATAGATGCTTGCTAGGCACGCGTCACACCGGGTTCCATCTCGAGCACCCCACACTCTGAGCACGCCCAGGAGTAATCCCTGGGCCCCGCCAGCTGTGTTCCCCGAGCTGTAACAGAATAAAGTGCTGCGGGAGGCTGCGAGGATAACGCGCGCCCATCAGCATCTGGGAGCCAAGAAGGCCAGACTGGGAGATCAGCCTCCTCTGCCCAGCGAGGACCAGGGGGCCGGGCCCCGGAAGACCCCGCCCTCACGCGGCAGGCCCCGCCCCACCCACCTCAGGCCCCGCCCCCGCCCTGCCCCGCTAGCGGCCGACGCTGTGCAGCCCGCCGCAGGCCCCGCCCTCTACCCACCCCACCCGCCGCAGGCCCCGCCCTCTACCCGCCCCACCCGCCGCAGGCCCCGCCCCAACGTGGGCCCCGCCCTGCATGCCGCAGACCCCGCCCCCACCCCGCCCCGGCTGTGGGAGACCTCGCTCCCCGGGCCGCAGACCCCACCCCCGTCCCGCCCCTCAAGCTACAGACCCCGCCCCGCCCCGCCCGCCGCAGGCTCCGCCCCGCGCAGGCCCCGCCCCGGCGGCGGCGCGCCCGCCGAGCGGAAGATGACGTGAGGGGACTCGGGCGCTCTCGGGGCGCCGCGCCGCCAGCGGGTCCCCGCAGCCGCCCCAAGCCCGACGTGCGCGCCGCGTCCCCCGGAGCCCGCCGGCCGCCGGCCGCGCTCCCTCCCCGGCCGGGCCGCCCCCGCGCGGCCCCCGCGGCTGCCTGGCACGGCCCCGCGCTCGGCCGCCGCCCTGGCGCGCTCCAGCCTGGCGTCCCCGGACGGCCGCGGCCCGGGCCGGCCCGGGCGCCGGCGGCTGGGCAGGGGGCGCTGGCCCCGGGGTCGCGCCTGCAGCGCCGCCCCCCCGCGCGCCGGCGGCCGAGGGCGAGTGCTGGCTGCGCCCGGGCGCCAACGGGCCGCGCGCGGACGCGGCCGGGCCCACCACGCACCCGTTCGCGGGGCCCGCGGCCGCCGCGCCGCCCCCGTCCCCCGGGCTGCCCCCCGCCTGGGCCGCGATGATGGCCGCGCTGTACCCCAGCACCGACCTCTCGGGCGCCTCCTCCTCCTCCCCGCCGTCCTCGCCCTGCTCCTCGCCGTCGCCCCACGAGGAGATGGCGCTCAAGGATGTGCGGGAGGTGAAGGAGGAGAACAGCCTCAATGAGAAGCTTTTCTTGCTGGCGTGCGACAAGGGTGAGAGCGAGGCCCCTTCCCCGCTTCGAGCTCCCCTGCCCGTCCCGGCGCCCCGCGTGCCCACCTCCCCCGGAACCCCCGGCGCTCTGCGTGCCCACCTCTCCCGGAACCCCCGGCACCCCGCGTGCCCACTTTCCCCGGACCCCCCGCATCCCACATGTTCACTCCGCAATCCCCCTCCCCCCTGCGCCCCGCGTGCCCACCTCCCCCGGAACCCTCGGCACCCCGCGTGTCCACCCCCCGGAACCCCCGTATCCCACATGTTCACTCCCCAATCCCCCCCCCGGCACCCCACGTGTCCATCCCCCCGGACCTCCCGCATCCAACATGTTCACTCCCCAATCCCACCCCCCGGAGCCCCCGGCACCCCGCGTGCCCACCCCCTAGACCCCCGCATCCCACAAGTGTTCACGCTTACAGCCCCCGGCATCTCGCATATCCACACCTACACCCCCGGCATCCCACATGTTCACTCCCCAATCCCTCCCCCCCCCCCCGCATCCTGCGTGTCCACCCCCCCCAGAACCCCCAGCATCCTACGTGTCCACTCGTGCACCCCCGGCATCCCGCATGTCCACCCCCAGAACCCCCGCATCCCTCGTGTCCACGCTTACAGTCCCCGGCATCCCACGTGTCCACCCACACCCCCACTCAGGGCGTCCAGCGCGTTCCGCCCCGCCAGCGGCTCCGGTCGCTGGGGTCCGGTGCTGGGGACATCCGGGACCCCGCGTGCTGGAATTCTGCTTCCCGTGGGTGTCCTGTCACCAGCGGGGCTTTACACCCCGAAGACTGCAGGACCCTCGTCCTTTTCTGCGTCCTCGAAAGCCGGGCAGGTGGTCAGCTGGGCTCGAGTGCCGGCGCCGGGCCGAGGGACTCCCGGGTGGACAGGCTCCGGGCGGCGGCACTTTCTGCGAACTTGCGGTGTGACTTGGGGCCTGTTGGGCTGGGGGGCTTGGGGGTCTCCTGATCTGCCCAGAGGCCTGATTGCTCCAGAGCGGGGCCGGGCGGGAACGGCGGGCGCAGGTGCGTGCTCTGCCGGCCCCTGGAGCATCCCGCGGAGGTCCGGGTGGGGGCTCGGCCTTGGCGTGCGCCTGGCGCTGCTTCTGACGGTCTTTCCCTGGCAGGGTTTTTCCCCACATTAGAAAGAATGTGCTGCGAAATCTCTGCCCTCACCAGCCCCGCGCGCACGTGGCGTCCAGCCAAAGGATGCCCGTTTGTTGCGCTGTGCAAGTGCGTTTTTAATCAAGGAGAGCCGCGTCTGATCTTGCCTCCTCGGAAATCGGCAGTTGTTTGCCAGAACTTGCACCAGGGGAAATAAGTTGGGCTTTTTTTTTTTTTTTTTTGCCTTTGATGCCTACATGCCAAGTGCAGGGCTGAGCTAATTCACGACCCCTGCACAACTTTCTAATATGTTAATAAATACATTAATATATAGACAAAGACACGCCCCACCTTCCTGTTCTCATGCAGTGCCTTTGCATTCTGATATAAAAGTATTTAAGTCCACCTTGGACGCCTTTGACTAAGAATTGTAGAGAAACCCCAGGGCGATTATGTAACCTCACAAAAATCAGCTGTGGATTATGCAGAAGTGTTGAGTGTGCCTACTGTGGGCTGTTTGATTTCTTTTTCCTCAAAAAGTTGCTCATTGGAAGGGATTTGTGTTCTACCAGAGTGAGTAAGCGTCTCCTCTGCACTACCTCCCTGAGCTGCTTATTTTAGAACAAAGTGTGTCAAGAAAGGATACTCAGTACTGTCAGGCTGAGGGCAGAGGAATGTCAGGATGGAATCGTGCTACTGAGCTGTGTGGGTGTGTAGTTTAGGGTTATTGCAGGAGACATAATCAAAAGAGAGTTTGAACGCAGGACAGTTTCATTCAGTAGTACCAGTTAGTTTAAGATTCTTTTTTGCCATTTCCCATTAAGATTCTTGGAGAGATTTGGTTTATAAGGATGGGATGTTTACACCTCCCCTCAAAACTTGGATATGGGTGACATTAACAGGTAGTTTAGATTTTAGGGATGTTGAATTCTTGGGCTAGATTAGGAAAAGCGAATAGGAGTTTTGCTGCAACTGTTTCTCCATCTATAAATAGAATGCTCTCTTTGGTATGATCTGATAGGTTACTCTCTAGGTCTGAGAATCTGTTACCATTAATTCACAAGGATTTTTTTTTCTTAAGTGTTTCCTCAAAATAACCTACCAAATTATACCAAACAGGGAAGTCTATTTTTGGATAATAGTAGAAACTTGTATTCCACTGGAACTTCATCAAGCTAAAGGGCAGCCCTGGACGAAAACAGTTACTAGGAAGTGCACATACTCATCATCCTTACAATGCAGTGAGCCACATTGTTCACATTTTACAAATAAGGGAACTGAGGATTTTTTTTTAAAGGCAGGGAAAATACCAACTAAACTAAACAAAATAACTTTGCCCCTGGTTACGGAGCCTGCTCTTAACCACTTATAAAGCCATCTCGCTATAGATGAATGGGTAAACGTTATTTGTGTTAATAAAGACATTCACTTGTCGACTTTTTGAGGATTGGACTTGCTCTCTATGAAGGTTCAGTAAACCTGATTTTTTTCCTCTGAATTTTATTTACTCAATAAAAGCAAACAGCAAGTATGGGACTTTAATGTCACCAAATCAAACCCACTAGAACATCTGTGTGTTTCGTGCTGATTTTCATTTATTAGTTTTACCCTACATGGCCAAAATGTTCATAACCCATGCACCTAGCAAGAACGCCTAAAGAATACTTTGAGGGTTGGTAGATGATAGCTTCTTTTCTTGCTTTCCACCAGTCCTAGTTTGACCCTCAGCGCTGCATATGGTTTTAGCACTGAGGATATGGCCCCCACCCCATGAAAAAGCTATGAAAAAGCTTTGATAGTCTGTAAATGGCTGGGTTTTGTCTTTTTGTTTATTTTTGTGCTGATTTAGAAAATGGGCACTAAATAATAGCCATCATTAATCTTGAAAGTGGGTCAAAGCATCCCAAAGGAACACTCTTGGTAGAAAATGTAGAAGAAAAAGTGAATGGTTCCTATGCCAGTATAGAAAGTTAAGTGTGGGAGCCCCTAGTAAAATCCTCAGCAAGTTGACTGGAAAGGCAAGAACGTGATCAGAAATGAAAGCTGGCCATGACATGTTGAGCAATAATTCTTGCCACCCATGTCTTTTTCCTAATTGTGAGTTATTGTGGAAGTGACCCACAAATCAAAGGGATCCTGTGGTTTTCCTAATGCTGGCTGGTGAAAGGGTGAAATAAACGAAATATATTTCGTGTAAATATGTGACTCTACTATCAGTATCACCTACTGACTAGTTAGTAAGTTAGCACAGACACTTGAATTTCCTGATGATCCAAATCATTTCTTGTTCAGAAGAAAAAAGTTATAAGAATTCTGTCAAAATCAGCCCTTGCCAGCATTATGAAGAGCATTTTCAGGACATTCCATTTGCAGTTAAGGAGTTAGAAGGTCCTTAAAGTTGCAGCCTGGGCTGGGGCAGGAGGAAGCAACATTATACCCTTATCCTCTGCTTTATCTATGCTTACAGACTTGTATTACTTTTATTTTAAAATCAGCTACATTGTATGCTAGGATGCTTTGATGCCGGGATTGCTACATAAAACAGGCAGGAGACTAAGATGCTTTCCAAATATGCAACATTACTAGGAGAAGCCATGTTTAGTTGCCCCTCTTTTTTGGTTTCCTTTTTGGGGGGAGAAGATGGTCAGGGCTGACCAGTTGGTGCTCAGGTGTTACCCTGGACTTGGGGAACAATTGTCATGCTGGGGATTCAGTACAAAGTGCCGTATTATCTTCCCAACCCTTAAATTGCTATTTTTAGTAATACCATAATGTTTTTAGTATGTCTTTTTTCTTCTTTTTGGGTCACATCCTGCAATGCACAGGGGTTACTCCTGGCTCTGCACTCAGGACTTACTCCTGGCGGTGCTCAGGGGACCATATGGGATGCTGGGAATCGAACCCGGGTCACCGCGTGCAAAGCCGATGCCCTATCCGCTGTGCTATTGCTCCAGCCCCTTTAGTAGAATTTCTTAAAACACAAAACTGAAACCCCATTTGAGAACAGGTTGTAAATGTGTGGCTGTAAGAATGGCAGTAGGAAGAGAAGCATAGAGCAGTGGATATTGCTGAACTTTTGTTGACAAAGCGCGACTAATGTCATGAGATGGGAGGGGAAACTTGCAGAAAGGAGAGGAGGCAATAAAGACGGTGCTGGGGGAGCATCTCAGTGTCACTGGGCATTTGGGTGGCCATTGATTTGGACCACATCTGCCAGAGCTCACTTGCTCCTCCAGGCTCTGTGGCCAAAAGTGACCCCATCGTGGTGCTCAGGGACCACATTGGTACTGGGGCACAGAGCCAGCAGCCACGGACAGGTGCCTTCTTTACCCTGCTTCGTGTCTACCAGCCCGTCCCCACCTGGGAGTGTTTTCCAGCCCAAAGTGCTACCGCGCCTCAGATGGCCTCCCTGTGGATTTGATCTCATGTGCTAGGACCTAACCCTCAAATAGACGTGGCTCCCACTTGTTCTAACACCGAGGAATCTGCCTCTTAGAATTGGGCCCGTATCTTCTCATTTAGGTTAAAAGAGTCAGTTTGATCCTGCTGGTCTTTTCCTGCGCCCGTGTGAAGCCAGGCTCTCTTGCCAGGTGATATTCACTGGAACCAGTCGTTTTTTAAAAAATCATCCAGGGCCTAAGATGTGTCCCAGCCGTGGCTCCATCCCCAGCATCACCGGGTCCCCTGGCTGAGAAGGCACGTGAGCCCCTCAGTTGGCCCTGGAGGCCAGGTACCGCCAGTGTTGGCCAGGTGGTCCCCACCACCACCGGACATGCTCACCTTGTTGGCTGGGAATCACTGGTCCACAGTCCTCCTGGGCACTTTTTGGGAGTCCTGTATCCCATCCTGCCCCCTGCAAAGAAATGAGTTGCACGGATGGTTCTGTGTACCATATTTCTGAGCATTTCATTCACAGCAGTAGACAAACAAACAGCTCCAAGGGTCAGGGCTGTGACAGTCTTGTCCCTTGGTAACTTTCCTTTGAAACCGACTTCCCTGCCTACATTTTGCATGTATTCATTGCCTTTGCACCTTTATTCAAACCAATTTGAAGCCCTTTGGAGACTTAGCAGCCTATTTATAGGTCGAATTTATATTTTCAAGCAGCAATTGAATTTGATCATGATTTTTTTTTAACTTATTCTCTTTAAAGCTGGAGCAGTAGTAGCACCGTGGGTAAGGCATTTGCTTTGCACGTGGCTGACCTGGTCAGCCCAGGTTTGATTCCTCCATCCCTCTTGGAGAGCCCGGCAAGCTACCGAGAGAGTATTTCACCCATATGGCAAAGCCTGGCAAGCTACCCATGACGTATCCAATATGACAAACAGTAAAAAGAAGTCTCACAATGGAGACGTTACTGGGTCACTCAAGCAAATCAATGAACAACGGGAGGACAGTGCTACAGACAGTGCTACCATTCTCTTTAAATAATAAAGCTTATTTTAAGTGTCTTTGGTCATCAGAATATTGAAATTGCCATCCTCAAAAAGTTTGTTATCGAAACTATGATGTGAAAATTCTCAGGTTACCCCCTCCCCACCACCCTTACTCTCAGACTTCAGAACTCACTGAAAATTCTGTTACTATGCAAGATGTAATCAGATGTTCTTAATAATATTCTCGTATTTTTCCAAACTGTTTCATGGGCAGATCTTCATTACCCAGAGAGAATTTGTTGCCAAGGATCCATACCTTTTTAATACTGTTGGTTAGGACATACTATCTTGTGGGTCTTTTTCTTTGCAGTGGAGGTGGGGAGGGGGGGTTGGCTTATCTTCGGGGCCACACCAACATTGCTCAGGGCTTAATTCTGGCTCTGTGCTGAGGAATCACTCGTGGTGGCACTTGGGAGACCCTGTGGGGTGCCACGATGGAACCCAGATTGGCCATGAGCAAGATAAGCACCACTGCCCATTGTACTGTCTCTCCAGTCCCAAGGCATACTCTCCGGCTTCCTGATCATGGTGGGTTACGGTCCAGTTAGGAAGACCCTGCTCTATGGGAGGGGTCCCAGGGATGCTGGAAGAGAGTCCTGGTCAGTTCCTAGTGGCGGCGGGGCCCAGGCTCCAGGGAGGCTGACCAAGGCACAGTTACAATTTTACTTTTATTTTATATGCAATAAGAGAATTCAGAGGAGTCTACACTTGACGTGAATTGGTTTTAGAAAGATCGCTCAGTCAACAGGGCAGAGAGCACTGGCGGGCAGGGCTGGATCAGGGAGGGCAACCTGGGGCCGCCTGTCCTGGTGAGGCCCGTCTCCTGAGGATGATTTTACTGTGTTGCCCACTTTTGTTCTGCAAAGAGGAGTTGAGGGCTGGTGACTCTGCCAGGTGAGACTGCAGACTCTGCAATAGAGATTTTCCTGTCTAGCCCCTGAGGGGCGGGGGGAAGTTTGCTGACCCCTGCAGTGGAGGGCAGGCGGCTCTGTGAGTAAGAGACGACCCACGGGGGCCAGGAGAGACGGTTGTGGACAGGTGGTAGCAGCTTGCCTGCACATGAGTGGAGGATTTTAGAAGTTTGCAGGGGAAGGCCAGCTTCTGAACTGGCACACTGGTGAAACAGAAATGTTTCTTTCCCTTCCAAAAGAAAAAAATCTAGCCCCAAATTTAAGATCATGTTGCTTTTCCTTTTATGTATTTCATGTTGGTTTGGTTTTGATTGGGTTCGGGTACCCAGGGTTTACTCCTGGCTCAGGGATCACTCTTGAAGGTGCTTGGTATTCAAACCAGGGTTGGCTGTGTGCAAAGCAATAACTTGACTCCCTCTGCTATCTCTCTGGTCTCTATATATGTGTGTGTTTTATTTGTTTATTTATTTACTTACTTATTTTGGCTTTTTGGGTCCCACCCAGTGATACTCCGGGGTTGCTCCTGGCACTGCATCAGGAATGACTCCTGGCAGTGCTCAGGAGACCATATGGGATGCTGGGGATCAAACCCAGGTTGGCTGCGTGCAAGGCAAACACCCTCCCCGCTGTACTATTGCTCCAGCCCTTATTTTTTTAAAAAATGTACATAACTCTTAAAAGCAGGTTCATTCTGATATGAAAAGCATTTCTTTATTTGGCACAAGAAGTTGTTTTGAATTGTTAATTCTTGCTCTGTCACTAGCTTCCTGCAATATATTTTAAGTGTCCCTTTCTAGATGTAAATTCATCTGAAGTGTTAGAGTGTTCTGAACTTGTTTTAAGCTGCTTGCAAGAACACACTGAGGCAGAATACTTAAGACCCTGTGTAGGTTTCAGATAGATTCTATGAATAAAATTTTACATTTGCATAAGTCGATTAGGTGGAACAGTGGGTGGGACCTTTGATTATTTTTAGGACCAAAACTGAATTAAATTTTTTGAAGTAACATAATTTTACTTAGGAAATGGGAGAGAGGGAAAGACAGAGAGGGAGGAGAGAGAGGGAGAGAGTAAGGGAAGAGGAGGGGGGAGGGAGAGGGAGGGAGAGAGCAAGGGAGAGAGAGGAGAGAGGGAGGGAGGGAGGGAGAGAAGGAGAGAGAGGGAGATGGAGAATAAAGAGAAAGTATGCACCCCAAACTGGGCTGTGTGTGTCTGGGACAGAGGGTCATTTGAGGACTGAACTGGATGGTCCAAAAGCCAATAAAACAATAATGGGATTAAAAATCTCTTATGTTAGCCAAAAAAAGAAGTCTTGCATTTGTTTTTGTTCTATTTGGGGGCAGTTTTCAGAACCACTCCCAGATGGGCTGGAGGATCAGACAGACCCGGGGCTTCCATGTGCAAAGCCCATGCTACAGGCCTTTGAGTCAGCCCCTGGCCTCGCCTGCCCTAGGGGCACCCCTGGGACCCACCTATAGAAATGTTTTATTTTTCAGTCCCTAGAACTTCAGGTAATTATATGGAGACTATGGCATGATCACCTTTAAAATGACTCGAAGCTGAAACATATGGAAATGAAATTATAAGAAAGTAAAGGAAAATATCATAAGGAAAAGAATTCTTTTTGTGACAAGTTTTCTTGAGTTATTGTAGGAATTTATCATCCTGAAAACCAACATTCAGATTTTTCCATAAACTGCACAGGGACTTTAAAGTAATTAGTTAAAAATAATGACAAGTTTGTACAACGTTTTATTTAAAGTCTGTTTCCTTTTTTATTCACTCGTTTAGACCAGTATAATTAGTGTTTTATCCTTCTGTATCATGAAATCATGTTTCTTTTCCCTTTCACTCTGTTGTTTTCCGGTTTCTCATAGACTTCTAAGGAATATTTGCAAGTCACTTAAAATATTCATTTACATTTCCTTCACTGCACAAACTGGTTAGGAGACAAATACAGTAGGCGCTCGTACAAATGATTAGCTCCAGTATTATTCTCCTTTTCTTCGCCTGGGTCAATAGTTTTGATGTGAGCAGAAGTTAAGCATGAAGTCAAGTGAAAGGTCCTGACAGCTCAAATTTCACTTGGAAGTATTCAGACTTTCAGCCCTAATCCTAGAACTTAATGTTTTGTGAGCTTTGTGTTCCCTGGTCATTTAATCTAAATAGCTTCATTAATAACATAAGCGTGTGTGTGTGTGTGTGTGTGTGTGTGTGTGTGTGTGTGTGCGCGCGCGCGCGTGTGTGTTTTGAATAAAAGGGAAAGAGAAGGAATTTTGAGCTATCCCCACCACTTTTACACATACATCATACTGTTTTTTCCCAAAGTGTGGTTCCCTCTGTTAAAATTTTATAATATCTTCCACTTGTTCTAAGTCTCATTTTTAACATTATAATGTGTAAGTAAATGTGTGTAGGTAGTTCAGATATGAACTTCAGTCCTTTAAGCATCTATTGCCTTATTTTTCTAGCTGTTAAGTCTATACTTTCAGACATCATTTAATGCTTTACATATCTCTCTGAAGTTTCCTTATAGTCAGTTATGATAATTAGCTAACGTCTTTTATTTCAAACTGCACGCTTTAAATTTAGTCACTTCTCGTGTTTACATACAGTATACATTTTACTTTCATCAGGATGTAAGTTCTCAGAAAGGAAGTGTTCATGTTTTCTCTGCATGGTTTCGTATAGAGGTTAAGTTTAGGGCTTTTTAAATCAATACGCTTTTTATTTAAAGTCATTCTTATTTACTATGTCATGGATATTAAATTATGTTTGTGTATTGTTATTTAGGTGACTATTATATGGTTAAAAAGATTTTGGAGGAAAACAGTTCAGGTGACTTGAACATAAATTGCGTAGATGTGCTTGGGAGAAATGCTGTTACCATAACTATTGAGAACGAAAACTTGGATATCCTACAGCTTCTTTTGGACCACGGTTGTCAGGTACAAGGCTGGCTGATTTTATCCGGTAGCTTCTAAGAACTGTTAGATATTCCCTGTTTCTTCCCTGTTTCTCTTCCCTTTGTCTCTCCCTCCCTTCCTCCCTTTCTCTCTTTCCTTCTCTATTTCACCTTTAACTGAGCAACTAACACTAACAAAAAAACAATGCCTAAAAGCCCTTTTTATTAGCCTTTTTGGTTAAGTTTTTTCCATCCCAACATCCTTGTACCCTTTACATCTGACCAAAAAAAAAAAAATGATTCTGGCTTTAAATGATGACTTTGTCATGTCCACATTATTAGCATTTATATGTCCAAAAGACAGTCCCAGCACTCTAGAGATATGGGAACAGTTTTTTTTCTGTAACCTCCATTACTTCTGGACACAAGAGTCAAAGACTCCTCACTCACAGACCACTTTTTCAATTTGCAATTTTCAAACTTGAAAATTTGGATCTAGAATTTCTCCTGTTTTACTAAATTCTCTTTTGTAGTCAGAGAGGTAACATGTGCTTGTAATTAAAAGTAAATGACTTTCTTTTAAACCGGAAAACTCTGGGGTGGGGCATTGTACAGTGGATTAAATCCCCAGCATCACTTACGGTCCCCTGAACCTGCCAGGATTGATCCCAGGAGGCAGAGCTGGGAGTGAGCCCTGAGCACCGCCTGGCAGCTCAAAAGCCAACACAGAAAAGAAAAAATATTAAAATCAGAAACGTTCACCTTTCTGTTTGTCTTTAGCTCAGATGGAGACACCGGGATGTGTTTAAGTTCCGAGAATTTAGTCTAGAGATTCTGAAAGAAATTCAATAATTTGCGTCTTTTTCAGTTTGTTGATAATGGGACTTAATGTATGAAGACGCTGTTCCTACTTTTCTCCTTTCAAATATATGATTGTGTGCATTGTTGTAGCTTTTGACTCATGAGGCTTTTATTTTGAGTGGCAACAGGAAATCACAGAGCTTTAGAAAATATAATTAGGTTAATTCTTGGTGTGTGTGTGTATATGTAAATGTATATGTATACACATGTATATACATTATAAATTGTAGTACTCTCTCTGTACATATGTCAAAGAAATTGTCAGCAATCTCAGCTATCTAGAAACCCAAGAATCAGAAAATAAGTTCAAAAAATTTTTGATGCCTGAAACCCCATCATTAGGAGTACTGTCAATCATGCTATCACAAATAAAAATTTATACATTATATTCACTTTCGCCACAGGAATACTTCTGGAGCTGTAGTCTGCCTTTTCCCTTAGATGGCACTTTAGCAAACTTAATTAGTTATCCAGTCCTTGGGGAATTGGGGAAAACAGAAGGGGCCCAAGGGCTGCAGTGAACATAGAAAGGCAGTTCCTGGGACTAACGAAGGCTTGAGAGTATCTCTTACCTCCTCACCCCTGGGAACGTGTCATAGCCCATCGTCACTGCCTTTTAAGAAAGGCAGATATGGGTTCTTTCAACAGTGACCCAAGTCAGTAGGGAAAAGTTTAATTATATTCAGTTCTTAATATTTTAGAGAAAAGAACACTCATGTAGTATTTCTCAAAGCAGAAAACTTCCAAACAGTTGAAGTGTCAACATGAAATCCTTAAAGGTATAAGCTTCAGTTCCCTAGAAAATGAAGTTATAAAGAAACTCAGTCCCTGATAATCCTGGAGAAAAGAGTTCCAATGGTATAATCATCACATTTTGTCCTTCTCTATATCCTGTGTGTAGTAATTCCATAATGTACATGGTACTATTGCATACCCAAGTATACTTAATCACAGCCAGCCTGTGTAGGTGTTACTTTCTCTGGATTGGAAAACTGAGGCTCATAAACCTAAATGAATTGCCCTAAGTTCTAAATGACTTGAGGCAAAGCTAACTTTGGAACCTGATCTTTTGGCCGCAAATCCCATGCTCTTTCCAGTTCTCTGTTCAACTCAGGTTACCTGTATCTTCCCCATCAGTGAATAAATGTTCAAGATCTTTGCTTGAATGTGATCGTGGAAATGAATAAGTAAAACATAATTTCTGCACTAGAATATGAAGACTAATTGGACAGTGGAGCTTCATTAGCTTAAAAATCAAACCTCAACCCCCCCCCCCCAAAATGCATTTACTAATGCCCCGTGGTGATACTTGACCCTGGTTGATTGCTTTGAGTTTTCCAAGTGCTTCCGAGTGTTTTGTCTGAGGCCAGCAGCCTTTGCTGCCAAGTCTGCCCAACTAGACCTATTTCCAGAGACCTTTTCGGTTTCCCGGCTGAGGGGTAGGTTACCAGCGGCTCTGTAATTGGGTGCTGCTTGCCTGGAACTCAGGCTGTTCCAGCTCACAAACAGTGAAGCATGGGGTGACTGCACACCCCACCGATGTCTCTGTTGGGAAGCCCTGTTTTAGAGTGATTTACAGTGTGGTGCAGCACAGAAAGGAAATCTCCCGGATTTGTACTGCCCAAGGTTTCCTGGGCTCCATCCTGGATATTAACTGTGGTATTTATGTAGTGCTTCCTGTGCGAGGAATTAAAAAAGAAATGCACATATTTGTCCTCGGAGTTGCCCTACGAGATGAGGGCTTTCATTATCTCCACTTTCTAGAGGAAACCAAGGCACGGAACAATTTTGTAACTCCTCCAGATAGGATAGACTGGAATTTGAAGCCAGCTTCTGGGAACAGAATTTATACTCTTACCCAGAACTAATTCCACTCTCAGAAATGTATAGAAAGGTAAACGGAGGTGAGCAAAGGCTCAGGCCATGGCTACTTTTTTTTTTCTATTTTGGGTCACACCCGACGATGTGTAGGAGTTACACCTGGCTCTGCACTCAGGACTTACTCCTGACAGTGCTCAGGGGACCATATGGGATGCTGGGAATCAAACCCAGGTTGGCCACATGCAGGGCAAACACCCTACCTGCTGTGTATCACCCCAGCCGCCAACTTCTTTTTGTTCTTTTTAATTTTATTTATTTATTTATTTTGGGGCCCATGCATATTCTTTTTTATGCTTTTTTTTTCTTTTTGGGTCACACCCGGCAGTGCACAGGGGTTCCTCCTGGCTCTGCCCTCAGGAATTACTCCTGGTAGTGCTCGGGGGACCATATGGGATGTTGGGAATCGAACCCAGGTCGGCAGCGTGCAAGGCAAACACCCTACCCACTGTGCTATCGCTCCAGCCCCATGTATATTCTTGAAGCACTCAATTAAAAGCCCTTTTTGAGCAAAATGTTCGGGTTGGAGCAGAGTGGAAAATAGTTGGAAAAACAAGTAAAAATTGATTTAAAAGGCGGGGGGGGGGGGTCGGTTCTAAATACCAGGTTAAGAAATGAGTTTTATTTGATAGATAGTAGGGTTTGTTCCATGATTTGTAAGAAAGAAGGTATGTGCGATGATAATTTGGGCAGACTGAGCCCGGTGACTATCTGGGACGGGCTGGGAAGTGGGGCAGCGGAGTCAGTTGGAGTCAGCGCTGTGGGTGCAGAGAGGAGGATGCCCATGTCGGGGACCACTCAGCCCTATGTGTCCTGGGCTCAGAGCGTTGCTTCAGTGCTGCTGCTGTGGGCACATGGACTGGCTTTAGCCATTCGAATGATGATTCGCATATTATTCATGTAGTATTAGGGAGGAATACGGCAGAGGCGATTTAAAGCATGGAGGAGAGGCAGAGTTTATAGAAAGGGCTCTGCCATCCCTGTATATGCCTGAGCATCCATTCGTCAGGGTTTCTGGGAGGGCTCGAGAACCAAGCAGGATACCACAGGCTGACTGGTGACTTTTGAATAGGTGGGAACGTGGCAGGTCTAAAGAGATGTCCTAAGAGAATTGACAAAACTTGTCGAGTATTCAGATAGAATCCAAAATTATTTGGGATCTTAGAAATAGGATGGGGCTGGAGCTAGAGTATAGCGGATAGGGTATCTGCCTTGCACGCGGCTGACCAGGGTTCAATTTTTTCACTCCTCTCGGAGAGCCCGGCAAGCTAATGAGTATATCTCACCAGCACGGCAAAGCCTGGTAAGCTCCTCATGACGTATTCAATATGCCAAAAACAGTAACAATAAGTCTCACCATTTTTTGTGAGACGTTACTGATGCCCGCTCGAGCAAATTGATGAACAACGGGAGGACAGTGACAGTGACAGAAATGGGAGACTGGGAGAAAGAAGGATGGGAGAACAGAAAGCTGAGACGGGAAGCTTAGGACTTGGGCAGTCTCAAAGGGGCACTTAGAACGAAAGGTTCCATCTCAGGCAGAGGAGGTGAGGCTGCCTTGGGGAGGGTAGCAGTGCCAGTGCTACCTAAGAAACAGGTTCCAGTTTTTCAATCATCTCCATCAGTGAGGGACGCTAGATGTCAGGGTTTATCTCAGCACACAAGGTGGGCTACTGCAATGTTGTGAACATAAGTTTTTAATGTGTTACTCACACACCAAGGAAAATACAGAGGTAGGAAAGTTTAAAACTCTTTGGAGTTTAAAACTCTTGTATCAGTAGAAGCAGAGAAAATGATCTACGTTGATTTGAGACACTTGAGAGCGAGAAAAAGAAGTTTTGAATGGAAAGTGAAAGATAGGATCAATGCTGATATTTCTCTAAGGGAAGAACTCAGGTCCGTTCATAGGGGAACTTTAACTGGAATATCAAGGTGGAAATTTTACCTTTAGAAAATAAGCGACTTTATATTCTAAACTTAGAGGAAAGAGTATGGGAATTGTTCAAAAGACAAATTCTGAAATGTAGTGGAAGCTACAAACTTCATAAATATACAATAAGTGCATTTACTGAATAGATTTCAATAAGGAATGGAAAATAACTGTGAGAAATCCTGAGATAAAATTGATGAGGGTATTTTGTTTGCCTGCGGGTATTTAAAAAAATCAGAATGCATTTTCTCCCAAAGCTGCCTTTGGTTTATCAAGTAGCATTTATAAATTTGTATAGAAAATGTCATCACTATCTCCTTATTGACACGATCTTTTTCTGTCAATAATACTTTTTTACACCTGAAGCTTATCCTTTAAGCACTGAAAGATTTGACATAAATCTTACTTTATTCTTTACTAAATAGTGTATCTGAATATAATTTAACTTTTGCCACCGCGAATGGGACTCATCGAAGGCAGAATCATTTTTGCTTGGCTTCCTCTGGGAAACGGCTTATTCTGATGTCAGTGGTTTTGCTCCCCCGACCTGTTCTCTTTTCATCGGTGAGCTTTGGGTGATGCTTGCTCTCTTCCTCTGGAGTGGATTTTGGAGCAGCCAGCCCTCCTGCACCCCTGGCCCGTGGGGTGCTGGGACAGGGCATCTCTGCCCAGCTTGCAGGTGACCCAGGTGACCGGGCTAGTTCCCTGGCCACTTCCTGCCGGGAAGCCCAAGTGACTGGCAGGTGGGCCTCTGGGAGGGAGTGTTCGGACATTCACAACCTGTCACCTGGCTGAAACTGCCTGCCAGAGTCAGGTTAGAGGTTAAAATTAAAATTCATCAATGAAGTGTGCAATGGACATAGTCTTCCTTTTGGCTTCTTTCACCTGATCAAGTATCATTAAAACAGAATGAAACTGGAGACCATTTTGCAGTGCATGCTGAGGAAGAGTAATGCTGGACTTTTAATACTAAGCTCACAGCACAATGAAGGCTAAAATTTTATTTAATTTTAATTTTATTTTATTTTTAATTTTATTGAATCACCGTGAGACAGTTACAAGCTTTCATGTTTGGGTTACAGTCACACAATGATCAAACACAGAAGGCTAAAGTTTTAAGGGGAAAAATAATGAAGATTTCCCACAGTTTTTTTTTTTTAAATCTATGTGGAAACACACAAGCTGTTTCTGATCGTTGAGTGTGACCCTCTGTCTGTTGGTGTGATGCAGTCCTTTTTCCAAACACCAGGATAAAGTTTTCATTTGTTGGTCAATTTTTGAGTTGAGATAAAATGGAGGAGAGCATTATTGTTCTCCATACAAAGCATATTAAATTTCTTATAGTTTTCAGAAGTATGAACAATAAAGAGTATTAAATGTCTAATAGTTTCACTTTCAGGAGTATGAGTAATAAACAATATTAAATATCAGATAGTTTTGATTTTAGGAGTATGAGTACTTAAATGGCTATTATAACAGTTTAAAAATATAAAGATTGAAAATTGGGCATTTTATTAGATTAAATCATTATCTATCCTAATGTTTCCCAAGTACCTTCATGATTTTCTTTTTAAAAAGAAAGGAAAGAAGCTCAGAAAATGATGCTGAGGTTGCCCAATGTACTCACTGGGTGCGAGCCTAGTCAGAGAGCTGCCAAGTGCCCATCCAGGTTGGTGCCTCAGAATGAGAGAGTCATTCTCCTTCTGTCCTTGAAGGTGATGACGCTTTGCACCTGGTCAGATTGTCAGTATTAGTGGCGAGTGTGTCCTGTCTCAGTCAGCCCTGTGTGCTTTGGAGACCTAAACCCACATGTCTTTTCTACATCCTTCCTGTTTACGTTTTTCTCACTGTTGCCTGCCCCATGGTTGCCCTGAGCATCCGTTTTACCAGATGACACTCACCCCTTAACCTGTAGGCATAGGTCTAGGTCATTTCTTTGGAGGTTTGGGGTGTCCCACAGTGAAGATCTCTGGGGGGCGGTTGGTGGGGGCGGGGCTAGGGAGTACTCCATGGGCCCACCCGCAGCCCCACTGCCACCCCTCATCCCTTCGAGGACTCCAGGCTGACAGATGTGGGAGCGGGTACCGGCACTACTGATGCCAACGAGGTACTAGCTGGAGCGTCTTCTCGTAAGACACAGGATAGCTGTACACAATACAGTTCAGTTCTCGTTGCAGTTTGGTACAAATAGTTGACTTTTTCTCCTCTGTTTTAATTTTTAACTTTTTTTATTTGTTTTTAAAGTCTGCAGATGCACTTTTGGTGGCAATCGACTCGGAAGTAGTGGGAGCGGTTGATATCCTACTCAATCACCGGCCAAAGCGAGCGTCCAGACCAACCATAGTAGTCAGTACTCTTAAATACTTATTAATTTGAATTTTTAAACCAAAATAGATCACCTTCCCCATTGTCACCTTTTTTTTCTTCCCCTCAAATTATTTTGTTTTTTGAAATAGATTTTCTTCTGTAAAACACTGCTTAAAGTAAGTAGACATTTGCAAGAATAATTAATTAATATTGCTTTCAGGAGTTCTTTTTTAAAATAAATGTTAGTGACATTTTCATACTTTCAGTATGAACCAGTGTATTTAGTTTGGGAGATTCTATAGGTTGTTGAAATTCTAGGCTAGTTTCCAGATGGATTTTAAGAATGAAATATAATTCTTTCAAAACTGATAGTAAATGGATATCTGACCTGGAGTGGAAGGACTCTAATAGAAAAGCAGGGGACAAAAATCATAGCAGCCTACCTACCCCTTTACCTTGTAGAAGTTAAATTTCTGAAATTCAGGCAGGCGAAATTTGAAAAGCAGATGAAAAACTGATAAAAGACATTTTTTAGCATGTTCAAGAATGTAATCTTAGTGTTAGATGAATTGATGAAAAAAACTAAATTAGACAAGGACATAAAAATATCAGAAACGAAAACACCAGGTATTAAAACCTTATTTACTGTCAAATGCAGTACTAATTTTTGCTTATTAAGCAAAATTTAAAACGTGATCATTGTGTAGCAGTAATAGTCTCCTGCCCCACTGATTGGGGAGGGTATTTTGGAAAGCAGTTTGGTGAGAAATGTCATAAATAAGAAAGTTGTCCAGGTTCTTTAGCCTAGGGTATCATCACGCTTCTCAAGAAAGTGACCAGAAATGTGACAAATTGTTAATTGCAAACTTATTTGTGGCAATGAGAAAGTCATGGGTCACATCTAGCTATCCCAAAATAAAAGCTTGGAAATGGTATTTGAAAGAAATAGTTAGAGCTGAAGCAAAAGTAGGAGAGTAGTAAATTGTATATGTAATGTGACCGAAGGTTGAACATGAAGAAACGGAAGCTGCTTGGAAATATAGCAAAATGTTACTTAATAGCAGTTATCTCTGAACACCAAGTTAAGGAGATAAATATTTTTCTTTATTGCTTTTATAATTGGTAAGAGAGCTGCTAGCAATCATTCTAACTTTAAAATATATTTACTATATCAAAATTCAATAATTGTGACATTAATTATTGGTGATGATATAGTAGAATAAGCAATTTAAATAACACCTGGAAAATAATTTGGTCACATGCAGAACAAAACTATTGTCCCGCAGGCTTATCGGTTAGTTTTATATTATCCGCCATTGTCAGAGAAGTGTGAGACACTTCACTCAGTTGCACACTTTACCCTATTTTAACTGAAATGCTCTAATTCAGATTATTTAAAAAACTGCGTGTGACTGTTCTCAGAGGAGGCATCACCTAGTTTATGAGAGTAATTAGAATAGAGAAAAACAGGCCAAGGATACAGTTCCCATCCAAGGGATCAGATGTACTTCGAATTCTGTGCAGTTTTCTGGAATCTCTTCTGCAGTTGTGATTTTGACGTGCATATTCTGCCTGGAGCGTATTCCGCCTTAAACCTTTAGGCGAGTTATTTTCCTCCTTTCTATTTTGCTCTTTGGGTCACACCTGGCAATGTTCACAGGGGTTACTTCTGGCTCTGTACTCAGGAGTTACTACTGGTCGTGCTCAGGGAACCATATGGGATGCTGGGGATCCAACCGGGTCGGCCGCGTGCTAGGCAAACGCCCTACCCACTGTGCTATCACTCCAGCCCCACAGGCGGGTTACTTTCTTTTGGGAGCTCAGAGAGATCACACTGTGCTGGAAGATTTTCATCTGAAATTGAATCAGTCATCTCCACACTGTTGGTCTTGCCAGTCAGGTCTTCAAATTTATGGCGTTCAGCGCTGTCTCTGGTGAAAAAGATGTTCTGTCCATCACTGAGATACTTCCAGCCATATCAGCACTTCATTTTAATGGCCTTGTTATTTCGAAGCAAGCAGTGTCAAGTATTCTTATATGCTTGCTTTCACCATTTCAGTGAATCCACTCGATATCCTTGGATTATCAACTGTCTTTGATAAGTTTTGACTTTCAAGTGTAAATTGTCTTTGGATATTATCTAGATTATATTGTCACACTGTCCTCCTGTTGTTCATCGATTTGCTCGAACAGGCCCGGTAACGTCTCCATTTTTTTGAGACTTAATCGTTACTGTGTTTGGCATATTGAATACGTCACAGGTAGCTTGCCAGGCTCTGCTGTGTGGGCGAGATACTCTTGGTAGCTTGCCGGGCTCTCCGAGAGGGGCGGAAGAATCGAACCTGGCTTGGCCAGGCTGGCTGCGTGCAAGGCAAACACCCTACCGCTGTGCTATTGCTCCAGCCCGACTAGATTATATTATGGATAATAAAATTATAATCTTAGGCGTAATCTTAGGAGAGAGTAATTTTTCTTCTTTATAACCAGTAACAAGGGAGAAGGTTTAAATTTTAAGATTTTTCTATAAACTTTAGATAAATTAAATATTTTAAAATATTGGGTACATGGGAAATATATTAATTTGCAAAAGGGAAATAAGTATGTCGAAATTCTAGAATTGATTAATAGAAGAAAAACAAGCTATTGAAAAGGAATATATATATACATATATATATGTATGCATACACTATAGCACTGTCCTCCCATTGATTATCGATTTGCTCAAGCGGGCACCAGTAACATCTCCATTGTGAAACTTGTTGTTACTGTTTTTGCCATATTGAATACACCATGGGTAGCTTGCCAGGCTCTGCCGTGCACCAAGACATAGAGAGAGTGAGTGAGAGAACTCTTTAAAACTGCTCATGGGTTGCAGGCGAGAGAGTCCAGTGAGTAGGATGCTGGCCTTGCACACAGCCTACCTGATTTAATCTCTGACACCCATATGGTCCTCCAGCATCACTGGAGGGTGATCCCTGAGCACAGAGCCAGGAGTAAGGCCTGAACACAGCTGGGTGTGACCCAAAAAACAAAAAGAAAAAAAAAGACTGCTTTTGGTCTTGGACCTATAATTTCACTCAAGTGGTTCAATGTTTATGAGACAGTTAAATTTTTTTAAGTTCAATTCATAAAGATATTTAAATAGTAAAATAAAATATCTTGAATATAGGGTGAACTTCTTTAAATGAAATAAATTTACATAAAGTTATACATAAAGTTTCCTCTGACGGTTCTGGGCTCTAGTCAGCCTAGTGAGATTTTTTTTTAAAAGGAATCTAGGTCTTTGGAATATCAAGGACCTTCCCTTTCCTAAGTAATGAGTGCAAAATCACTCATGCCAAAGATGTCCCCAAAATGGGGCATAGTAGAGAGAGGACTAGAGGGACATTATGGAAGATATTTTTTGAGTAGTGTCACACTGTCACTGTCACTGTCCTCCCGTTGTTCATTGATTTGCTCAAGCGGGCCCAGTATCAGTACAGGTATTTTCATTTTTTATGCTTTCATTTGTGTTCAGATACTTTATAGAGTGTGCACATTACTTTTAAAATGTTAATAAAATTATCCAGCAAAACTTGAACTTGCTGAGCTAATGCTATGGAATCAAACATCTTTCAGGAAAATCTCTGAAAAATGAAAAGTCCTGGAAAGAATGTGTAATAGTCACGAAAGGGTGAGCTTTTCCACTTCCCCCTGATCTTTAGTTCGACTGTTCCCGTCCCCTGCCGTGCCCTGGACACGCAGGGAGTGTGGCTCAGGCTCTGTGGAACACACACCTGGCTCTCCACACACTTCGCCTTCTGGTTGTGTATCGTGGGGCTTTATTTCCTCTGAGCCTCAGTTTCTTCATGGGATTGCAGTGCTCAAATTTTCAGAAATTTGGGGCATTAAAGATGATTTTTTTTTATGATTTGAAGTGTGAAGGGCCCAGTAGTCCCCACATTTATTTGGCAGCAGCTATTCTTGTCAGTGTTTTTGTCACTGGCAACAGGAAGTAGTATAGGTAATTATTAGAAATACAGAATGAAGAGTACTTCCTATTTACTTACTTCTTTTAAGTATCTTGAATGTTACTGATTTGACAAAGTTTGCCAAAGAGGTGAAATTTAAAAAATTTTTTTCGCATGCATTTGTCACGTTCCCTAATTCTAATATTTCTGGTTTTCTAGTATTTTCTTTTTTCTAAATTCTTATTCTTTATTCCTGTCATGCTTTTTTTGATAATCCTGTGAAAATTAATCCCTAACACATTTCTCTAGATATTCTCACTTTGTTAGTAAAATAGAATTCTAGTTGTCTGAATGTTTCCTATTAAATATTCTGCCTTTTATAATTATATTGCATTTATTAATTAAAAAGTATTGAGGTTTCAAAAGAATTTAGTCCTGGTAAAATATTTATTTCAGTCTTTAAAATAATTCTTCCTGACTTCCATTTTTTTTCCATGTTACTCCAGATAAATGGGGTTATTTTTGAAATCAGAAGTAATAACTTTAGGACATTTATATAACTATTTTTCAGAAGTTAATGGAGAGAATTCAAAATCCCGAATATTCAACAACTATGGATGTGGCTCCCGTCATTTTAGCTGCTCATCGGAACAACTACGAGATCCTAACAATGCTCTTAAAGCAGGATGTCTCTTTGCCCAAACCCCACGCCGTTGGCTGTGAGTGCACGTTGTGTTCTGCAAAAAACAAAAAGGACAGCCTTCGACATTCCAGGTGAGAACATGAAGACCACTAGTGTGTGATGCAGTAGAGGGGTGCACGAGCAGACGTGGCATTTGCTTGTTCGCTCAGGGGAGCTTCAGAAGTGATGATGCTTCCAGCTTAGGATAGATACACTCCTGGCTCTTTTGACTTAGGAGTTCTGCACTTTCAGTTATTATTCTCTTATTTATGTTTGTGGGCCTTCTGTAGGTGAGACATGCACTCTCTAGCCAAACTACATCCCTAATTCTGTCTTGTTTGTTTGGTTAGTTTGGGGCCACACAGGGGACCAAGTAGTGCCAGAACCACCCCAGGCCTCGGGTGTGAAGGCGTGTGCGACCCATCGGGCTCCCTATGGCCCCAATTTTACTAAATTATGAATAACCAGGAGAAGTCTTCAAATTATGAATAAGACTTCTGCCATATTCCCACTGATAGGGAATGTGGGGGACTGTTTGCTTTTTCAGAAGCAATTTATTAACCTATGAGAATTTCCTAAGAATTTTCAAAGAGGCAGAGATACCACTTCCTATCTTATGTTGAAGAAATAAAAATTAGAAACAGAGCAAGAGTACAGCTGATGGGGCACTTGCCTTGCAAGCAGCAGAACCAGGTTTGGTCCCTGTCACACATATGGTACATCAAGCATACCAGGAATAAACGCTGAGCACAGCTGGGTGGTCCAAAAACCAAAGGAATAGTAATGCCAATCTAAATATTTGACTGGATACATTTCTTTCACACAGTAGCAAAAGCCAAAATTGATAAAAACAATTGTTTTTTAAATTTCAAAAATGGTGCCAGCTCAGATGATAAAAGGTCTAGAAAATACTTTTTAGTGGTGTGGAAACAATAGTGAACCATTGAGGTTTAAGAAAACCCTTACATTAAATGTTACTGTTGAATTGAAATAAGGAAAACTGATGCCATCTTTTTTGTGTCGATTCTGAACATTTCTGTGGTTAGACTTTGTTTCTTCAGCTTTTTGTATGAGACCATATAGTGCACCTTGCGGTATTGGTTTAACAACAAAAAACTCTGTTAGCTCGGTTTTATTTATTTATTTATTTATTGAATCACTGTGGGAAAGGTTACAAAGCTTTCAGGTTTAGGTCTCAGTCGTACAAATATCAAACACATTTCCCTTTACCAATACTTATTTTTTACCATGAAGAACCCCAATAAAACCCCACCCCCCACCCCTCCCAGTCCCTGTGAGGCAGATGAATTCTAGTTAACACTCTATCTGCTTTGATTAGATTCATTGTTTCAATAAAAGATTCACCACTATTATTTAGAGTTTACCCCCCCCCCCCCAATCAGACATGCTGAAAAAGCATTGTGAAATGATTTGCTTTCTACAGCTGGGTTCAAGAATTAAATGTTGGTTTTGGATTTCTGCTATTTTACTTATTGACCCTGGAAGTATTTCTACTGAAAGTCAGATAGTTAAGAAATTGGTTTCTGTGCTCTGGAGTCGTGGCCATGCTGGAGAGCCGCTCGTGGGGGGCAACTGGTGGCCTCGGTAGGGCGTGAAGGGCGGACCGAAATGCCCCTTCCCATGAGGTTTTAGTCGCCCCCACACCCCCGGCTCATACCTGCTGTCCACAAGGCTCCCATGCGGCCGCCATCTTTCTTTCCAGAGGGAGGAGGGCGGAAGGGAGCAACACCCTTTCCCCTCCGGGCAGACATGATGGCCTGGATTAACGCATAGTCTGTTCACTTTTCTGCTCCAAGCTGCTGGGTTCTGCATTAAGTCCTTGTGCTTCTGGGGCTGTGGCCGTGCTGGGTTCTGCATTAAGTCCTTGTGTTTCTGGGGCTGTGGCCGTGCTCCAAACTTAACTCTGATTTTCAGGGAGAAACGTTGGGTGGTTTACTTCCCATTGATCACTTTGTATATAGAGAGATGTTGCGCGGCCGCATAAGCGGCCACACGGTTTTGAGGAAAAGTCCTAGTTCCCACATACTCAAGCTGTGCTTGTAGAGGCTTCTGGTCACCGGGGTTCCATCTCGGGGGGGGGAGGCGGGATGTGGTACCTACCCCATCTGGGACTTCCCGATGATCTCGGCTCTTTTTGGAACCTGTTTTTTTTTTTTCCGGGAGCTGTGGATCCCGCCCTCCATGTGGCCCTTCTCTTCGTCTGTATCTGCTAGTGAGGTTTGACAGCGAGGTTTTGCATTGCAACATGAAACGTGAATGATGACCCAGCTGGAAGACGAGTTCTTCTTGGATGTCTGCCCCGTTGTGCGTTGGCTGCACCTTACCATCCCGTTCTAGCCCAGAGGCTTGCCCTGGCAGGGTCTGCTGTGGCTGTACTCGGCTCCCTGGTGGGCCGTTTCTGGATTTGCTCTTTCTGGTCTTCCCATTTTTCGCTTTGAGTTTATTCTGACTGGGACTCGTTGCACTTCATGGATCTGGCAGGCTAAGTTGATCTTCACATTGGGCGAGTTTTCAACTCTTGATTTTTCTTTGCATGACTTCTTCCCAGTCTTTCCTGTGCTTCTGGCCCCCTGGAACTCGTGTTATTTCTCTCGGGCAGTTTCCTAGCCTATTTGATCCATTTTTTCCCCTTTTTGGGTGTCTTTACGAGTCGCATATGCTTATTCATTCCTCTGCTTTTGTTGTTCCGTTGCTTTTTCCCTGTGTGATGCTTTTCTGTTTTTCGGGGGATTTCAGCAGTTTCTGGGTACAGTTTTCTCAGACTTTCTCTCTTGAATTCTCCTTTATTGTTTCCATCCATCGATGTCCTTGTTGTACTGAAGCCCTCATTGTTCCGTCCTTTGCCTTGTTGTACCAAACCAGAAAGATCCCTGTCTCCTCCCGTGTTGGGGTCTCCCAGGGATTTTGTCACTGCCTCCTGAGTCCCTGACTGCATGTCCAGCCGTCCCTAAGGCTGCCCGGTGCCTCCAAGAGGTTTGCTTCGGAGTTTGTGTTTTTGTATTTTTTGATCAAGACCTAGGCGTAGGATGGCCGCATCCTTCTTCTAGGAAATTTCTGAAAAATGATGATTCTATTTTGATATTTTTTGAGAACTGTCTATCCTGTTTTCCATAAAGACCAACCGAACCAGCTTATGTTTCCATCAAAGTGGATGGATGCTTGTATTTTTGAGAGTTATTGGTTTAAATCAGCTCGGGAGAATTACAGTTTGAATCATTTAAGCCAAGAACATGAGTTCTCTGTTTATTTTCTTAATATCTCTCAAAAATAGTTTGTAATAATTTTTTTCCTTTTTGGTGGCGGTGGCGGCTACACCTGGCGGTGCTCAGGGCTGACTCCTGTCTCTGTGCTCAGGGATGGCTCCTGGCAGGCTCAGGGACCCTATGGGGTACTGGGCATCAGACCCAGGTCAGCTGCAACCCAAGCAAGCACTTACCTATTCTGGTGCTATTTTGTAGTCTTTAGTGAAAGGTCTCTTACTTCCTTTTTATAATTAATTGCCACGTAACTCTCCCTTTGTTGGTTGCTGTTGTTACAAGGACTAAGGGGTGCTGGGCTGCTGAGGGCTCACACACATGCTTGTGGGGGGTCCATCCTTTAGTTACTCACACAGCTGGCTGAGCGCTGGAGGTTGCACATGGTCTAGTGATGACGTTGCAGCCCGTAAGTGAGCCCCCCTAGGGGTCTCTCCTGAACACCACTTGGAAGAGGGCTAACACATTTATTTATTTATTTATTTATTTATTTATTTTTGCTTTTGGGGCCACACCCAGCAATGCACAGGCTCTTCCTTCAGGAATGATTCCTGACGGTGCTCAGGGGACCCTATGGGATGCTGGGAATCAAACCCGGGTCGGCCGCATGCAAGGCAAACGCCCTACCCGCTGTGCTATCACTCCAGCCCAACACATTTATTTTTGAAATAAGCTGGTGAGCAGGAAGTTTATAGAAGGCAAAGAATAAATGCAAGTAAACATGAAAGAAGCTATGCACTCTTATAAAGAAACTGAGTAAAACTATTCTGAAATCCCACTATTCATCTATTAGGTTAGCCAAGGCTGGGGAGAGTTGGTAATACGCAGTGTGAAAGAAGATGTGGGGTAATAGGAGTTTTCTTATTGTTACTGCTTTAGAAACATCTCTCAGAGGCTGGAGCGGTAGTACAGTGGGTAGGTCACTGGCCTTGCAAGCAACCACCCCAGGCTACATCTCTGGCATTCATGTGGTCCCCCAGCCCGCCAGGAGTGATCCTGAGCGCAGAAACACTGATCAGAATGTAAAACACACATGTCACATTACCTGGCTATTTTAACTCTGCAGCACTTAACATGAACTAGAGAATATTCACCACTGCATTATTCATACAAGTAAGAAGTCAGAAGCACCTGGCGCTGTGCCAGTGGAGATCAGTAGCCTCCTGTCACCTGCGAAGACACCGGTCTTAGGACATAATGAAATAGCCCAGTGTGCAGTGACAGGAAAAGAAGACTGGCTACTTGGCACACTGTGTGTGTGTTCATCATGAATATGAGGGTTGGGAGGAGAGTCACAGTTCCAGGGTGAGATTCACCTCTCAGAAGCCTTTGGGCCTAGACCTGGGGGAGGAGACCCCTGGAGCTTGCCTCGCGTCTCAGCTGCTATTCTTGCAGAGGGGTGCTCAGGAGTCTAGGGCTCCTGCCGCTGAGACCCGGTGTCCCCTGGCCCACCTGGGAAGTGCAGCGCAGGGACCACCAGCCCACTCCCGGCAGTGCTGGAGTTCCCCAGGGCCACGTTGGTGCTGCTCCGGGCCCAGGAGGTACTGCAAATCGAACTCAGGTCCCAAGCCTTCAAGGACCGTACCCCAATCCCGGGCTCTCTGTCTCCCCAGCCCTAAGCTGTGACATTTAAAAATAATAGGCATGTAATAATTTCAGATTTTAAAATATCCATTATGGAATAGCTATTAAATACGTGAGGAATTATACACTTGGAGTGCAATAAACGGAACCAAAAGGCTTTGGCTTGGGGCCAGAGCAATCATAGCACAGCGGACTGGGCTTTTGCCTTGCACATGACAGCTGGGTGTGACCCCCAGCCAGAGCAGGGGTGAGCCCCACGCACGGCTGCTGGGTCCCCAAAACAACAAAAGTCTGGGCTTGGTTCCTGTTTAGATTATGAAATGATAAACATTAATTCTAGGTTTTTTTTTACTCGTGGAAGATTATGCATAAACAAATTATTTCTCTCTTAAAACTTGAAACATGGGGCTGGAACAATAGTACAGCGGGTAGGGCGTTTGCCTTGCACACGGCCGACCTGGGTTCGATTCCCAGCATCCCATATGGTCCCTCGAGCACTGCCAGGAGTGATTCCTGAGTGTAGAGCCAGAAGTAACCCCTGTGCATCGCTGAGTGTGACCCAAATAGCCAAAAAAAAAAAATACAACCTGAAACATATGTCACAAATAACATGGCTGAAAGAGTCATGTGCTATACTATATATGTGATTACCCATGTCTTTGTATGGTAATACCTATTTCAGCATCTATATCCTAGACATCTACCATTTTATAGTAGTCTTACATTGGTGAAGAAACAGGTGACTTTTCACATAAGTCTCAAATTTATTCCATTATACTTTATTAAAAATAATACTAAGTTTATCATGTATCATCATTAATTTTTAATTAATTGGACCAAGTGATAAAGAGTTTTGAATCTGTGAAAGAAATACTAAACTATCTTTTTTGAGGAACATCACATGTTTTCAGTATTTGTACCAAAATATTTACTTTGTTTTTATACAAGTCATCCTCTAATAAGTTCTACATTATACTTCTGCTTTCTTTAATTTTTTTGTTTCTGTTCAAATGTATAAGAACTGTAGGTTAAAATCACGATCATGATCACGACCATCCTGTTGTTCGTCGATTGCCTTGAGCAGGCCCCAGTAACGTTTCCTTCGTCCTAGCCCTGAGATTTTTTAAGAAGTGCCATATTAAAAGCTCTTCCAGGGTTAGGAGAATGAGACCCATCATTGTTACTGGTATTTGGCATATTGGGTAAGCCATGGGGAGTTTGCCAGACTCTGCCGTGAGGGCAGGTTACATTCGGTAGCCTGTCATTTTGTCCAAAGTAAGAATGAGATAATAAGGTATCACGCAGCCGTGAATGTGGCCGCATGCTTCTGGGAGCTGGGTTTTATAGTCTCTGGGACTTGGCCGTTGATGGGATTACACAGCGCCAGGGTCCAGTTGGTGGGTGTGGCCCTTGCCTACTGGAAGATGGAGGATCTGGGTGGAGGATGCTCAGCCCCGATCCAAGCAGGCTTGGAGATCTCAGCCCCGGAACCCGCATGCCTTTGTTCCTCTGCCGGTACCTTCCTTCGTGTGGAGAGTGGTCTCAGTATGATGGTGGCTGGTTCTGAAGGTCTTTGGCTGCCAGAGCCCTGGTTGGGGCGGGGAGGGAAACTCAACCCGTTCCCCTTCGAGGGGCCCCGGCTAGGACAGCCAGGCGTGGGGGCAGGAGACTCTGCACTGTTCTCTTCCGGGAGCTGGGTTTTATAGTCTCTGGGTCTTGGCTGTTGATGGGATTACAGGGTGCCAGGGGGCCAGTTGGTGGGTGTGACCCCTGCCTGCTGGAATTTGGAGGATCTGGGTGGAGGAGTAGGTTAAAAAACTAGCTATAAATGTATACTTTTTTTTACATCAAATTTTACCACAGGTTTCGTCTTGATATTTATCGCTGCTTGGCCAGTCCAGCCCTCATAATGCTGACCGAGGAGGACCCAATTCTCAGAGCCTTTGAACTTAGTGCTGATTTAAAAGAACTAAGCCTTGTGGAGGTGGAATTCAGGTGGGCATGAACGGAAATTGTGAATCATATCTTTTCCCCCAGTTTGTTTGGTGTGAGTATTTTTTATAGGTGAAATAACAATCTATATTAATCTCCATTTTTTTTGGTTCTTGTTTGATACCACACCTTGCAGCTGCCTGCTTGTGATTTTTCATCTCCCCAGATGCAAGAGTCTCTTAGATCACTTCCGTGCCGTCTGCTTCACTTTGTCCATCCTTGACTCCCGCCTTGGGTCAACACTGCCAAAGGCCTTGCTGGGCAGTGTGAAGTGGCCAGAGTGTCGGCCCTCAGCACAGGAACCAACGGGGGCCGTCCCCTGCCTCCCTCTGCCCGCCCAAACCCTGTCACTGTCCCTGCAGCCTGAGCCTTCAGTCCTGTCGTAGCATGAGGAAAGCTTCTGCACGCGAGGGCAGTGCCCACCTCAGACAGGACCTTTCCCTACTGGTTGAGGTGCGTGTTAGAAACGTACCTGTGCCAGTCCAAGCTTCTGCCATGGAGAGCGAAGTCTAGTTCCCAGTGAAGTTTGTACCCCCAGAAAGTCCCTGTTATTGTTTCATCTTTGAGTATTAGAGATTAAAGTTGTGGGGAAGAGCTTCCAACAAAACAACCCATTGAACTACTGCCCCAAATGCTTGTTAAAAAAAATCCCTAGAACGCGACATTGCGTAGACTTGAGGTAAAGCTGTCTGTCATGTTTGAAGGCCCCCAGTGCCCTCTGCGGAATGACTTGGCCCTGCAGGGGGCTTTCCAGGGGTGACACTCCCCACCCCCCCAGCCTTCCCTGCCTGCCAGCAGCTGTTGGAACCAGAGTCTTGTTTGACTCTCCTGTGTTCACTGCGCAAAGTGGGAAGTTTGACTCTAACTCACTAGAGGAACCGGAAGAACTTTGCAGTTCCCTTTAGCCCTTATACGTACAAGGTGGTCTCAGTGGCTGTGAGTTCTAGAAACTCAAAATAACAGAAACACAGACTACTGTTTCTAAGGGTTCTAGTTTGGAACTGCTGAGTTATAATTTATCTAAACTAAAATTTACTTAAACTCAACAAGATGTAAAGTGGGAAGGACAGTAGATGGTTTAGATGTAGTTTCTTGCTGCCTTTAATTAATTTTTTATATAGCACAGGACTTTGTTCATAAATTACTCTAAATATGAAGAATTTTCTATTATAGTCTCATAACTAAAAGTTCTGGTTACCATTTAAAATCCATTCAACTTCTCCCCAAAAGAATTTGAAACAGGCTCTTTTTTCTCTCTAGAGAAATCTGTTCTCTCTGAACATGTGCCCCTCTCCTTTTCTCTCTTCTCACATTTTTCTAAGTAAATTTCTGTAAATAAAACTACTTTACTTCACACTAGGAAAAAAGAAAGGATTGGAAACAACTGGTGTAGTGTAATGAATAATCATATTATAATAAAGTTAGATATTTTAAGTGATCATCCTAGAATAATTTACTTCAATGCCCCTGTTTTTACTAGACAAGGATAAAAGATTTAAGTAATTGGGTGATTCACTGTCATCAGCATCTCCTTAGGAACAGAGTCGACACTGAAAACAGGCTCAGAATCATCATGTGAGCAGATCCCCGAAATCCCAGCCAGTTTGCAACCCCTAGCCCACAGGCTAATGAGGTGCACAGGTGCAGAAGGCTCTTGAAACTATTGTCTCTCTACAGCTACTTTTTAATTTCCCAGTAGTCTAGTAAAAAACATTAGAGTATGAAATAAATTAAATTTACCTCTGAATCATGTATTTTGCCAGTGTTTTTCTATAAATTAATATATCTGTGTATTAATGTACGTTTGATGAATGAATGTTCTTATTTGCAATTAGATGCCTTGAATAAGAGGCAGTTGATAACTTGGTAAAGAACCCCAACAATCTATCCTTTAGGTCATTTTAATATTCAAGGTAAAGAATGGATAAGGAAAATGTCAGTTTCTAAATAAAAGAAGTTTCTAATTCTTTACCTTATGATTTTATGCAAGCCAGTTCCTGGAACTAGATTCCTAGTATATAAATAGATCACTGTTACTATTTTCCCTTCCTCTAGGAAAAAAAAAAGGTGGTTTCTGAAGTTCAACCCCAAATTTTCTAGTGTTATTCTTATTATATGCAGACGTAATTTGATGTAGTTGGTATTTTGTACAGGTGTTGGTCTTCGGCTTACACCTCGCAGTGCTCAGTGATGCTTCTGGGTTGGAGCAGCCCTGTGGGTGCTCGGGGACCCAGTGCTCTCAGGGATCAGACCCTGGCTTACCATGTGGAGCACAATCTCCAACCCTGTTGCCATCTCCCAGCCCAGCCATTGATATTTTTTTTAAAAACTTATCTATGAAAATATTTTAGTTGTGGGGCTGGAGTGATAGCACAGTGGGTGGGGCCTTGCACACAGCCGAGCCAGGTTCAATTCCCAGCATCTCCTATGGTCCCCCGAGCACTGCCAGGAGTCATTCCTGAGTGCATGAGTCAGGAGTAACCCCTGTGCATCACCGGGTGTTACCCAAAACAAAGGGGGAAAAAAAAAAAAGAAAGTATCTTAGTTGCTTGTTTAGGTCTCCCTGTACCATTGAATTTCAAGCAATACGGATTCAGAAAGAATTATTTACTAAGTACCAGCATAAGTATTGACTCTTACTAAGTCTCCAGTTAAAATTATTTAGTAGTATTCATGCAAAAGCATCAATATCACTTCTTTAAATTAGTTATACAATACAATAATATGCCCTGAAATTTTCTACCACACTCAGAATGTGAAATAATGACTTAACTGAAAAACTGGTTGACAAAATGTCGAGGACTTTGAAGCTAAGGACCTCTAAGGGAGCACTGTGTTCCGTCAGGCTGTCAGCCAGCACAGGACAGAACCGGTAACACTGTCCCCTGATGGTGAGAACCGAAGCACTGGACGATCCCTCAGAATCCCAGCCCATGCCAACTTCCGGTCTTAGGTAGCCCCCTTGGGACATTGCCTACTGGGAACTGCAGACTCGTTGGGAGGTAGGAGGAGTGACCTTTCTCATACCAGCTGGTGTGTTTTGCAGGAACGATTACGAGGAGCTAGCCCGGCAGTGTAAAATGTTTGCTAAAGATTTGCTTGCCCAAGCCCGGAATTCCCGTGAGCTGGAAGTGATCCTGAACCACACGTCGAGTGACGAGCCTCTGGACAAACGGGGACTGCTGGAGGAGAGAATGAATTTGAGTCGTTTGAAACTCGCCATCAAATATAACCAAAAGGAGGTATGTGATTTTCCGCGACAGATGGACGCTCAGAACCACAGAAGCCCAGGGTTCTGAGAACAGCTTTGGAGCAATGTATGACGTGAGATCCTAACCCTACTCAGAAAAACCCTCTGTCTTTGGGCAGGTGGTGGCCCCGCCCCTCACCCTTCCTCCACACCTGGGCCCCACCTGCCTGGGCTCAGGGCTTACTCCTAGCTCTGTGCTCATGGCTCACTCTCGGCGCTGTTCAATGGACCCAGATTCAAGGGGGAAGCTGCTTCCCCCTTGTGCTATCTCTCTGGCCAGTCACTGCTATTTGTAATAATTAATACCAATGACAGAATGACATGGACGTTCATTAATGTTTAGCTAAATGGTAGTTATACAGGTATGGTTTTCCATAGTAAATGCCATGCTCATTGCATTCTTGATTTTTGCCTGTCAAACATTTGATTTAATTATCTGGCTCTAAACTGTAGCTTTTCCTACCATAAGGGTAGTAGTGCCTTTCTGACTTTGTTTTTCCAGGCCACACCTGGCAGTGCTCAGGGCTTCCTCCTGGCTCTGTGCTCAGGGGTCACTCCTGGTGGGGTTTCAGGGAGCATGTGAGCTGTCTTCAGTGTATCCATCCTCAATGACAGGCTGCCACAATGCTTAATGACCTTAAGCAACATTTCATGGTCATTTTATGATAATTTCATAATGAGCATATTACACTCTTGGGTTTGAATCCTCTCTGGAATCGTACAATATTGCTATTAGACTGCCAGGCGTTTGCCTCTAAAATAGCTAAGAAACGCTGTATTTTGGATAAAGTAATTTCTGCACTTGAAAGAATTTTCCTCTTACTAACATTTTTCCTTTTCTCTAACAGTTCAGTTTTGAGCAGATTAATGTCTGTCTTTAATATATTGTGAAGAACTTTTCAGTGTCTTCTTAGGGCAAAAATGTATGTCTAATGTTTAGATTTTGACTGTTTTGTTACTTTGATGTCTTGGCTTATTGCAATTGAAATCAGTGGTTTTCTAAATTAAAGTCTGAATCGAATTCTTCACATTGTGCTTCTTAACTCTGAGGTTTTATAATGTGATTATAAAAGCACTTTATAATGTTATGATAAATCAGATGCTGAAAAATGGTTTAAGTAGGCTACTAGGAATGATTAACATTTCTGTGAACCAGTATAGAGAGAATTAAGTCCTTTAAAATTCTTGGAAATGGGAGCAGAGTGAGAGTTCAGCGGGTAGGGCGTTTGCCTTGCATGCAGCCAACCCAGGTTCGATCCCCGGCATCCCATCTGGTCCCCCAAGCACCACCAGGAGTAACTCCTGAGTGCAGAGCCAGGAGGAACCCCTGAGCATCGCTGACTGTGACCCAAAGAGAAAAAAAATCTTGGAAGTGTTTTACTTTTGTTAGACAGCTTTCGCTTTGGAGGACCTTACATTCCATCCTCAGAACAAGTTGGTGCACGAGCACTGCTGCTACTCCCGCTTTCCGTGGCAGTTGAGGTTGCAAGAGCTTAGAGACATCCTGACCCTCCGCCCTCTCTCACACACTGACCAGAAAGACTGTTGAACAGAGAGGTTCGCTTGTTTGCCACTGTTCAACTTCGTCGACCATCACCACTGGCACACCCGGTTTCATTTACCGCTCTGACGACCTCTCTTCTGTTGTGCGTCCTTTCCAGTTTGTCTCTCAGTCGAACTGCCAGCAGTTCCTGAACACGGTTTGGTTTGGACAGATGTCAGGGTACCGACGCAAGCCCACCTGTAAGAAGATTGTGACCGTTTTGGCAGTTGGCATCTTTTGGCCGGTCTTGTCGCTCTGTTACTTGATAGCCCCCAAGTCCCAGTTTGGCAGGATCATCCACACGCCATTCATGAAATTCATCATTCACGGGGCTTCCTACTTCACGTTCCTGCTGCTGCTCAACCTCTACTCCCTTGTCTACAACGAGGATAAGAAGAACACCATGGGGCCGGCCCTGGAGAGGATAGACTACTTGCTCATCCTGTGGCTCATCGGTGAGTGGTGCGATAGCGCCCAAGCTCCTACCCTTCTCTTACCCATTCATTTTCCCCTTGCTTTGTGGCTTTTCAAACATTTGTATTCATTTTGTTATATTTGCACTGCTTACACAAAACGAATTTGAACATTTCCAGGACCACTGAAGAATCGACGAAAATATTCATGAAACATTTCCGAGGGGCTGGGGGCATAGTACGGCAGGCGGGGGGTGGGGGTGCTTGTCTTGCACAGGGCCTACCTGGGTTCGAGCCCAGGCACCCCATATTTTCGAGTCCAGCAGGAGTGACCCCTGAGTGTGGCTGGGTGTGACCCGAAAAACAAAGTAAACAGATGTTTCTGAACTTGATAAGGAAACATATCTATTGCTTAATATTACTTTATTATATGAAAGCTTAAAACTCTTTATTCTGGCTAGAGAGATAGTGCAGCGGGCAAGGTGTTGCTCTTGCATGCAGCTGACCATTTGATCCTGGGCACTGTTATGGCCCCTGATCACCCCAGGGGTCACTGTGGAGCCCGGAGTCTAGCGTAGTCCCTGAGCACTGTGGGGTGAGCCTTGCCCCGCCCTCCCACACATACCCAAGTGCTTTGTTCTCGGTCTCTAAATTTTTATGATTGTTAAAATAGAGGGGAAAATTAATCAATATTTTTTGCATAATGGTATGAACTGTTTCTTATGTGTTTTGAAATGTAATACATTCATGTGGTTGCATTTTTTAAAAGTTAACTTTTTTTTGTTTGTTTGTTTTATCATAAGTCTTTTAAGAACCATGAAGTTCTGTAGCTCCATCCCACTTTCTATTCTGGATAATTTATTTAAATTTAGATGTCAGGATCCCTGGAAACTTCCTCTGTAAATCAGCCCCTCAGGTAGTTGGAGCCTTCAGAAATGGCTCCTTTAGGTGTTGGATCTGCGGTGTCTTGGCGTCAAGCACTGACCTTTCACGCTGAGCCTCTGGCTTCAGCCCCTCACACTACAAAGAAATAAAAGGAAAGAAAAAACATTTTTTCAGAGTCAGTTAAATACTCTTGAACTTTTTTTTTTTTTTTTTTTGATCATACCCAGCATTGCAGAGGGTTTACTCCTGGCTCTGCACTCAGGAATTATTCCTGGCTCAGGGGCCATGGGGATGCTGGGACTTGAACCTGGGTCAGCCACATGCAAAGCCAACACCCTCCCCACTGTGCTATCACTCCAGCCCCAAAACCTCTTGAGCTTTATGGGGCAGGAGCTATAGTACAGCGGCGAGGGCATTGGCTTTGCACACAGCTGACCTGGTTCGATTCCCAGCATCCCATATGGTTCCCCTAGCACTGCCAGGAGTGATTCCTGAGTGCCAAGCCAGAAGTGACCCCTGAGCATTGCCGGTGTGACCCAAAATGCAAAAAAAAAAACAACCCTTTTTTAAAAAAAAATTTTATTAGTGAAACACCATGAGGTACAGTTGTAGACTTACACATTTTTGTGCTTGGGTTTCAGTTATACAATGATCGAATACCCATCCCTCCACCAGTGCCCATTTCCCACCACCATGGGTCCCAGTATCCCTCCCACCCCCATCCCCCCCGTCCCACCCTGCCTCTGTGGCAGGGCATTCCCTTTTGTTCTCTCTCTCCTTTTGGGTGCTGTGGTTTGCAAAAATTCTCGAGCATTCAAGTGGCTTGGCTGCCTGGAGGCAGATACAGGGTTGTGTGGATTCGTAACCCGGCCTGTTCCTTCTCTCTCAGCAGTGTGGCCCTGCTCTCCCATGGCCTTCGGGGGCTACAGGCAGACCACAGACCTCCTTGTTTGGGGGCCACACTTGACAGTGCTTAGACCGAGCTCTGCACTTACAGGTCACTCCTGGTGCGCCTGGAGGACCCGGTGTGGTGTCAGGGATCAAACCCTTGTTGGCCACTGGACTTTCACTGCGGCCCCTCACAGTGGCCTTCATAGCCCCTGTCTTCCCCAGCAGAGGAGACCGTCAGCGTGAATCAAAATCCCTGAAGCAGGGTGCTGCCGACAGTACCACCTCTGCTTTGAAACAGTCAGGTCCAAATAAGTCTTGTGGCTTCTAGGCCCATCATGTGATTCGGCCTCTGCAGGCCCCGCCCTCCCGCATCACTGCTGCACTCACACTGTTCTGGGAAGAGCTGACCTGTAGCCACTCTCAAGGCCCTCTGGACACCGGGAACATCGGGGCAAACCAGACTCATGAAATAGGTCTCGCCGCTGAGACGGCTCTGGTGTCACTTCATGGGGCCTGGTGGCCGGCCTGCAGCGGGTCATCATTAGCCAGTGGGCACGGTTCAGCTCTCCAGATGCTTCAGATGAGAAGGAAACTTGGAGGCCGCCTGGTGTGGAGTCGTGCTTCATGGTTTGAAGCAGCAAGCTCGTGGCTTGCGTCTGCTCTCCAGTACCGTGTGTTTCTTCTCCATTTCCTGCCTTGATCCTCCAGGGAGGGAAAGGGGTGGCTTTGCTGATGACCACACAGACTGTTCCACTTAAGGGGTCATTTTACTTCATTTTTTTGCTCTTAGAAGCTGTTACAAAGATGTGGGTGAGAGCTGGAGCAACAGTACAACGGGCGTGGGGCTGGAGCGATAGCACAGCGGGGAGGGCATTTGCCTTTGACACGGCTGACCCAGGTTCGATTCCCAGCATCCCATATGGTCCCCCGAGCACCGCCAGGAGTAATTCCTGAGTGCAGAGCCAGGAGGAACCCCTGTGCATCACTGGGCGTGACCCAATGAGAGAGAAAGAGAAAATAAAAGTACAAGGGGCATTTGCCTTGCACGTAGCCAACCCAGGTTGATTCCCAGCACCCATGTAGTCCCCCGAGCACTGCCAGGAGTAATTCCTGAGTGGCAGAGCCAGGAGTAACCCTGGTGCATCGCTGGGTGTGACACCCCCCCCCCAAAAAAAAGTGCGGTTGTTTTTTGGTTTATTTATTTATTTTTTAAATGTTAGGTACCTACGCTGTCCAAGGATAGACTGAAACAAATGTAGACCCATATTCATGGAGCTTATAGTCCAATGAAGGCAGAAAACCCCCAGTAGTTTGAACATTATTCAGATAAATGAAAAATCAGAGACTTAATATGCAGCTAGTGGAGGTCATGGAATTAGAAGAACAAGACGGTTTGAATAGTATTTCACCTTTGCGGAGGCTGGCAAGGGTGTCTGAAGGGAGTGATGAGGGGTGATAGTCAACCAAAGCACTCGGGCAGAAGACTGCTCTGGGCTCTTATAAAAATGACGTTTAAGAGGCCCTGGGGCAAAGAGGGAGCCTGGCACAGAGAAGGAAGAGAGTGCCGAAGGGTGGGGCGAGGAGAGGCGTAGCAGGGCCTGTGAAGCTGTTCAAACCCAGGTCACCCGTGGCGCTGAAGAAACTGGTGACTCACATGCCAGGGTCACCAGTTTCACATCGGGCACGAGATGTTAATTCAAAAGGGTTAAGGATTCTGATGCTTGGAATCTTGGCGTTAGACCCAGACCCGTAGAGCACGTTGATGCAAAGCCTGACTTCAATGATTCAGCCCCACGGCGGGGGGGAGGAGGGGGGGAATCAAGAGTCAGATTAACTGGCGTTTCATCAGAGGAGCTCCTGCTCTGAGAGAAGCTATGGCTGAATAAAAAGACACCTCACTACCGAAGGAGAGAAAATTTGAAAATTCAGACATCTGACAAAAGAGCTCATATCCAAGCTAGATAAAGCCCTCAAGACTCAGTAACCCAACACAGACTCTGACACTAAAAATGGGGAGAAGCACAGACAGACACTTTCTCAAAAATAGGTTAAAGATACACACAAAAAAGCATGATCCCGGGTCATCAGGAAACTGCAAATCAGAATAAGAAAGCACCTCATGAGGGAGAATGGCTGTCAGAGAGTCGAGAAGCAGCAGTTGGTGTTGAGGAAAAGGGCCTGCTTCCACTTGGTGGAAAACTGCGTGGTGATTCTCCCAAAAATGGGAAAGAGAACTGCCATGTGGGTCCAGCCATTCCTCTGGGCTTTCCTTCATTGGAAGGATTAATACTATTTTATTATCACAGTCTGAATGATAGCACAGCAGTAGGGCGTTTGCCTTGCGCGCAGCCAGCCTGGTCGAGCCGGGTTCAATTCCTCCGCCCCTCTCAGAGAGCCCGGGAAGCTACGGAGAGTATCTCACCCGCACAGCAAAGCCTCGAAAGCTCCCCGTGGCGTATTCGATATGCCAAACGCAGTAGCAACAAGTCTCACAATGGAGATGTTACTGGGCCCGCTCGAGCAAATCAATGAACAATGGGAAGACAGTGCGATTAGCACAGTCATTCCACTGTCCTTTCTTGCATCGGAAGGATTAATATTATCAGCATTGACAGTTCTTTCCCCAGCAGTATGGAGATTCAGAATATGCCGTTCCTATAAAAACGCCCATGACAGTTAGCTAATGCTGCTTAATTTATGTAGGGTAGTTTAAAAAGAAGAACAAGCTCAAAGAGCCAAAGCAATGCTAGGAAAAAATTACATGTGAGGCTGTTCTTTTCCCAACTTGAAGCTATCAAATAAAGCCACAGGAGTCAGGACCTTGTGACCCAGAATGAGACTCTCAGGCCAGTGGGATGGAGCTGAGGGCCCGAGACAGGTCCTGGGGCTGTGGTCACGAAAACTGACCAAGTGGCGAGAGCAGCGAGAGGGCCAGGAGGGCCAGTTATGTTGGTTTCCAGCGGAGGCGCAGCCAAGTCAAACTTTTTTGTTTCGCTGTCAGTTCTGAAATATGTTTGAAAAATACTTTCTGCATTAAAGATGGGCATCGTACGATTAAGCTGTTACAAAACCTGCCAAGGATCTGAGCCCGTGTTTCTCAGCCGACAGAGCCCCGCCCGGGGGCCCCTTCGCCCCACCTGGTGCAGTTTCCCAGGCTTCTTCTTGAGCCTCTATGCAGGGCACTGCTGACCCCCGAGGTTTTCTCAGTGCCATGTGTTTCCAAGGAAACCAGCCCCTTTAATAGACTCCGACAAGCGGTTTTGTTCCTGCAGGCAGAGTTCTGACCTGCACTTAATCGTTGCTCCTTTGGGGACAATGACGGGATTTTGAGAGGGAAAGTATCGCTTGCATTTTGGCAGTACTGAGTTGCTTTGCTGAAGGCAGGGTTTCAGGGGCGCAGGAGGCAGGAATGGGCTGATGACAGTGATGGTGACTGGGAGAGGTGGTGAGGAGTCAACGCTGGCTCTGGTTTGAACGTGCTCAGCCCAGTTCCCTCTTGCCTTGACTGGACCCTTTAGAGGGGATGGGAGTCAAGGACAGTTCGAGGACATTTGCACTGGATGAATCTCAGGATGGAGGGACCGCCACTGAGTGCAGTGAGGGTGGGGGCAGGTCAGAGCTAGGCTGGCCCGGGTATGGGTGTCCGAGTGGCCCGTGGAGCAGCCCAGCACCGTCCGTCCGGGCAGGGGAGCCTCTAGGAGGGGATGGGCCGTGGGGTAGTTTGGACTGGGCTCAGGAGAGCACTGACAGGAGTGCATGCGGAGGAGATGGTGGGGAAGGGAGAAAGCTTAGCAGCCGCTTGGCTTTTTAATCCTTATTTAACGTCACTTACTAAAACACCTGTCTGACAAAGAGACATGAGAGCTTAAGGTTATTTTGTTTTGAATTTTGAGAACTTCTTGGGTTCTTCTGACTGAGACTAGATTGGGCCAAGTGTTTGTTTAATACTTAAATGTGGATTTTTTTTTAGTTTATTATATTAATGGGGTGTTCCTTGATGCTCTCTCTCTCCCCCTCCCTTCCTCCCTCCCTCCCTCCCTCCCTCCCTCCCTCCCTCCCTCTCTCCTCTCTCTTTCTCTCTCTCTCCTCTCTCTTTCTCTCTCTCTCTCTCTGTAACCTAGGGATGATTTGGTCAGACATTAAAAGACTCTGGTATGAAGGATTGGAAGACTTTCTAGAAGAATCTCGTAACCAACTCAGTTTTGTCATGAATTCACTGTACCTGGCAACTTTCGCCCTCAAAGTGGTGGCCCACAACAAGGTGACTGTTGGCGTCAGGTGGGGGCACAAGTGGAGCTGACCTGGGGGTACGGAGCCGTTTTGCTGCTTACCTCAGGCTACGGTGCCTGGTTCGATCACTTCCTCCCGGCTGTGCAGGGCCCTCGGCCCTCTGAGGGTTGTGAGCGTTTCGTGTAGGCCTGGCACCAGGCTTGGCCCGCGCCCCACCGTGTATCACCTTCTCCTCACAGGACTCTGAGATGGAGCTCCTTCTCCCAGCGAAACAAAGCGGGGAATGGAGCTCAGAGAGGCCAAGTAACTTGTCTGAGACTGCACAGTGTCAAATCAAGGCTAGACTTAAATCCGGGTCTGTGCAGGTATTTTCCTTTCTATCCAGTGCAGACTTCTTATATCTGAGCTACATTAATTCGCCTCATATGTACATACATAAATATATGTACGTATGTATTTAAACTGAGACTTGTGTTAGATATCTTCATAACTGAACGAAAAGTAAAATAAATGGAATTCATTATATAGTGTCTTATACAGTCCAGATCCTTGTAATTATCTTTTGAGGAGTATACAAAGTAATATAAATGTAATTCTTATCAAATGCCTATATATATGTAGAATTTCAACGTAGCCTTTTCAACAGCTTATAAATGTACTTTTGTCATGATTTAAGCTCCACGCCTCCCCCCAAGCCCAGGAAAAGGTTTTAATTATCTTTGCTTAAATCCTGAGTTTAGAATTTTTCAGGAACTAAGAAACAAAATATTTTCTGTTTCTCACAGTTTTATAGATTATAGTAAAAGAAAGCTGGTGGTCTTACACATTCCATTCTAAAATCAAAATAAACAAAAACTAACTATATTTCTTAATTGATCAGTGGTATGGAATGTGTTTAATATGTTCACTGACCAGAATTGTGAAATTCCTAGGAAAATCCAAATTGGTCCTATTCCGATAAATGATTGAAGGGGCTCAGAGATAGTGTAGACAGTATAGGGATGGGCTGGAGCGATAGTCCAGTGGGTAGGGTGTTTGCCTTGCATGGGGCTGACCTGGGTTCGATCCCCGGAATGCCATGTGGTGCCCCAAGCACTGCCAGGAGTAATTCCTGAGTGCAGAGCCAGGAGTCACCCCTGAGCATCTCTGGGTGTGACCCAAAAAGCAGGAAAACAAAGATAGTGTAGAGGTGAGGCACCCAATCCTGACTGCCTCCTATGGCCCCCGGGCTCTGAGCTCAAAAGAAATGGGTTGATAAGAGACTGTGGAACATGGATTGTCTGGGTGCTGGTTGTTTCAGGAAGGGAGTTGGCACCACACCTGGTGCTGCTCAGGGCTTGCTCCAGGCTCTGTGCTCAGGGGACCATACGAGGCTGGGCTGGACCTGGTAGCCTGTGTGCGAGCCCCCTGTCCACATTGCCTTGGCTCCAGGCCCAACACTGGCTTTAGAAAACTAGTCTCTCCAGTCCTAGAAGTAAGGCCCCTACAAAATTATAATTTGTGACAAAAACAAGGACATATTCTGAGAGGGAAAGGGGGAGCTATTAATAATCATGCCAGAGTGCAAGGGCTAGAGCGATAGTACAGTGGTTAAGGGTGTTTGCCTTGCACACGGCTGACCCAGGTTCGGTCCCCGGCATCCCATACGGCCCCCCAAGCACCACCAGGAGTCATTCCTGAGCGCGGAGCCAGGAGTAACCCCTGAGCAACACTGGGTGTGATCCAAAAAGCAAAAATATTAATAATTTTTAAAAATCACGCCAGAACAACTGGTACATAACCTGGGACTGTTTCAAGCATTTGGGACATGTTTAAGCACAAGACTCTATGTCTGGGTAGACTGATATGTCCTTTTTTCCCCTATAAGAGAAAGAATATCTATAGTTCATTATAGAGTCTTGAGTTCAAGGATGAAGCTTACTGAAGACAGTAGCCAATTAATGAAGAGCACACATCTGGAAGGCGTGTGTCACGCAATATCAGAAGCACGTGTCAGTATCTCGTGAATGAAAAGTTTCCTGCCAGTTAAAAATATTTTGGACATTTTAGAACCTCAGGATTCTCGGAAACCTCTGAGTAGAAAGCAAGAGAGGCTCGTGGAGACGCTTCCTCAGCTGCTCCCTGTTGTCTGTTAGAAGCAAGTTCTCAGCAGCGCGGCTATAGTCGTGCCCTGCCCGCAGACGTCGCTAACTAGGCTTCTGTTCCCAGACCTCAGAACGTTTGTTTCTGTTTTCTTGCGCGGTGCCAGCTCTCCATGACCTCTGCCTCTTTCTCCCCGCCCTTAGTTCCACGACTTCGCTGACCGGAAGGACTGGGACGCGTTCCACCCCACCCTGGTGGCCGAGGGACTGTTTGCCTTTGCCAACGTCCTGAGCTACCTCCGGCTCTTTTTCATGTACACGACAAGTTCGATCTTGGGGCCATTACAGGTAAATTGTTCACGTTCCCTAAAGAAGATGGCTAGATTATCAGAGCATCATTTGTCCAGAGAACTATCATCCTGTGTGATGCCAGGGCTTCGCTTTGCTGCTGAGAACAGTCCTGGTTAAAGGAACGTCACATGCTGTTCATCTGCTTTGCTTTGCACTCAGTGGGAGCCCTTGGTTTTGGGGTCATCTGCTGCGGCTTATCGCCTGCCCTTCCTCCAAAATCACACACACACACACACACACACACACACACACACACGCACACGCACACATGCACACACACACACACACACACACGTTCCCAGTGTGGACATAGCTGTATGTAAAATACAGGATGCCTCCTTTGGTAACAGGAATATGGAACCCTGCTTTTTCACCTCAGTGAGTGTCTCATTTAAAGTCAGTGTATAAGGGAAGTCTTGTGTAAGCAGGAATAATATTTTACAATGATTTTGAACATATATAAGCTGTGTTTTTTTATTTTTCACTCAGCTTCATGAGTATTTATATTGAGTTCATCATCTTTATAAATTGTTGATAATTCCATGTTGTTTGTGTGTATACTTTTCAGCACTTTATACTTGAAGAAATCAGATATTGGAGATAGTATGTAATTTTCCAAGTGCTATGACCTTGCTATGACTTAAGAATCCTGGTTGAAGTTCTAAGTCTCTTCACACAAGAGAAAGGGCTCATGTCCGGTCGGATTTATCCCATAGATTTTAGTCATATAGCATAGTGGTAGGGTATTTGCCTTGCATGTGGCCGACCTGGCCGACCTGGGTTCGATTCCTCCGCCCCTCTCAGAGAGCCCGGCAAGCTACTGAGAGTATCTTGCCTGCATGGCAAAGTCTGGCAAAGCTACCTGTGACATATTCAAAATGCCAAACACAGTAACAGCAGGTCTCACAATGGAGACGTTACTGGGCCCGCTTGAGCAAATCTAGTTTTACAAGGTGGGACTAGGTGACTAGCTGTACGTACTCCAAATTATTTGTAGGTCTGAAAATCTGAGCAATATTTGTTTTCCCTCAATAAAGCAAAAATCATTAACAACTTGGGTTCTCTTTTATATTCCTTAAGGATACATTTTTAATAATAGGACATAACCTTAACTCCAAACAGGGATATGAGATACAAATTTGTAGGGAAACACCGATTTGGTTTCGTTATGTGCGTTCACCCTGCCCCCAAGTTCCCTGCAGCGTGACCCACCCCCTACCCTGAGTCCTGTGAGAAGCTCGGACAGAAATGCATCTGGGGAGCACTGTGCACTGTGTTCCTCTCAGTGCATGTTATCACAGTAATCCCTCCAAGGAAGAAGCAAAGAATCTTTTTCTAAATTTATTTACAGACATGTTCTTCTTTTGTGAAATATGCTTAGGTCTGTTTTCTTTAAAACACAGTACAAGAAACTTAACTTCTACTAAAATATAGCATCAATACCTTCTATGAATATTTTATATGCTCTTTTGTTATTTTATGAGGGATTTATTTATTTTTCTATTAAACTGCTGTCATTTGGTTTTCCTACTAGTGATTTATGAATTTCCACAGAGTTAAAAAGGAGAATCACTTAATCACTTAACTTCCCGTTAGTCGTCGATTTGCTCGAGCGGGCGCCAGTAACGTCTCCATTTGTCCCTGTCGCGTGCTAGTGTAGCCCAATGGCATCTCTTCGCTCCGGGAACATGGAGGGCCTCAAACCGATCGTTCATGACCTTGACAAAGAAGTCTGACCATCTGGTAGGTGGGCGGCCACGCGGTCTCTTGACATCCCGTGGAATCCAATCAGTAACAGCTCTAGTCCAACGGTCGTCTTTAAATCTCATTACGTGACCAGCCCATCTGATTTTCGACACCTTGGCAAATGAGACAGCGTCCCTGATCCTTGATCGTCGACGGATGTCAGAACTCCGGATTCGTTCTCTCATTTGAGTGAAACGTGATATTCCAAGCATAGCTCTTTCTATTCTTCTTTGGGAGACCTGAATGGCGTTCTCATCTTGTTTGCGTAGGGCCCAGGTCTCTGAGGCATATGTTAATGCAGGAAGAACAGTGGAATCAAAGAGATGTGCCCGGAGCCGGAGGTTCTTCGTCCTCTTAGCTATTTCTTCGACGTTCTTGAAGGCGTTCCAAGCCGCTCTCTTCCTCCTGCGCAGCTCGGGTGCCAGGTCATTTCTCATGTTGACCTCTCGACCTAGGTACACATAGCTGTTGCATTTGGAGATGGTCGTTCCATTGAGAGCGAATGGGGCGTCAGGAACAAGGCTGTTTCTCATAAACATTGTCTTCGTAAGATTCAGCTGTAGTCCTACCTTTCCACACTCACGGTCAAAGTCGGCCAGCATTTGTGCCGCTTGGCTGATGTTTGGTGTTATTAAAACGATGTCATCAGCAAAGCGGAGGTGGTGTAGTTGCCAACCATCTATCTTCACTCCCATTCCTTCCCATTCCAGTCGTCGCATGATGTTCTCGAGGGTGGCACTGAAGAGTTTTGGTGAAATGGTATCACCCTGCCGCACCCCTCTCTTGACATCAACGATCACTTCTTTGTAGAATGGTGAGATCCTGGTAGTGAATCCGCAATACAGCTCACGGAGGATCCTGATGTATTGGGCTTGAATGCCCTGATTGGCTAGGGCTTCAATGACCGCTTCCGTCTCAACAGAATCAAAGGCCTTCTTTAAATCAATGAACGTTAAGCAGAGCGGCATCTTGAACTCCCGAGAAACCTCAATGAGTTTGGTTATCGTGTGGATATGGTCGATGGTGCTGAATCCTTTGCGGAACCCTGCTTGCTCACATGGTTGTCCTTCATCTAGTGTTCTGCCAATCCTATTCAGGATGACTCGAGTGAACAACTTGTAGATGACAGACAATAGGCAGATCGGGCGATAGTTGCCAATGTCATGGATGTCTCCCTTCTTGAACAGTAGTACGGTCCTGCTGCAAGGTCCTTCTACAAGATCATTGTGGGTGATTTTAATGCCAAGATAGGACCGAGAAGATCAGCTGAAGAACTTCACATCGGAACCCATGGCCTAGAATGGAACGAACAGGGTGAGAGACTGTCTGAGTTCATCATGTCGACCAAGACCATTCATGGTAACTCACAGTTCCAGAAGGCAGAATCTAAACGATGGACATGGGAGTCTCCCGGTGGACGATTCCACAACGAAATAGACCACATCATATTCAATCGACGGTTTTGCCTGACTGATGTCGCTGTTGTCCCAAAATTTCGAACGGGATCGGACCACCGTCTCCTTCGTGCAAAATTCTACTTCACAGACCGGGGAGAAAGGGCTGCAAAGTTCAAAAAGAGAACTCCCAGAACGACCACCAACTGGGAACTCTTTGGTACTATTGCGGCAACATGGGAAGATGCCATTGTTGACAACATTGACGAGGAATACGATCGACTGGTTCAGCACCTCCATGAATGTGCGAGGAACGCCAAGAGAGAGATAGCCACAAAAAGTCGCCTATCTTCGAAAACTCTTGAGCTAATTCGCCAGCGTGGTTTGGCGCATGCCTCAGGCAACCGCAAGCTAACGTCCGAGCTTGCAAAGCAGTGCAGAGATGCGATCAAGGAAGACCTCAAAGAGAGAAGAGCAGAAGTACTGGTAGATGCGGCAGAAGCCGGGAAAAGTATTCGTAACGCCCGCCTGTCCTTCGCCAACTATAAGACCAAGATGACTGCCCTCCGACGTCCTGATGGATCCATCACATCCTCCAGAACGGCAATGGAGAAGATTATCCATGACTTCTACTCAAATCTCTTCGATAGCCATGTCCACTTGCCGACATACCAAATTCCACAGGATGGGTATGTCGTTCCCAACGTTCTCCCTTCCGAAATCCGACACGCCATTTCGTCAGTAAAGAAGCAAACAGCACCCGGCCCAGACAAGGTCAGACCTGAACACCTGAAGAACCTGCCGTCAGTACTCATCAATACACTGGCTCGGCTCTTCACTCGCTACCTGTCTGAATGCAAGGTTCCATCTCAATGGAAAAAGGAGAATATAGAATATTATTCTGGAATGAAGCTTATTTCGAATCCCCATTTCCAACCAACCTGAAGTTACAGGGTTTGGATTTACCGCTCCTGTCTGGAACGGCCACGAGGGGGGCGGGGGGAAATCTAGTTTCTATGAAACTCAGTACTGGGCAGTAAGAAATAGTGATCTTTAAGAAATAAAGATTGCCACGACTTCCTGCTATGTGAGGAATGTTAGATTGCAGTGAGAATCAAGTCTGTCTCAGAGGCTCTAGAGTTCTGCCAGATCTCTGAGAGTCTCACGAGACGAGACCGTACACTCGAGTGGCAAGAAGGGTCGCCCAGCACAGCAGCATTTCCCAGCCAGGGCCGGCTAGTCCGGAGTCCCAGGTGACGATCATGCGAGAGAGTGCACACAGCACTGAGGACCAGTGCATGGCACAGGGCCAAGGGAAGGAGGCACTGGAAAATCTATCCCTAGACCCCCACTCCCACAACTAATTAAATCAATGGGTTTAATTCTTGTGGATTCTCTAAGGAGCATTTCCTGTCCCCCCCATTTTTATTGATTCACTGTGAGCCACAGTAGCAAAGCTTTCATGTTTGAACTTCGATCGTGCAATCATCAAACACCCATCCCTTCACTAGTGCATGTTTTTCATCACCAAAACCCCCAGTATCCCCCTTCCCCCCATTCCACACCTCCCCCTGCCTATGTGGCAGACAATTTGCACAATACGCCCTTTGTCTACTTTGGTTACCTTCGATATTTCGAGCCCAGTCCCACCACCGCTCATACCTGCCGAAAAGGCAATATGTTTTGTATTGCTTGTTATGTATACAATATAGTGTTGCATGGCCGCAAGGGCGGCCACAGGCCCTAGGAATTCTGAAATTTTAATATTTTGGGTCTGGAGAGATCGCTGCAGCAAGTTGCTCGGGTCTGAGATTTGTTTGTGTGCCACAGGATCGTGGCCATGTGGGAGCTTAAGTAGACAGTGGCCGTATGTGGGGGTCATCTCAGAGTCCCATCGGGGTAGGGAGAAGAAGGACCCACTCCTTTCCTGTCCCATGAGGCCTGGCGTTTGCCGCCACCACCACCCCGTACCTGGAGCTTTTGGCTGAGTCCTAAAAGATGGCAGCCACCAGGATTCCTAGGGGGCAGGTGGAGGGATGGCACCTGCCCTCTTCTGGAGTGGCCCGGTGAAAGTGGCCTATTGCAAAGTCCAGACCCACCTCTGCAGCAAATTGCTCGGGTCCGAGATTCATTTGTGTGTTCGCGTTTTCTTTTGCTTGTCTTGATTGTGCAGTGACTTGAAATGTAGCTTGTATGAAATGTCAAGTTATTTTCTACTGCATTCAAAATCCCTTGGAAAGGGCCAGGGGTGTCGTTGGATGGGAGGGAGCTTGCAGAAGAGCTGGGGCAGGAGGAAGGCAGGCAGGCAGGGAAGGCTCTTGAAGACGGGGACTGTGTCTTCATGTTCACATTTTTCCTTGACTCAGTGCCTTACCAGAGTTGTGAATGACTGTGTGTTGAATGGATGTTGAGTTGAAAACCTGGTCAGAATGGGTTTGGCCAGAGACCAAGGCTGGTTGGTGTGAGGAAAGGGGGGGACGGGGCGGGGGGAATGCTGATGGAAGAATGGAGGGGCTGCTTATTTAAAGTAGTAATAGCCATGGAGTTCATGCCCAGTTCAGTCAGCTGAAACAATGACTGAATAAATAACAGTGCTCCTACATTAAAATAAAAGAATGTAAAAAATAAACAAAAAAATGAAGAAAATAAAAAGACAAAAATAAAAATAAACAAAAGGGGCCGGAGTGATAGCACAGCGGGTAGGGCATTTGCCTTGCATGCGGCCGACCCGGGTTGGATTCCCAGCATCCCATATGGTCTCCCGAGCACCGCCAGGAGTGATTCCTGAGTGCAGAGCCAGGAGTTACCCCTGAGCATCGCTGGGTGTGACCCAAAAATAAAAAAATAAAATAAAATAAAAATACACAAAAAGAAAAAAAGTAGTAATACCCACGAGCCATTACTGAATGTTTTGTGGGGTCCAGCCCTGTGCTAAGTGTTCTCCACTGCAACCCATCTTGCATTTTATTACCCTTGATCAATGAGATTTGTATTGGAAGTCCACAATTTAGAGAAGCCACATGCTTCACAGGCTCGTAAGTAGGAGGGTCCAGAGCTGAGGTGGAGCCTCCCTGCCCTGTGTCTCTGAGGGGCCCATCGCCCTCCTCAGCAGGGTCGGGAATAGCACGTGTGTTTGTGATAGAAGAAATGAAGGAGCTCCTGGAAAGGCGATGGTGGCTGGACGCTAGCTCAGCATCCGTCGAATTCCATGGGTGCCAGATTCTGTTCTGAGAAGGTTCTTTGCATCTCTGACCTCCCTGAGCCTCCCGATGGGGGAAGCGGTGCACTGTGTGTGTGTGTGTGTGTGTGTGTGTGTGTGTGTGTGTGTGTGTGTGTGGGAGAGAGCGAGGGAAACAGGCCTCAGGAGCCAGCGGCTGGTCAGCGGGGTTAGGGCCCCTCGGGCTGGTGCCTCGAGCCCCCCGTGAGCCATGATGCCCTTGTCCACTCGGACTGGATGAGACAGCTGCCGGCACTCTTGAGTGTTTTACGGATATTAGCAATGCTGCCTGGTGTGTCCAAGCCTTTCTGATGTTGGAGTGGCCGTCAGCAGTGACGCGGGCCTGAACGGGGAGAGAGGAAGTCACCGGCACGAGTCCTGCCCATCGCCACTGCCCGTTGCTCTCTACAGGTCTTTCTCCTGACTGTTGTGCGGGGGGTAGGGGGTCGCGTCTGCGGGAGCCTGCAGACCACCGGGCACCCGACGGCTCACACCCAGTTATTTCCTCGGGGCCTGCGGGGCCTGGCGCAGCCTCAGGGCAGCTCTCAGCGGGCCACCTGTGTCTCTGAGCAGCACTGGTCTGACTGAGTCAGCGGGCAGTGATCAAGCTGGACTCTGCGCTTCAGGGTGTGCCAGGGACCATGCCTGCTTTCTTTGCCTTGCCCTGCAGCGTTGGGGGAGCTGGGGGCAGTGCTGGGGGCCGCCCGCTGCCCCCAGACACGTCCCAGGCTGGTTCTCTTCATAGCAGCTCCTGGTGTGCGAGCACGGAGGGACGCACCGCCCTGTGGTCTGGGGGTCCCGACCCGGAGCTGCCAGGCTGCCTGGGGAGAACCTGCCCCCCGTTCTTGAGTCCCGGCCCTGCTTGAAGAGCAGTGGTTGGTGGGTGGTGGGCCAGCCGCCCTCATCATAGGCCGGGAAACGGTCACCATCTCGCAGCTTCCCCAGAGGAAGACTAGCATGTTTGCAGTTACTCATGTTCATTCAACGACTGTTTGAATTAGACTGTGAGAATTAAATCTGTCTTCTCTGTAAGGGTCCCCCCCCTTAGGGGAGAGGGACTTTACAAAAACAACCTTTGCGAACTTATCATGGGTCTGCAGTACTGTAAAACGTGAGGAGTTCCACTCCACACTCTGCTGTGTCAGCCTCCCCACACCTGCCAGTGATCCTCGTATCCAGCTGACCACTGACGCTCCTCCTCTTCCCTCCCTCCCTCCTCCTTCCCTTGCTAACTGCCACTTGCGCAGAATTTTGGGGGCCCCTGTTCTTGCGCTTTATCCCCCCCCTTTCATGAGTAATTGCAGTTACCGTCTGGTACTCGTATCTGCTTCCTGCCTGATGTCACTCGGCATGATCACTTCCTGTACCCCTCCCCTCCCCTGCCCCCCGGAACAGTGTCATCCTTTTCAGGGTCAGACTGTGCCCTTGACCCCCTGGCCAGGGGATGCTCTGTCGCCCGTGCCTGGGCGTGTGGGTGACCTGCTCTGGGGCAGACGCTGCTGCTGTGAGTGTCGGGTCCAGCCCCCCAGCAGGTGTCTCAGAGCCTCCGGAGGCACCTGGAGGGGCACCGGCGAGGGTTTCCAGATGCTTCTAGGCTTTTCCTTGAATCCCTGTCTCTGCTTCCACTTGACTCCAGAGCCACCGCCTCCGATGCCTGCCGGGGCTCGGGGAAGTCGGTGTGGCATCATTGCAGCGGCTGGAGGCCGCGTATCTAACTCTGAGGGTCCTGACCCGTCCCAGCCAGCTGGACCCCACGGAGCGCCAGCAGACCTGTGCTGTCTCTAATGGATGCATGCCCGCGGCCTTTGATGAACGTTCCTCTGTCCCTCAGATCTCCATGGGGCAGATGTTACAGGACTTTGGGAAGTTTCTTGGGATGTTCCTCCTGGTTTTGTTCTCCTTCACCATCGGCCTGACGCAGCTGTACGACAAAGGCTACACCCCCAAGGAGCAGAAGGACTGCGTGGGCATCTTCTGTGAGCAGCAGAGCAACGACACCTTCCACTCGTGAGTGTCCCCATGTCTGCCCCCTGCTCCCCCCACCCCATCACCACGTGTCCGCATGGAGCCTCCGACCTGGAGAATTTTTTTTTAACGTCTACAAGCACAAATATCTTTTTGGTCAATCACGGAGTCACCTTACATGGGAGATCATGAGGGAATGGCCATGTCCCCATGTCCACTGCAGGCACCTCCCCAGGCCTCCAGACACCGTGTGCTGCTCGGAGTTCAGACGGGACCTGTGTCTGTTGGTCCAGTATGCTGCACTCAGCCCTGAGACTCACTAGAGCTTATGAAAAAAGTCAGTTTTTTTTCCTAGTTTACTGTATCATAAGTAATTGAATCGAATTATAAGGAACAGCCAGTTTTCATACAGACAGAATCTTCCCTTATTCCTAAAATAGTGGAGAGGAGGTATGGAATTAATCATTTGTTGTATTATTATGTATCAGTTTCTCTTTGGTTGGGTACATGTCATCTTTTTTTTAAAATTTTTATTAGTGAAACACCATGAGGTACAGTTATAGACTTACAAATTTTTGTGCTTGGGTTTCAGTTATACAATGATCGAGTACCCATCCCTCCACCAGTGCCCATTTCCCACCACCACGGATCTCAGTATCCCTCCCACCCCCCATCCCCCCCTCCCACCCTGCCTCTGTGGCAGGGCATTCCCTTTTGTTCTCTCTCTCCTTTTGGGTGTTGTGGTTTGCAAAAGAGGCAATGGGTGACAATCAGGTTTGGTCTATGGTCTACTTTCAGCATGCTTCTCCCATCCTGGGAGGATCCTCCCAACACCCTTTACTTGGTGCTCCTTTCTGTATCTGGGGGACATGACATCTTAATTCAGGAATAAGATCTAGTGGGAGTAAACACTCCTCTAACACCCATGGGCGATGGTTCTAAATGCTGAGTGAAGGGAATCCCAGTGGGCTACCCCCGTGGGCGCAGTCTGTAGGCAGTACGCAGAGGGTTAAAGTTCGATGTCTATTCAAGAGTGACTCAGGGCGACAGCTTGGCCAGGGGGATGCATATGAAAGAGTGGGCAGTGAGGGAAGGCCCCACAGTAGATGGGACGAGATGACAAGGGACGTGGCCATGCCGGAGGGTTCAGAGGAAAAGCCTCTGCAGGGAGAGGGGGTGGGGCGCAGAAGCAGAGGCCAGCGGGCATGGACGGTGATGCGGCTAGCACCTGCGGCCCAGGCACCCTGGGAAGAACTTTGGGTCACTCTGACCCATTTGACGTTTTCGGCAGTGGGAGTGGGAATGAGCAGTGTCCCGAGGCAGGGAGGGGCTGTGGGGATTAGCAGTGTCCTGAGTCACGTCCCCTCAGCCCGCGTGGTGGCAGCGGTGTGGGTGAGTCCTCTGTCAGCCGCGACTCAACCCCCACCTGGTGGCGACTGCCTTGCAGGTTCATCGGGACGTGCTTCGCGCTGTTCTGGTACATCTTCTCCCTGGCGCACGTGGCCATCTTCGTGACACGCTTCAGCTACGGGGAGGAGCTGCAGTCCTTCGTGGGCGCGGTCATCGTGGGTACCTACAACGTGGTGGTGGTCATCGTGCTCACCAAGCTGCTGGTGGCCATGCTGCACAAGAGTTTCCAGCTCATTGCGGTGAGCGTGCCCGCCAAGGCCTAGCAGCGGGAAGGGGCCCGGGAAGGGTCAGACGCAGAATGTGGGTTCTGGGGGTGGCCCGGGCGTGACCCACGGTGACTCGTGTGGTCCCACAGTCCCCAAGTGCTGCTGGGTAGAGCACAGACACCAAACAAATGTTTTAAAAATTTTAAAATTAAATAAAAAATTAAGTACCGATTTTCTGAAAGTGCAAGAAGCATATGTTAACTACAGATGTGGAACCAAATATCTACCCCAGGATAGGAAAAGATTTGTTTATTTTTCTGTGGGGGTTTGTAGTGAAGGAAACTTGTTTTTTGAATATGTTTTGAAGTGAGGCAACATAGTTACAGTAGGGTTTCCATTATCTTGATGTACAGACTACACTTTGCTACCAACAGTCAGCAGTTTCCTCTCTCCTTCTCCCTGTCTCTCTGTCCCTCCCTCTCTCTCTAGCCCCTCTCTCTCCCTCTCCCTCTCTCTCTCTCTTTCTCTCTTTATCTCCCCTACACCTTTTGGTTTGGGGGCCACACCCAGAAGAGCTCAGGGGTCACTCCTGGCCAGGTTTGGGGGACTATAGAGTCCTGGGGGTTGACCTGGCTGGCCCTGTGCCAGGCAAGTGACTCACACGCCCGACTCTCTCTCCAGTCCCCCAGTTTCTTAAGTGAAAGTTCAGCTTCCCTCCCCAGGCTCTGAGGGACGTTGGGGTTTTTTGGTTCTTGTTCTTGTTGAACTTTTCATGCTGTCTCTCTCTCCGACTTCAGTATCGGCCTGTATCTGATAGGTGATATGCAAATATTCTCTCCCATTCAGTAGAGCGCCTTTTCATTTGCTGTGAAAGATTTTAATTTGAGGGCTTTCAGAGGGTAAAGTGCTTTTGCTGGGGGCTGACCCGGGTTTGACCCTTAGCATCACAGGTGGTCCCCTGAGCAGCCAGGTGTGACTCCTGAGCACAGCTGGATGCGGTTCCCCTCGAGAAGACAAAACTTTTTAGTTCGAGGGAGCCCCATTTTGTTTGTTTTCATTGCCCTTGCCAATGGAGTCAAACCATCGAAGACACCCCTGGGGTCTGTATCCTACAGATTTCTGCCCATGTTGTACATTTTTTTCTCAAATTTCATAAATTTTGGTCTAATCTCAAGAACCATATTTATTTCTTAGTGGAATAAGAGTATTTCCATTAAACCAAACTTGCTTAGAAAGTCTGAGAACAAAGAGGAGACATCAGTGTTTGTGAGAGAACACAGGCGTCTGCAGAATGGAGATAGCCAACAGAGAAGCAGGCGAGGTAGTGTTCCAAGGGAGAGTGTGGACTTGAGGCGAGCCTGAGGAGGTTTCATCCATTCTGAGGTAACTTTTGAGAATGGTGTGAGGCAAGGATCTGTCTTTGTTCTGTTTGGCGCGTGGTTATACCGTTTCCCCAGCACTGCTCTTGAAGCTTCCCAAGCTCCACTCCACAACCTCACCCTGTGTCAGAGATTCACATGGCGCATCTATCTCTGGGCTCTCGGTTCTCTTGTATTAGTCTGGGAATAGTCTGGAAACATTTGGGATGATGAAAGCAGCGCCTTCTCTCCCCTCTCCCATTCTGTACACACACACACACACACACACACACACACACACACACACACCACAACCTTTTGTCATGTGCCTCTTCCAGAATCACGAAGACAAAGAGTGGAAGTTTGCGCGGGCCAAGCTGTGGCTCAGCTACTTTGACGACAAGTGTACGCTGCCACCCCCGTTCAACATCGTCCCCTCCCCGAAGACCATCTGCTACATGGTCAGCAGCCTCAGCAAGTGGGTCTGCTCGCACACGTCCAAGGGCAAGGTGAAGCGGCAGAACAGCCTGAAGGTAAGCGGTGCCCGGGAACCGTGCCCGGAGCAGATGCCCCGAACGCTTTCCTTCCTCCCTGTCCGCCGTAGGAAGCCCTCTGTGGCCAAGTCAGGGCTCCGGCATCCAGTTCTGAGGAGAAATGAATCTGCAGTTCAGGAAGTCCCGTCTCCATTTGTAGAACAGAGAAAGAGTCCCAGTACCTACTCAGCAGCATGGACAAGGGCCAATTAGCTCTTGGCCTTTCTGGTCCAACTTGAAAGCCCACACATAAATAATTCAGCCTTGCTGTTAGAAACCAGAGGTTGGCAAACAACATAGTTTTTTTCAAAATGTACAGATAGTCAAGATTTTGGATTTATATTAAATCAGAATTAAAGATATTATGAGAATAATGCTGTGACAAGGAGCGAACACATCTCCATGAGAGTTGTGTTGATCCTATTAAACATATAGCAGTGAATTAGGAATCACTTTTGTAAGATAGTCTATTAACGAATGGAATGAAATTTCATTTATGAGGAAGGAGATATTTTCTTTGATTGGATTCAAAATTGGTATTCCTTTGTCGACAGAAATTAGCTTACCGCAGCAGGGAGCCAAGGGCTTAGGCCCAGGATGCTGAGACAGTGGTGATATGTGTGTTCTTAGACTATTATCTGCACAATGGGGCCAGAGCGATAGCACAGTGGGGAGGGCTTGTGCCTTGGCACACGGCCAACCCAGGTTTGATCCCCAGCAACCCATATGGTCCCCCAGCACCACCAGGAGTGATTCCTGAATGCAGAGTCAGGAGGAAGTCCTGAGCATTGCCAGGTGTGACCCAAAAAAGTCTACACACACACACACACACACACACACACATACACACACACACATATTGTCCACACGAAACCCTGTCATTAGCAGTACTGTAGGATCATGCAGCCTCATGTAACAATTTTAAATCTTTTTAAAATGTTAAGAATATTTTTTAAAAGAATATTTTAAAAAACAGGATATAATATTTTTCAGTACACAATTAATGTTCTTTTTTTTATCAGACTGATGACAGACATTTACAAACATTCATTTGTAAAAGCTTTTCCCAGTCCGTAAGTCATTAAAAACGCGGAGAGTAAGCCCTGTATGGTCTCCAGGTGATCTCCCCAGCCCAATTCTACAGAGCTTCATCAGACTCTGCGCGCAGGCCAGTAAGCAGAGCAGACGCTCAGGCTGTGCCGACCCCACCCGGGTGTTGACCGTCACTCTGTCCCCAATGGCAGACACAGGCTCGTGTTCACACTCAGTGGTTCTGCATCTGTGCATCTGAGAATGTATTTTGAAACCCTCCCGCGGGAGGCGCCTGTGTGCACACCCCGTCCCCTGTGTGTGTCGGCAGGAGTGGAGAAACCTGAAGCAGAAGAGAGACGAGAACTACCAGAAGGTGATGTGCTGCCTGGTGCACCGCTACCTGACCTCCATGAGGCAGAAGATGCAGAGCACCGACCAGGCCACCGTGGAGAACCTCAACGAGCTGCGCCAGGACCTCTCCAAGTTCCGCAATGAGATCCGCGATCTGCTGGGCTTTCGGACTTCTAAGTATGCCATGTTCTACCCCAGAAACTAACCATTTTCTATGTCACCGGGAGAAGAGTTCTCCATCATAAATCCAAAAGACTGTACTTCCGTAACACGCAACTCAACTAGAAGATATATATCAGAATTACTATACAAAAGCCATTCTTTAACATATTTATAGCCTAATATATATGGTGTGTAAAATATGTATATAGAACTAATTTTTTAAATCCTCTCCTAGCAACTTTTTGCAGGCGCAAAACAGACTGAGGAACTCTGTTTCGTTAGCATGCTACTTGGTTTGCTTTTCTGAGCTGTCTCTTCAGAGGTTCCTCTTGTGTTTAAGAAAGGCAGTGGTGGTGGTTTACACGTTGCCAGGAGGTTTTGTAAAACGAAGAGCAACAAATGTGGATCCCAGGGGCACACTTGAAATATAGGAGTCATAGTTTTTTTTTTAAAATCTCTGTTTTAGGAGTTTACATATTTATTGTTCTATCTAAAATCATAGTCTATTTTTTATTTTGTTATATTAGCAACAAACAAAAAATAATATGGAATATTTAAGTCTCTTGCCATAAATTTAAATTCACTTAAGTTTTTGTTAGTGTAATATATTTACTTTTACATGGTTGTAATCACTTTATATTTTTAATTTTGCATTTTTCACTGAAGAGTATTTTATATATGCATTTTCATGTATCGCTATCATCCACGTATTTAAGTTTTTATAGGATTCTATTGTTTTGGAGAAACAGAGCTAGTTTTAGCTGTAGTATATTTAATTAGGCCCATGAGTTTGCACAGCTGCTTCTAAGATTAGGCCTTTGTGACTTTCATTTTTTTTCTTTTTATAATAAGGCTTCAATTCTTGTTCAAGATGGAGTTAACATTCCGTTTCTACGCTACTTTAAAATAAGGATTAACTTACGTGGTGACAGCCTCTTTGTTTTTAGAGACACTTGAAGTCCCTTTAATGCAAGGATTTGCTTCATACCTGGACGAAGGTTCTATAACTTTTCTCCCAATTTTATTTTTGGCAGAATTTAACAGAGCTCTTACAAACTGATGTCATGCTTCCTTGTGGATCATTTTTGCTGCTTAAGATGAAACAGTTTTTTCAGTTGGAAAATGTGTATTTGATTTTTCCACCGTGTTCATGTAGGGGTTGTAGTTAAAACCTTTTCATAGGCTTCTGCTTCTGCATTCTTGCAGCATCCCAGTTCAGAGGTTCTGTGGTAGTTGCCTTCTTAGCTCAGCAACGGAGGTGCAGGTAGCCCTGGGCTGTAGCCGCCCCAAGCCAGGTCATTGCCTCCAGTGTCAGCCTACGTTTCATCTTGCTTTTTGATTTTATTTTTTTAATTTAAAAATGGTAACTGTTCCTCTTTGGGACAAATTCTTATAAAAAATGTTTAAAGCGATATATTTTGTCTACGGTGGGATTACGTATTTCCCAATTGAGATTTTACATCAGGATTTTTAGCGATTCTAAAAAAATATCTAATTATAAAATTAAAATATTTATAGAGAGCCTATTGTATGCATGAGTTACAAGGTATGTGTTGAATGACAGCATATTGTAAGAAAAAAAGGTGAATAAAACTTGATATTAGACTATAAAGTGGTAGTCTAGCCATGATATTTTATACATTTTTAAATTGAGAGATCAGAGTCTGGGACAATGGTGGGTAGGGTGCTTGCCTTGCATGTTGCCAGCTTGGATTTGATCCCCAGCACCCCAAGTTGTCCCCCAAGTCCTGCCGGGAGTGATCCCTGAGCACTGAGCCAGGAGTAAGCCCGAGTACCACCAAGTGTGGTCAAAAAAAGTTTAAAAGAGTTTTTTTTTTTTGCTTTTTGGGTCATACCTGGCAATGCACAGGGGTTCCTCCTGGCTCTGCACTCAGGAATGACTCCTGGCAGTGCTTGGGGGACCATATGGGATGCTGGAAATCGAACCCGGGTCGGCCACATGCAAGGCAGAAGCCCTAGCCGCTGTGCTAGTGCTCCAGCCCCAAGCTTAACAAATTTTTAATAAAGATGAACAAGCCTTCTGAGTCCCCAGAAACTGAACTAACTTGCCCCGTGGCCATCCTGGATGAGCAACTGTTGTCACTCGGCTTTTCCACAGCTGGACTCTCCCAAGGCCCAGAGCTCCTGCCTGGCCATCATCCAGCAGGCCCTGAGGACTGACCTTCCTCGAGGTGGACCCCGTGTGGGAGGGGCGCAGTCCGGCCTGGGCGTGGGTGCGAGCAGGTGAGCAGGACGGCAGGACGAGGAGCGCATGTGCGGCCTCCGCCTGCCCCAAGGATTCTTTGGCAATCCTGATTTCCTGCCCAAGCGTGAAGCAGAATCCCAGCATCAGCTGTCCTGGCTTGTCCTTAGGGTGGGCCTGGGTGCCGGTGTGATGGAGTCACTGAGCCTGATAGCTCTGCATGGGGACGGTGGGATGGCTCAGAGGGGCCCCACCAGGCCCTGATCTCTCCGTCTCCTCCACCTCAGCCCGCAGCAAAGGGCTCGGGCAGAGCTCACAGCGGCCAGGCCACTGCCCGCCCCCCAGGGAGTCCTGAACACGCGGCCAAGCCTGGCCAGGTCCCTCCACTGGACGGGCCCCTGGGGACCCCACACCCCCGACCCCCGGGACAAAGGCGCTGAATCAGCCTGGAGGGGACCCCTGCCCCCCCATGCCCCCCAGCGGCGCTGCAGAGTCACACGCAGGATCCAGGGAACAACACGGGGCACACTGCCCCATCCCACGGGCTTGGTGGCACACATACAATCGGGCTGGCCATGCCAGGCTCTCAGAAATGGTTTTACTTAAGCCTGGATTTTAAAAACAGACAAGAACGGGTGATCCGAGAGCCAGGGTGAAAGGGACCGACGTCACTATAAATATTGCACTCGTACAATCTCTTTCCTGTCATCTTCACCCGGCTCCTGAAATCCCCCTCTCCAGAGTGTGCGGCCGGGCCCGCGCCAACCTCAGAGAAGGCTCGTAGTTAACTGCATGAGGTTCTGCCTCTCCCGGAGCAGGCGGACACGGGTCAGTGCGGACAGCGCTTGTTCTTCAGGGCATTCAGGAGCTTCTGGTTCTTGGCCTTGAACATCATAACGAAGCTGCTGGGCAAGACACGGCCTCGCCCGTCCTCGCCCACTTGGCCCATGATGATGTAATTCAGGCCTAAGGACAGAAACGGGAGCTGTCAGGATTCTTCCTTCAGGGATGCTGGCGTATGACGTTTCTTCTCCCCGCAGAATCCTTCCTTGGAGGTGGGGCAGAGAGACGCCTCCTCCAGGCAGCACTGGGGGCCCCAGACTCGCCAGCCGTTCCAGGTGGGCTCTCGGCTGAGGGTGTGTCTTTATGGAACCTTAGGGGGTTCCTCGGGCACCAGACTTCCAGACCCCAGAGGGAGAGGGAGAGAGAGAGAGAAAGGAGAGAGGAGAGAGAGGAGAAAAGGAGAGAGAAGAGAGAGGAGGGGGGAGAAAGTTGAGAGGAGAGAGGGAGGGAGAGAGAGGAAAGAGAGAGGAGAGAAAAAGAGGAAAGAGAGAGAAGAGAGAGGAAAGAGGAGAGTGAGGGGGAGAGAGAGGAGAGAGGAAAGAAAGAAAGGAGAAGAGGAGAGGAGAGGAGAGGAGCGGAGAGGAGAGGAGAGGAGAGGGAAAGAGGAGAGGAAGAGGAGAGGAGAGGAGAGGGAAAGGAGGGAAAGAGGAGAGGAAGAGGAGAGGGCAGAGGCGAGAGGAGAGAGATGCTCTTGAGCGCACTCTGCATGTATCCGTGGTCACAGCTTATCCCTTGTTGGCGGGAGGCGTCACACAGGGCAGAGAGTGACCGCAGTGCCCACGCGGAGGCGGCCACAACCACATTCCCAGGAGCCTCTGCCCTTCGGCGTCCCTTGCTGCTGCTGTTAGCTGCAGGCTCAGGTCCCTCCTCCCCCATGTCCCCTGTGCTCGCCTGCCCCCCCCACTGGCCCGAATCCCACCCCAGGGCCTGGACCCCCAGGCCCTGTCACCTCTGCCTCTCCGTTCTCTGCCCACAGCGACACTCCTGGCTTCTGCATGCTGCCATGTCCGTGCCAGGGTCCTGTGCACGCCCTGCCTTCCTGCTGCCCGGACCCAGCCTCCCCTCCTGCCCCGCCCGCAGCCCCCAGGGCTCCCCCCGCCTCACCTCTGCGGAGCACGGGGCACTGTCTGCAGACCACCAGGAGCCTGGCGCTCATGTTCTTGCCGGCCTGCTGGATGGCCAAGCCACCCTCCTTGGAGATGCTGATGATGGCCACCGTGGCCAGCAGGCTGCCCCCACGTGCCGCCGTGCTGATGACCGTCCCGGCCAGCACTGTAGGGGGATAGGCGAGAGAACCAGGCGTGAGCACCAGGCAGCATCCAGGGATGGGGAGTGACCGCGTGTGGGCAGAGAGGCAGGTGGACCAGGGACCAGCCCAGGGACCCGCACCCCTCACAGGTCCCCAGCCCTGGGTCCCGCATCTCACCCATGCAGGACTGGCTCGGTTATTGTGCCCTCCCTGTGCCCGCTGGCCGCCAGCTCCAAGTGGGACTGAACTGGACCCGCATGGCAGGCTGCAGAGACCCCGGGAGAGGACCCGGCTGAGGCTTGAAATGTCCCTCTGCGGGCAGCTCTGCAAGTGTCCCAGCCACATTGGTGGGGGGGGGGGGCTCTGGGGATTCCCGCTGCCCTCTGCTCTGCCCTAGAGCACCCTGGCTGGGAGATTCCCTGGCTGGGGGGTGCCCTGGGCCTGGGTACACGCTAACGGTGACCGTGAGTACAGCACCGGGCAGGGGGAATCTGGTGGCTGCAGAGGATAGGCAGGTCTTGTCCCACAGATGACCGGGCGTGGCTGCCAGCAGACACAGGGCTGGGGGCAGCCTCGGGCCTCACCTCTGAAGCATCAGTCCCTGAAACACACACAGGGCCCCGGCCCCATACACAGTTCCTGAACCCCAGCAGGGCCGGACTGAGCTGCAGCCCCAAGGAGGCCAGTGGCTCTCTCGGGACGGGGGGTGGCGGGGGCCCCCTTAGACGGCAGCCACTGTCTTTTCCTG